TGCTTCGTTTCATGTTATCAGAGGGTGAACATATACACAATAAATCATTAGCTCGTCCTATCTTGTTATATCGAAGAAACGTTTCGCAAATCTGTTACCTCAATTCTAACTCAGAAGAGCAAAATTTGGCTACTAATTCCTTTAATGAACAAAAAGACAAAAATGAGAATTCTACTATGAACTTAGCTAAGCAATCTTCCGATGATTTTGAACAAAACTTTAATAATGTATTAATGGATATAAAAAAGTGTCATATTTATGGTGGACAATATCAAATGGAGAGCCATGATCACGAAGAACTCTATAAAAAAGTCGTACCCAAGGCTTGCAATGCCACGAAGAAATTAGGATTGACGGATATACCAGAAATTGAAAGTCAACTTAAAGAAAAGCTAGAACAGTACTTAAGAGAGGAAATGGGACAACCGATAAAGACTTATGGTTCATGGAAAGATTACGTACGATATTTTTTGCAAATGGATAACACACTTTACGATGTCAATAAGCATTTATATAAAAATGGATTTAAGTTTGATGTATATATAATGGAAGATGGTCAATTAATATGTCAAAAACGAGTGCCTTTTAACATACCCGTTATTCAAGTTCAACTATCTTCTGGGGAACAGTTAGAATTGTTATCACTACTATGGCTATTTGGAAGTAAAAACTTGGCAAAAGCAAATGATAGCGGAATCATTTTACTAGATGAACCGGATGCCCATCTTCACCCAAGCTTAGTTCAAGAAGTCATTGAAACTATTAAAACTAAATTGATATCCAAGCTTGGCATTCAGGTTATCATGACTACTCATTCCCCTACAACAGTGAGCCTTGCCCCAAAAGACTGTATCTATGTTATGACAGAAAATAATATGACAAAAGAGATCAAGATTGAAAAAGCTGCAAGTAAGCGGCAGGCAATACAGTTATTAACAGCAGAATTTGTCCATGTCAATTTACCCTTTCGAATGGTCTTCGTTGAAGCTCGAGATGATAAGAAATTTTACACAATGATTCAAGATAAATTAGCTAGGGAACGTTTAATCGCAAGTACTTACCCATTGCTATTTATGGCCGTTGGCAAGCACAAAAAAAGGCCAGACTCTGCAGATGAGAGTGGTAGCAGGATGATTGAAAAGTCATGTAGAGCTTATGTGGAAAACATTGTGGAATCTTGCGTAAATGAGAGCGATGAAGATCAGAGTTTAAGGGAATTTATATTTGGGTTAGTTGATAACGATAATAGAGAAGATCCCAAATTATATAACATTCGATGCTTAAAGAGATATAGCATAGAAAACTATCTTTATGATCCGATACATATATATTATTATTTGAGAAGCAAAAACAAAGCGGAAGAGATGAAAAGCGAAATCAATAATCATTCAGTAACAGAACATCCCGATCTTTTATCTGGTTTTTTCGAGAAAGGAAGGGCTGCTCAACTAACTAAAGTATTGCAAATAATTATCGACGTCGTAAGCAAAAAACTGATTGATGCGGTAGAAAAATTTATCAAATTCAAGAATAAATTTGAAGAGTGCGTTAAAAAATTGGAATCACTGCTTACTAATCTTGAAAATAAGACAGAAACATCAGAAAAGGAATCGACGATAGAAGATTTCGAAACAACATGTAAACTTGTCCATAGCGAAGGTAATTTATTAGATTACGCAAAGAAAATCCGTGAACGTTCAAAGTGCAAAGATGTTCTTAAGGAGCTAATAGATCTTGCTCGAAAAGTTATCAAAGCTATCGATAACTTAGGGAGTGACAAAAATAATCTTATCAGGAAGCGAGAGGATTTAGAAGAGGTTTATGAGTTAATAAAATGTAAAGAAGAAGTGTCTTTTGGGAATGGTGTTATGGGTACCTTATCTTATCCTAAAGTGATATTAAAAATGAGAGGACACGATTTAGTGACCTTTTATACAGCAATCTACCCATCTTTACCTAAATTCAATTCTGAGATGATTGCCTTCTTAACACGTAACCAAATTTTGATACCAGAAGATTTGATACAAATTTTTCAATCTCTTCAAAAGCCAGATGTTAAGTTACAACGTCAATATACCAGAAATGTAAGTAGAGAGGATACAGAGAAAAATAATACTAAATTAATGAGAAGATCAAAGGAACAGGCTCGCCAGTTGAGAGATTTGCAAAATAAAAATGAGAAGTTGACAAAGCGAAACGAAGAATTGAGAATGCAAAAAAAGATTTTAAATGACTGCCTAAGTCAAGTTGAGCAGGAAATGAGGTCTGAGCAATCCGAAGATGTGCGTACTAATATGCTTCGTTACTTCTCTACTATAAGAGAGAAAATGACAAATAAAGAACACGAATGTAATGATCCAGAAGACTTAACAAACGGCCAAGATGGAATTGTGAATGGTTTCTCAGTTTAATAAAGAAAACGAAGTAATCACTTTTATAATAATTGACAATCTTATACACTACTAGCAATAACTACAAATATAGTTAGTCGAAATGACCCTTTAATGCTAAATTGATCTTAATTTGAAAACGCAAAGTAGTGTACTTGTATACTTAATCAGTGACTACTATCAGGATATGGAAGATTCAATTTGGATTATGTTCTATCTTTATTAATTTTTCTAAAAGTCTCACGAATTCTTACTGGTATACGAGAGTATTTCAACCTTTAAATAGTGTAGTATTTGATTTCTTCGAAAGATAGGTGCTTTACTATTAGGATATTAATGCAAAAGCACTGAAAAATTAACTACTTTGTAATGGATTAACAGAAAATCTAAGTAAAGCTGAACAAGAAAGCAGTTGTTCTAATTGAAGGCAAAGAAATCGGAAATTAATTAGTTGACAACATTTCAGCTGTAGCTTGAAATATTAGAGAGAAAGAAAGAAAAACGATAGCCGATAAGCCATAACGATTATTATATTGTCATCCAAATTTTACTATTACATTTAAAGTCCTAATTACAAGTTCTTACGTACATTTTAAACAGTAGATTTTAGAGCTACCAGTATTTAGCTTGTACCTACGCATCTTTTTATCAGAATATCTCCAGGACGATATTTTCTTGTTATTGACAGTTGTTAACTATGGATAGACTCTTCCAACCTTATCTTATAGGCAATGCTCGCAAGTTGTTCTATTTAACCTTCACTTAGAAATCGTACTATGATTTAGTTTACAGTCTAATGAAAGTTAATTTCTAGAATTCTCATCCATAAAATTGCATTGTATCACTACCTATTGTATTTACGAAATATATAGAGTACAATAGCTACAACATAAATGTAACTGTAATAATTTTTGATTAATTTAGTTTGCTAATTGCTATAGACGTTATCTAGTAGTGAGGTTATTGTCTGCTCTACCGTACTACTTTATCCGTATCATGATTTATCATTAGTAGATGAGATTTGACTTTTACTAAGTATTATACATCGTAGGGAGTAATTTAACCGTTAAGCAATACATGTATTTGGTAAATATACTATCTGATTTGCTAAATGTATCAATAGAAATTTATTCATGATGAAATATCCTACTTAATTTAGAAAAGAATATCAAGATAGTCTGTCTTAACTTGTATGATTAGTAGCGATGATTTAATTAGAATTGCTCCAAAGTATAATAAAATCGTGATTCTAAAGTTATGTTCATGGTTATTTTTGATTACTAGATTGATCGAAGCTGTATTAGCTACTCACTTTTGAATTTATAATAAGTTCTCGAGCAAATGTAGAGACAGTGTATTAGCAAAGCATAGAACTTTATTAAGACTGTTTTCTTTTTCAGAAGATTGCATAATTAAAAACTTAGACTACAGTGCTAGTGTGACGGTATGATCACACTTGTATATGGGTCCTATTAATATTTAGAATCTGGTACCCAGCACTATGTATCATTATACTACCATACGAGCATGAGTTTAATTTCCTGTAAAGCAACCAGAAACGCGTATCATGCAATGGTTAACCTCAATTGCAGCTTGGTTATGATTAGTAGTGTCAGTTTACATTCACTTTTCTATTAATAATTCAAAAATTCTAAGATGCAGTACTTCGCTACTGGTCCACCCATCGCAGAACTATAAATCTCTCATGTTCAATTTTTTCAGTTAAAGGTTCAAAAAATTCCGAGGCTATCAACATTACAACAGAATCATCATAAATGCCACATTGGCACCGCTCAATCACATTTATTGATTTCATCATTGCATATTTGCATTTAAAAAGATAGTACTAGCTTAATAGTAAAGAAAATCGTTAGTTGTTGTAGTATTTCCAACTTAATTCTTACGTTACGAGTATTCGTCTTTTGATAAAAGGCAATAATTAAAAAACAACACCTTATACTCGGTTGCATATAATAAAATACGCGTAATACTAAATCGTAATCGTTCATTCACTCACAATTTTTAAATTGTCTTGAACCTTACGTACGTAATGATATTATTATCTCCAGTTTGCTTCAAGAATGAAATCACAAAACCTAATTTAAATAGATTATCCTAGTCGTATATGTATTAATTAATATGATCAGCCGATAAAATAGTTTATATAATCCTGAATTTTTAAGCACCTAATTAGGAGGTATATTATCAAAATAAACATTTGTCAAATTCTACGGTTACAGAAAATTTTTATGATGCTAAAGGAAACGAAAGATTTCTACTACGATCTTTTAAATAATTTTATAAATGCTTTCTTAATGGATTTTCTTCTAGGTTTGCGGGGTGTTTTCTCTCGTTTTTGGTAACCAGCAGCACCTGCTTCCTGTGAATCTGTATTCTTCGCTTCTGAATCTTCGAGATTTGAGAGTAGTAACAGACAATATCATAAGTGTTAGTAAATTGTTATAGTGACATACTTAGGACATAAATAACTTAAAAAGCCCCCCAAAATAATTCAGATTTCTAGCATCGGAGAATTAATATCAACAAAAAAGAATCATCTTATAACAGTAAATGTAAAAGCCTTCAATTGGAAGTGCGACAGCAATATTACTCTATGTAATAGCAATTTCTAAATGTTATAAATTCTAGATAATCTACCTGCTGTTGTTATAGATTGAGGTGAGTGCTCTTTATTAGCTTTTGATATCGTAGTAGTCATCTCGTGATCAGCAGAGTTTGATTCTTTTGCTGCAAATAGAAAAACGATTAAGAATGTAGCCTTTTTTATCCAATAAATCTGCCTTCAATAAATCCTGAAACACCGCTAAAGTCTGTATTTACACGTATTATGTAATTGTTATGGAAAACGGTAGAGGCTTTTAGAAACTAGAAACTAAGATGCTTACTATAAGGACTAAATGAAAAAGTTCAATTTTATTCTAAGTTTAGTGATTTAAAGTCGTGAATTCATTAAAAAACTTAAATTGCTACGTAGATTGGCTCTTATACATTTTAAAATGATATGGATAGTTATCATGCAAGCTAGTAAAATAATAATTCTGCTATCTGCTTACATTTATTATACGTTTTTAAATAATAACTTTTTACCTACGACCAATGAGTCTGCCTTTTCATTTCTTGTCACTTCTTTATCATTATCATTTCTATTTACGTCTGATAACTGCTGACGAGATGAAGTCTCCACTTTTTCTTCAGCATTGATGTGGTTTACTTCCATTTGCTTGTTATCACCAGCCACTGTTGTGACTTCTTGACTGGTTTGCTTATCCTCAGGCAGTATCTCACTTGTAACCATAACTGGATCTTCAATGGCTCCTTTAGGAAGTATTTGTTCTTCAGAGTCGAGTACCTCAGATGATTTAGCAGGAGCTGTCTCTTCGCAAAGTTCTACCTCTTCAGCTGGTTCTTCAGCAGCTCCTTCATCATACAACTGTTCCTTAATTTTAACAGCTTCAGTTGATTCTTTTGCATGTACTTGTTCTTCAAATTCTGCAGCCTCAGCTGATTCTTCCATAGGTGTCTGTTCTTCAAGTTCCACAACTTCAATCGTTTCTCCTCTAGATACAGGTACCTGCTCTTCAATTTCTGCAGTTTCAACGGATTCTTTCTCAGGTGTTTGATTTTTAGGTTCCACAACTTCAGTTATTTCTTCGCTAGATACAGGTACCTGTTCTTCAGTCTCTGCAACCTCAACTGGTTCCTTAGGTTCTTCAGCTTCCACAGCTTCAGTTATTTCTTCACTAGATACGGCTATCTGTTCTTCAGTTTCTGCAGCTTCGGTTAATTCCTCCTTAGGTGTTTGTTCTTCAGATTCCACAACCTCTGTTGTTTCTTCACTAGATACGTGTACCTGTTCTCCAGATTGAAGATTTTCATGCAATTCCTCAACAGCTACCTCACTTTCTAGTGAGGTAGCTTCAATAGTTTCTTCATAGGATATCTGTTCTTGATCTTCTATGGCTTCGGATGATGGAGTCTGCTTTTTGTCTTCTGCAGCTTCAGATGTTTCTTTACCAGATGCTTGTTCTTCGATTTCTGTAGTTTCTTCTGATTCTTTAGCTAGTGTTGGCTCCAAAATGTTGGTTACTTCATCACCAGATAGCTGTCCTTTAGTTTCCACAGCTTCAGTTGACTCTTCCGAAGATATTTGTTCTGCGGTTTCACCTATTTCACTAGGTATCTGTTCTTCTGCTTCTATAGCTTCAACTGGTTCTTCGGAAGTTACTTGTTCTTCAGTTTCTACAATTTCAGCTGGTTCTTCCGAAGTTATTTGTTCTTCAGCTTCTACAATTTCAGCTGGTTCTTGTGAAGTTATTTGTTCTTCAGCTTCTACAACTTCAGCTGGTTCTTGTGAAGTTATTTGTTCTTCAGCTTCTACTATTTCAGTTGATTCTTCTGAAACTATCTGTTCTTCAGCTTCTACGATTTCAGCTGGTTCTTCTGATGTTATTTGTTCTTCAACTTCTACAATTTCAGCTGGCTCTTCTGATGTTATTTGTTCTTCAGCTTGTACGACTTGTACAACTGTTTCTTCATCCGGTATCTGTTCTGCAGTTTCTTCATTTTTTTTTAGGATCTCATCAGCATCTTCAACAGATGTTTTCCCTCATCTTCTACAGCTTTTTCTTCATCAGATACCTCGTCAATTTTGACATCTTCGGTTGATTCCATTGAAGATATTTGCTCTTCATTGCTTACAGCCTCAGTTGTTTCTTCGACAGGTAATTTCTCTTCAATATCTGCCCTTGCAGATTCAGAGGGAATTTGTTCCTCGGTCGAATCTTCAGAAAGTTCTTGAACCTGTGACTCTTCAGAGACTACTAGTGGTTCATCCGATAAATTATTTTCTGTTAAATCTTCAGTACTAACTTGATCCGTTGGTGATTGATCTTCGTTAGTTATTTCAGTAGCTTCATTATTGTTCTCTTCTTCAGTAGCTACGAACTCACTCGATACTGTGCCGTTCTGTTGATGTTCATCCGATTGTTCAACAGAAGTTGCAGTTTCACAAGAATCTTGAGGAACAGGTTGTTCCAATTCTCCAGCAACGTCTGTTTGCGTTAAATCTTCATTTGGGGATTCCTCTTCCGCTTCAACCTCGACTACTTCTTCGGATACATCATGTTCTTCATTTATTTGTTCTTCAGTAATCGCTGCTTCTTCGGAAGATACCTGTTCTTCTTCTAGAGGTTGTTCATTGTCATCAAATTTATCGCTTGTATCTTCTGCAGTTAATTCCGAAGCTTCAACTGTTGATGATTGATCTATCAATAAAATACGTAATCAGTTGAGGAAAAAACCGCTCCTGCGAAGTACAAAACTGTAGTCTATACCATGGATTACTAGGTAAGTGCATCTAGTAGTCCATGTCTATTTTAATTGTGGCCATCTACCATCAAGAAATAACGTAGAGATTATTTTATTGGACAGTGGTTAATTTACCAGTGAGCAGTCGATAGCGAAAACCTTTTATGTAGTAATTTAGTTAATGATCAGTGCGTAAGATCACACACTTTACTATATACATGATCGAACAGTTTAGGATATTAAAATCGTATTCAATTTATTAACAAATGATTGATGGTTAATGTAACCTAATTTAGGTAAGCCATAATTATCTCTCATAACAGCCTATTGTAGAATTTTTCTAGTAGAAATCATGACTCTACTGTATAATATACAGTGTATATCATGTTGTCATGATTCTGCCACATGATATTATAGTAAATATCCTGTTGTAATGATAATTATTAAACTGCTAATCACGTACTGTCATGTCCTCTCTAATCAACATGTAGTAGACTGATTTTTGCAAACCTTGCTCTTAACCTTAACGAAATGAGCATCGTTTACTGTTTGCAAAGTGTAAGTACTCAGACAGTTCAGTATAAATGCACTACGTAGTACCTGCACATTCCTCTGGCGGAGATTGTGTACATTCCTCTTGTGATTCTTCAATATCAGACATTTTCTAGGTAAGATAGAAGGAAGTAATCAAGAAATTATTACATTATACGTACACCTTATTTATTCGTAATACGAATTTAAAAGTTTGAATTATTTTTTCAAGGTACACAAAGCCACGGTTTAAAAGGTAGCCTAGTGCAAGCTCTGAGCGCTTAACTATCCCATCTATAAGCAATTACATGAGTTTAATGACAAATACGGATTATGATTGGCCTCTATTGGATACTGTTAAAAGCATCTTTATCGCGTTGAATGGTATTAACGTTAAGAAATCATCCACTATCGTACTCTATCTTATTCGTATAATCCTATCGACAAATATTGTACACTTAATCCTGTTTACCTTATGAAGACAAGGGTGTCAATATGGAGAAAAAGTTTCTAGATCTACGTATGATTCCGATGGATGGTATTCTTGATATTTTACGCTTACGAATAGATCAATCTGTCACTCTCTTCAACTTAATAACTTTAGCACAATGTTTTTTATTTTTATCAGTATTTGAACGAAGTGGCTACAAGATCGACGCGTACTGGCATGTAAATATCAATTACTTCCTTCAAGTAGTCAAATTACTCTACTAGAAAAAAGGCACCTTGCTGATTTATTATTCAATCATGTGGGTGAGCACGAGTAAGAAGCTTTAAGACATGCATGATAACCCTATTGGAGTAGCCAAAAGTACGAGATTAACAACAATAAGTCATGAATAATGAGTGGAATAACATTGCATCCATTGGTTCTACTCTTAATCAGTTAGTCAATGTGGCGCACCGACCAAGTGGGACTTTGTACTATGATGCTAATAAGTACACTACCTAAACTGTTGTTTATTTGTCAGTGGTTGCCGATTTATTATGATTGGACATGGTTAATTGCTCATGAGGAGAGAAGCCTGTTGACTACCTTACAATGCCATCAATGCATGGAAACAATTGTACCGAAGAAGGAGAATTTTGTTAATAAGTGAATGTGAAAGAACAATAATTCATCCATGAATTACCATGCGTTATTAAAGCTTACCCAACAACATCAACGTCCTTCTACGATGATCTAGTATTGATTACGTCTAAATTTAGCTATATTCTAATAAAATGCTTATGGTAATAGGTATAGTCTTTATACATTCTACGAGTATATCAACCATGATAGTAATGAGGATAATTTCTTGATTGTACTATTGCATTTTGTAAATACTGCAATGTCAATATTCGTATGCATAGAAGTTCAATATAATTTCTGTATCTGTTATTTAACTTTGATCTTCTCATCAGATAGACAGCGATTGTCTACAGCCACTTAGTGATCGATAAACTCTAACTCTTGCTTACCATTGCCAGCTTAAATCTTGAACTATAACGATTACGACGATGATAATAACTAATTTATAAGACGAATCGTTAAGATATTCTAGTCAATAAAGGTTGCTATGTTTACCGATACTATCGCTAGCTCGTTCTTAAAACGATCATGCCAATAAAGATTCTGAAATGGAAAAATCTTTTATAGCCTAACATTGATTGTCATTTTCCTCTTAAAAGCATATTTCAGACCCTCTTGGTATCCATTTGCCAAATCTAAAGCGGAATTTATTCATTAATTGGAGATACACTTATTTAATTTATTGATTGAAGATACACTTCCACATTCAAATTTTCTGTTTTATAGAATTCTAATACTATAGCACTCGACAAATCTCATCAAATTACAGCAATAAAGATGGCATAATAACTGTACGCTTCATTGGCCTGAATAATTTGAATTCATTTCAATTTTATATAATTTATGGTATTATTTGCCAATAAATTATACTTTGTATAGTATAATTGGCGTAGTCTCGACTGGAATCGATATACATGGCTCCTCTTTTTCAAGGCGATAATTCATTCTAGACGATTTTAATTTTGATTACAGACTTTTACCTGCCTCCAACTTGATATTAAAACTGAACAAATAGAACTTGTAGATGTCTATTTTTATATGAGTTATGTTAGGATAACAGTAATTGTAATTAGTTCTCTCTATTCTTATATTATATATCGAGAAGGCAGGTATTACTTTCAATTGCTGGATCGGAAATGATTGACTTCTCTATCTCTTGCTCATGCTAGCGACACTAATCGTAACAATAACGAATAGAACTTCTACTACAATAATCCAATGTTTAACTTTATCCATGTGAATGCAGCTGGGTGGAAAACTTTTGCATTTATCAAGCATCAATTTATGTAAATTCTTCTTCTTCTATACTATATAGCATCTCTAATGTATAATATTCTATACGGTGTATATGCTATTGAAAGAAAATCTATTGCCAATGAAGTTGAAGAAAACCCGACTTTCTGGGATACTAAAGTATAGCATCCATGGCGTCTTATCCGTAATATAATAATATCTTTATAGCCATGGACAACTTCAAGTTTTAGTAGTGGATGCCATAACAATCTTCGATAGCATACCGTTGTTTAGCAATGAATTCTGTTGCTCCCAAGAGCATAGATCCATACTTGGCTGCTTACCATATACTAGGTATAGCAGTCATTTTACTATGGTCTATCCATGAATACGAGAGACAGCATGGTGGCCGCCCATCACAATACTGTTATTAATGAGGGCACTATTTTCTTCCTATTTGCATATTTACATAATATAGAATGGATATACTATACTTGGCCATGGCACTGAGAGGAGAGGAGTGGCAGCCACAACCCTTGTAACCTGGAAAAAAAGAGGTCATCAAGCCTTTTGAATTGCAAGCTTTGCAACCAGACACGCCGCACATCGTTTGGGTTTCCTGCTACTATACAAGGACGTCATGGCCGAAGAATTTATCGTTAACAGCCCTATGAGCGATGTCCACCCGCCAACCAATGTTTCCTTATACCAATTTATCTGTGGAAATTTCGACCGCTATGGAGACAAGCCGGCAATCGTAAGTTGTTAATAGTCTCGGAAACATTGTTGGACTTGCATCATATGTTCCCCAAGGAGTCTCTACTGAAGTCAAAGAGAAATGCCTACGGATGATGAGTGGATGTCCGCTAAGTTACAATGCATCGCTTATCCTTTTATGCTTCATTAATTAAACTTAACTTACTTTTACCTACAGCAACAGTATACACAACAGCAGCCATTGCAGTGATGCAGGTTGATTAGTGTAGGCACTCTTGTGAGGGTATCTTGTAGTTAGAAGGAACCGATTAATCACGCGTAGAATCGACTAGGTGGGCATCAAGAAGGAATCGCTTTCTCTCTTGTGCATTAACCAATGCTGATTCTGATGGTTAATACCAGTATTATTGCAGTAATAGTAGTGTACTAGTGTGTTGGAAGGTTCAATGATTCGGCTTAAGTAGATTTAGTAGCCATTGAGGGATTGGCACAAATACGTTAAGTAAGAAAGTTGATTCTTTATTGTAGACTACATGAGTGAGGTAGTGACAGTAGAGCAGTGTGTTGGAAGCTGTCGTGAAGTAACGTAAGAATATTCAATCAACACGGTTACTATTGCCACTAACTGAATCGGAAGCAGAAATTGCTAGCATTGATAGCTTTTTAGAACTTAATAGCAAATGATTGTAGAAAATAGCAAAGACGCTGCTATGTAAACTACTGTAAACATAACAAGCTATTTTATATTTATCTTAGACTCTTAGTACGGTAAGACTGTGAAGGAATCTATATTTAATAACAACTTAGAATGTCCTATCTTAATTCTATACCACAATGTACAATAAAATCTTAATCATAGACTACTAAATTACCTTAATTACGAGTACATAGAGCATCTAGTAGTCCTTGTCTCAATACGCTACAACTAGGAGTAGTGCAGTCTACTGCATTCGGTACCAAGCAGAAACCTATTTATCGCCAGTAGTAAACACTACTGTACTACATAGCAAAGCCTAGCTGGAATTTTTTTAAGCAACAAGAATGATCTCAGGCTGAGGGACTCACAGTAAACTTGGATACATACGCGTATGAAAATACATTATAATGACACTGTAATTTGATCAGCAAGCACATATAAATTGTTGCTTTAGGTACTTCCAGCTTGCGTGCTCATATGTTACTTAAAGTAAATCGAAATCGACTGAACATAATAATATGGCGATACAAAATTGATAGTAAAGCTTGCATGAAGTCATAGACGTTAAATGGACTCCTTGTAGTAAGCTTTACGAGCTTGCAAAGAGTCTTACACGTTTAATTTATTAATTACTACTAGTAGCAAACTTTATTATACATTTGGATCTCAGTATATACTGTCAACGATTGCTTTACTGCTTGTATCGCAATCAATATGGATCTACTCCACCTGTAATCTCTACATACTACTTATCCATTGTACTACTGTCTATGACTAAATCTTAACTAAAAATGCAAAGGCTAACAATATAAGTTAACTGTGATAATACTGAAAATATTCTCTATGGCTTTGCCATTACAGCCATAAAATATTACATGAATTATTTCACTTAATACATACGATTAGTATTGCAGTGTACCTTGGACTATGTATTACACGTAAATCATCTAATTCATCATTCTACAGTTTATAATATGTGCATATAACATTTATATATGCATTGCATAGTAATCATACGAGGTATATTTCTTCTTCTCATTCGTAAAATTAATCCATTTATACCTACAGACGCATGCTGCCACTGCACAAACGCTGTCTTATAGAGATTTGGGCTTACAAATACGCCAATGTGGTTCCGCATTGCGACGACTAGGATTTAAGAAAGGCGATATTTTAGCTCTCTTCAGCCCAAATCATCCTCAATATGCTGTTCTCTTGTTAGCGGTTACAGCCATTGGCGGTATCGTCACAACTATCAACCCCTTATATACTGCTGATGAAGTGACCAAGCAGATGAAGTTATCGTCTGCACAGTATTTGTTTGCATATCCAACCAACGCCGATGTAGCCTTGAAAGTTACCTCCAGGATGTAAGTATTGATAATGAGTATATTCAATCTAACGTTATATACTAAAGTCTTACAAAGCAATAGCAATATGCATACAATTTCTTAATCGTGTACAAATCAGGTATAAATTCTTAAATAGTTTTGTGACAGTCATTTATTTAATAAAAGGATAATTTAAATTAGGCTAATAGAGCTGCTGTTAATATCACTAAACTGAATAATGTAAGTAATAAATTTAAACTACCCCATTAAGATTCATAGGTTACTCGTAGGATTATAGGCGTAACATAATTGCCATATTAACATTCACAACCTATTAAAATCTGTCTTTGGCATTTCGCAGACGATTAAGAGGCGCTTATGTGTTTGGTCACGTTAAGGGATTAAAGTCCTTTAACGAGCTAATGAAAGATGATGGCTCATTCTTTAAAATGGATGACACAATCCGACCAATGCAAGATACTGTTGTAATTCCTTATTCTAGCGGGACAACTGGCATCCCTAAAGGTATTAGGCTATTCCTTAATTGTGCTATCATATACATGCAATGTATTCGTATATAGGTTTAGAATTATTCGCATGTAAAATTATATCATTACCTAATCATTACAGATTATAAAACTACAAATGCTTAGTATTGTACATAAGCTCTGAGCCATTGCTTTATGATCTGAATGGGCATGAATATATTGAAAGATTTCCTATTAGAAAACTCTAACCCATCTATCTCTTTCACTGTTTTAGGTGTTATGCTAACACATTACAATCTAATTGCAAATTCTCTGCAACTGATGCATCCAGATATCAAAGCTTTCGATAATGACCGCCCGTCCTTAGGATTACTGCCTTGGTATCATATCTATGGATTAGTTGTTATCCTTTTATCTGGGCTAAGAACTGGTGCGCACCTAATAAGCTTAGAAAGATTTGAACCGGAGCTCTTTTTGGGATCCATTCAAAAATATAAGGTATCTAAAAACTGAAAATAGATAACATCGTATAAACAAAATAACTCTTAATTCTCCTTTCTACAACTATTAATTATACAACTTTTTATACCGATTCATCGCTACGCATCAGATCAAGTATGCCTGCCTAGTCCCACCATTATACGTATTTTTAGCTAAGGATCCTTTGGTAGAAAAATTTGATTTATCTAGTCTGCAGGAAACCATATGTGGGGCAGCTCCACTTGACTCAGATCTCAGTCAAAGTGTTAAAGAGCGAGCAAAGATATCATTATTACGCCAAGGTATTTAATTTCGTACCTTTTAATGAGAAACATTTTACTTAATGTATCTGATGTAGCCTCAACTTTATTTGCTTATTACAGCTTATGGTATGACGGAACTTAGCCCTATCTCTCATTTAGTCAAAAGAGCTGACGAGAAGAAATTTGGAGCCATTGGAGTTTGTGCTCCTAATACGAAAGCTAAGGTTTGTCTAGAATCTCTACAGATAATTTTACCTTGTTATATTATCTATAACTACTGGAAGTCATATCCTGCGTTTTATTAATTTAATAAATTTGATTGAGAAATTGATCATCTATATAATCATTTTCTTTTTGGGGTAATAGGTTGTAGATGAGGATGGAAAATCACTACCACAGCATGAAAGAGGAGAATTATGTATACGTGGGCCTCAGGTTATGAAAGGATACTTTCGAAATGAAAAAGCTACTGCATTAACCATTGATAAAGATGGCTGGTTGCACACTGGTGATATTGCATATTACGATGAAGATGGGTATTTTTACATTGTCGATCGCTTGAAGGAATTAATTAAGTACAAAGGCTTTCAGGTCTAACAAATAGAATATATTGAATGCTGCTACTTGAATTACAAATATGATGTAACAAGGGAAAAATATGGTCAATCTAACGTGATCCAACCTAATATTTACCAAACTAGGTGCCTCCTGCCGAACTAGAAGCACTGTTACTTACTAATGAAAAAATTGCCGACGCTGCCGTTATTGGTCGACCGGATTTAGAAGCAGGAGAGTTGCCGATGGCGTTTATAGTAAAGAAAAGCGAAATATCAAAGGAAGAGATTATTGAATTTGTTAAGAGTAAAGTTAGCCCTCATAAATATTTACGAGGTGGTATTGAATTTGCTGATATTATTCCTAAGTCAGCAAGTGGTAAAATATTAAGACGAGAACTAAGAAAACGGGTCGCGGAGTTAACGAAATTACAAAGTAAACTATAAAATCGAAATGCACCCATTGCTTATAACTTGAGAAGATTTTTCGCTTTACATCTGAAATTACTATGCCCTTTGTAATTTTTCATACTCGAAAATGTAAAGAATTATGCTAGACAATTACTCCGTTAATACCTAAAAAGCATAACGATTTTGTAATTGCTAATGATAGGCTTCTTTATGACACATGTTGAAGTTGTGATACCATATCGTAAACATGACTCGACGTTAGGGCGTATAAAATTGACCATTAATGGCCTAGAATGCTATCGCATTATGACGTTGAAATCTGAGACAATTTGTAACGATTTATCGTCTTAGAAGTAATTAAATTATGATAGAATAGTCAAACACTTATACATTACATAAAATAGAGATTACATAAGTATAATCTTGCGTTCGCGGACGAATTTATATCTTTCGCTTTAGTGGCCGAATAAAATGCATTTTGTGTTAGAACACTGATAACCTAGCGTATACATAAAATTGCGTTTCAAATTTGTCTTAAATCTAGCAGTCTGAAGCGAAAACTATCCGTTCCCAAATGTGATTGAAGTTGTGTAACAGATAGTATTAAGTGAATATAATCTATATTAGCAGGTACTTGCTCGAGGCAATTTTAGTAGATAACTTCTTTGATATCTCTGCATTTGGAAAAATAAACGCAGCAATTTTAGTAGGTAACTTCTATGATATAGAATATTTGGAAAAATAGACACAGCATTTTTTATTCATTGATTCTACCCTAAGAGTACATCTAAGACAATAAAATTATGCTAGATTGATCAGCCATAAAAAAATAAGTTAGAACTTACATTTTATTGGTTAAGATCTTGAAATAATATTTATCAAATCAGCGGGCATCATTGAAGCTGTTCAGTCTTAAAAAAAATTTTGAGCACAGGTCATTTGCATACTCGCCTTTGACACCAACATTTACAGTAAATATATAATGAATTCGTGCATGAGTGTATCCAGAATGTACGTGATTACTAGAAAAAAATACCTTGGTACATAATATCGTAAGCGTATATCCTTATTCCTATACGTAGTCCGATACAGCAAGCCATAACTGAAAAAAAGACAAAATGAATCTAGCATTTTCTGGTGGTGGATTTTTGTCTGTATATCAACTGGGTGTAGCAGCTGGATTTGTGGAATATGCGCCAGATATAATCAAAAATTTAAATTCAGCTAGTGGAGCATCTGGTGGTGCAATCACAGCATCAGCATTAGTGGTATGTCCCGATAAATTACCAGAATTAAGCCGATATTGTATCGAGATGGGGGTGAAGACTAGAGATTTTTACACAGGAGCTTTTCACCCTCGTGTTAGCATACCTCATTTGATTGAAGAAGCATTAGATCGTGTATTTCCTGATAATGCTCATCAATTAGCCAACAATAAAGTTCATATATCATTAACTCGAGCCAGAGATCGACAAAATATCCTCATTAGCGAATTCTTCTCAAAGATGGATCTTATTAAGGTAAATCAACTATCGCTAAAAGCAAAGCATATATGATCACATCCATCATCTGTTTGTAATATAATTTTTAAAGCAGGTAAAATACTTTAACTTGATCATATCCTAAAGTTATAATATTTTATAGTTAGGAATACATAGTATTTCCCATTAATTTTCAACCTTTAGGAGTAACTGCGGCAAAAATATGCGTATAATATCTTGTACATGCATTTACATGCTAAATTATAATATATTGTATAATTTCTTGAGAATCCAATCGTAAAGAGGCAATAGTAATTACTATTTAACGTACATTTGGCGATACTTATGGAAATACTGGACTATAATCTTTTAAATCGTATCTCTAGACTTTGTTTATTTGAAGATGAGATGCATTATTCATGAAAAAAATCGGTTATAATGGGCATGACGAAGGTTTAGACCTAGGGAAAAAGTAATAAAAGATTGTTGATGTCCATATCGCAATTTCAATTAAACCACTGCATATTCTAGGATTACGCAATCATGCTAAAAAAATCTGAAATTCGGCTAAAATTTCAATTAATATCACATCACCTCTTTATCACTCTTAGCGGCATTATTAGCCTTTGGTGAAGTAAATATATTCATCTTCTATATAAATAGATTGAAATAAAAATCATTACTAAGCCGATGAAGAATGATTCATGAAGAGAGCTTATAAATTAATTATTGCATAGAGTTCTTAAAAGATATTACCAGACTTTTAGTGAAAGTACGTATAGATATCTTTTATGTAAATCGACTCTAAAATCGTTACTGACCTGATAAAGATTGCTTTATGGAGAGAGAATATAATGTAAGTATTGTACAGGATTCTATAAAGATATTACTTGACTTATAGTGAAATAATATAGACATCTTCTATGTAGATCGACTCTAAAAATCATTACTAATCTGATGCAGATCGATTGATGGAGAATGTAGACTTAATTTTGCCCAAGGTCCTTTTATTAGGCCGTACATTGAAAAAGAAATTAAAACAGTTCTATCCTTACTATTACATATTTGATAGAATACTTCAAGTACTATAGTCCCTGTACATTCAATATTTCAGAAATTAATTTTTTAGCATCAATCATGAAAGCTTCGAATATATTATTGTGTTTACTTTACTAAAATAAATTTTTACTTTTTCTCATCACCGTATTACATATGTATATCAGCGGTCAATAGTATATCACAAGATCATTTTTAGATATAGCATATTACAACAGTACTATTCAAGACTACTGATTATTTATGCCAGGATCATTTTAGATATAGTATATTACAATAGTACCATATAAGACTACTGATTACATGTAAATTACATGAAATCAATTTTTTAAGCATCAATCATGATAGCTTTGAATATACTACTGGATTTCCTTTACTAGAATAAACTTTTACCTTTTTCATCGCCACAGTACTTCTGCATATCAGTAGTAAATAGTATATTTCAAGATTGTTTTTAGATATAGCATATTACAACGGTACCATTCACGACTACTGATTATATGTACTTGCATCTCAAGATTATTTTTAGATATAGCATATTACAACGGTTTTATTCAAGACTACTGATTATTTATGCTCGTGTCTCAAGGTTATTTTTAGAAATAGCGTATTACAAAGGCACTATTCAAGACTGCTAGTTACATATAGTCGTATTTCAAGATCATTTTTAGATATAGCATATTACAACAGTACCATTCAAGACTGTTGATTACATGTAAATTTCTCTAAATGATGGATTAATTTTTAAGCTTGTATCTAATTTTCGTTATGTACGCGTATTATAAAATCGATAGACTCTAGTTTATCCCTACCTTCATAATTCATGCGTATTTAAAGCAATTTATTCATTTTATATGAATTTTCTTTTTGTTCAATCAGGTCCATTTATTTATATTTATAGTAAATGAAATAATATGCAGTTAAAAATATCTCATTTATTCGTAATAAACTTGCTAATAGCTTGAAGTAAATGAAATTAGGTTATGATAAATATTATTAAGATGATAAATTCTTTCTTTTTCCGGAAATGGTATGCAGTGTGTAGCTTGTAGTTGTTTTGTCCCTTTTTGGTCGGGTATAGTGCCACCTTTTTATCGTGGAGAGGTAAGAAATACATTAAAAATTTTAAGTTGTATAAATTTACTTATAACATTGTATCTGCAAAAGATGTAGAATAAAAAAAAGATTGGTATATTATATTGCAAAGCGTAGATATCTATTATATTATAACGTAAATCTCAATGTTACTTTACTCAGTTAGTAGACTTTGCCAAATTCTAAGTATAGAGAAATTATCAATAAAATCAACTTGATTTATTAGATGATCTTGTAATGCCTATATGCTTTATCATTAGCGATATTTAGACGGTGGAATTTCGGACAACCATCCTATACCTTTCGATATTCAGAAAACAATAACTATTTCTCCTTTCGTCGGTGATGGAATGATTTGTCCTAACCATGTGTCGCTTCATGACTTTGAAAATAGCGATATCTGTATTCGACGAACGATTAAATTTACATTAGGCGATCTTCATCGAGCGACTAGAGCTTTATTTTCTCCAGATGAGGCCTCTCTTAGAGCATTATGTCAACAAGGCTTCGAAGATGCGTTGGAATATCTAAGAAAGCACCATTGTAAGGGATAGTCTACTTATACGAAATCTTAAAAATCTACGCACAATGCTAGCAAATAGCTCTTAAATGATAGAGATATTGAAAGTCTTACCTTGATATAGTAGTTTATCACTTTTTCGTTATTTTATTTTACTAGTTGAATAAAGTGAATATTTCCGTATATTGATAGATTCTACATGTATAACGAGCAATTTACTACAGCCTTTGTACGAAAATGATCGTATAATTACTCAGTCTGAAGATATCGCTGGCGATTTAGCCAAGAAAATTGGCCACGATGAATACGAAGGGTTAATGGAAACTCTCAAATCTGCCATGGCTGAAACCAACAAGTGGCTTGCTGATAATGATAACTCTGCTTTGGTTATAGATTTAGGTTAAAAAGTGCTTATTACACAATTGAGTTGGGAAAATTTAGCTACGGCTTCATTTAGGCAATTATTTACAGAATATTACGAGCTTAAGTTGTGAAATGGTTGATGTACAATATATGATTTCTTATTCTATTAACAGAGCTATTGAAGACTTGTATAAAAGAAGCTAGGCAAAGAAATCTTCATTTACTAATACGAAATATCATACTTCGACCATGTGTTAATACCATCGAAACTATCATTGCAATTATGCTGAGGTAATGTCGACCTAATAAACCTTGGTAATGTACAATTTAGCGATGCCTAGAATATAACTTGTCTGTAAATGCTAAAGTTAATTGCTTATCCGCTATTGAAAAGACTTCTAATTCAATCATCATAAATTTACAATTAGGATATTTTCTATATCACATGAATTTTACTGTTCAGTTGTTCATTTGCTTGGAATTTTAAAGCAACAGTTTGGAGACTTATTTGACGCTGCACGCTATTATTCCGACCACAAGTAAGAAGTTAATTGTAGTTTTGGATATCTAGATATATTTTAATCTATAATATGGATGCATAAAAATAAGGGCATATTCAAATCTATACTAGGAAGTACCAACTTTATTCTGATTTATTGTTTGACGTAAAGTAGGATACAGTTTAATACTGATTTTCATAAATATACTGTTAGTTCTAACACGTATAGCAATTAAATCTCTAACTAGATGGCAATGGACCATAAATATTTGTAATAGCATCATTTCAATAACTCTAATCGGGCTTAAATACAAATAAAAACGACCAGAAAATTTGAGACGATACTTTTTAAATGTTAAGCAGTATTCGACACCTGGAAGAGTACGATTTAGAGCATTTTCACTGCTTATTAAAACTTGGTGCATTAACGGAGGTTATATGTCGGAAGAAAATGTCGCGAAAGTTAGAAGGTATTTGTGGGAATATTTGATTATTTTTAATAATTCCAATTGCAGACTTAAGAATCAACGATAGCTAGTTTACTGAAATACGCGTAGATAGAAGCAACACAAATAACATCCTATGTAATTTACCACTAACAAAGTGAGTTTAGGTGATTAATTCTTTAATTGATATGGATATCGCATCTTCATATTTTAATTATAGACTGGCATCATCCCGATAGAAACCGTGAGCATTACCAAACATTGCGGTCAGCAGCAAATGCTTTTACGTCTGCAGTGGGAATTTCTATTGCAGTTGGTCGGTTAACTCCATCGAATATACCCTTTGCCCAGGATTCGGATACTATGATAACATCTCTGATTGATACCATTGAGCTGATGGATATCGGTTTGATGGTTTACTTAGCACATGAAAAGACGGAAAATGATAAAATAGATTGGCCAGATGTCTCTTTGTGGTTTAAGCGAGAATATTCAAATGATCCTAATGATAAAAAAGACATGACTGAAAAAGATAATTAATAACGCCATTCTTTGTGATCGATTTTATATAATTTTCTATGTGAATACACGTATCAGGCAATTTTTAAATCGAAATTTTTATTGAATAACGACAAGCAGTAAGTCTGTCAGAAAAATGGAAGAAAATCTCTAAGCTTATATTACCATCGTTTCATCAGGATTTACTGATATATAAATATATCTATGTACGAAACGCGTATACCTCAATTAAAAACCTATCTAGTTTGAGGATGGAGTGTATTTATTACAGTATCGGTTCAATTTTTGGGGTCCAATGTTTCGACATATTCTAATGACATCAAGAGCATGATAATAAAATAGAACATAACATGATTTACAACTGTAGGGTCTTCAATACGCGTAGATACTTCGAATGCTGTAAGTTGTCGCTAAGTTTAGTCATCATACTCGATCTATTTTACTTGTAAGCTAGCTCGCATTTATGCTAAGAGTAGGGTATGTCTATCATGGTAGTTTACCTGTCTGCCTACTTTATTCGACGATACATAGTCTAAATAATATCATGATGTACTGCACTATCGAAAAGTGATTTTTTTTCCTTATTTATTAATGGCCAAGACGCTCAAGGACACGTCAATACAGATGCATCTGGATTAAGAGATTCGCCATTAATAGTATATGCTGTAAGCATATCAGTGCTTGATTTCTCGTATTCATTTGTTATAGTAGCTGTAGACGCTTGTTGATTGATACCATTTTAATCGGGAGCAGAGTTTGAACTAATTTACTATGCTGCCCTAGTAAAATCCATAGCAAGTAGTATTGATGCCATTCTGATCAGCAGCTGAGTTTGGGCTGATCTTTTTCATCCAGTCCTAACGAAATATTCCAATCAATGAACTATGAATAATACAGTATGTGTAGCAATATAGATTGGTGTTATTGTGATCAGCAAAGGGACACTATCTTTACTTACTTCGAATGATAAACTTAACTCTGATGAGACACTAGGAATTACTCTCTAGCTTAAAGTAGCTCAATGTAGAACTGCATGCAATTCTAAATCCTTGCATTGAATACTCGCCATAGCATTCAAGCAGGCAGGTATGGCAGTACCGATCTGAAGTTGATTAGGTTGCTGGGAGATAGGTCTTGTTGAATCGGAAGATGGCAACGTTATATCAATCATCCATGACTTATACCAGTGAATCAAGGATCAATTGATCACAAGATTGCAATTCTAGGTCAAAATAACATTAAGAAATCAATCGGAACTTTTAGTCATATTCAGCAATGCTTTCATGCTTTGCATGGAGGATGAATCCACCTGCAACTACTGCAGGTAGGCTCAATAACAACATTACCGACTATATAGATCTATAGCTCTATCTATGTTGCAATAATCAGCTATGGATAGATCGATATAACAGTAAGAAATCGATTAAAACTTTCAGCCATATTCAGCAATGTTCTTATGGCTTCGATGGAGGATGAATGAATCAGCAAGCTTTGCTGGTAGGCTCAACAAGGACACTATCGACTACAAGTGTTCGCAATGATCAGCTATGGATAAATTTCTAGACCTTAGTAAGAGTAGAGTAGATACGACACATTAGCTATACATTTGCGGCTTAAATAAAAAGAAATTCCATTGCAGTTATGGCTCAGCAAGGATAGCAATAGGACTATTATTTTGAGCAGCCATTTTTGTATACCTCATCAAGTACCCTAGCTACTCTAACAGTGCCGGTATTTCCATACTGTAATCTATAGTAAAGCAATCATCAACCGATCGACTATGGAATATCTGTGGATCCCATGTCTATCGACCAGTACCATGTTGCTGTAACGGCATTACAGTATTATTCACTGAGTATGGTTAGATACCGTAGACTACCATCCAGTATCGCAATCGTCCATTTTACCCATCACTACTGGCTGCAAAAACCAGGGACTGCTAAAAACCTCGAGAAAAGAGCCTAAAAGAGTAAAATCTCACCATGGCGGAAGAACACATCATATCCAGTCCGTTATCCAATGTTTTTATACCTTCACACTTAAACATCTATCAGTTTTTCTGCGAAAACTTCGATCAATATGGTGATAAACCGGCAATTGTAAGTTTTTGCATGATCGTTCAGGCTGACATGATGCCATTGGATAGCATTAGGCCATACTAAACATGGCCAAATAGATCGATTTTAAAGTGGGATAGATATCATCAGAGTATCTTGGAAGTGTTCTTTCATGTCGGATAGATATGGACTGCTTTCCTTATCGATCGCTTTCCTATCTTTTGCATGTCGAAATGACGCTACTATACTGTAGACTTATGCATTGCAAATATGTCGAAAGTGATCTTGTTGAAAACACGTCGATGAACATGGACAATCGGATTGTTTTATAAGCCTTATATGCAATTGCTGCACGTAGTATACTGTACAAGTGTCATAGTATATCAATTATAGATGGTATCATAGGATTATAATTCCTCATCTGTCTTGCATGTCGAGTAGACTGTATCATTTATTATTATTTTGCTCATCTATCCGGATAGTTGGGGCGTTAATAGGAGAATAACGTTGGCTTTTTTAGCTAATAAAGAGCTTATATTAATTACTACTTTGATATCGATCGGATAGATTGCAGTGTAGATAATGATATAGTGGAGTAGCAGTAGGTTAACAAACATCCAAATAATGGTTGATAAAGCTTGAAAATGAATAGTTTAGATAGGAATCAGTACTACCATTGTGATATAAGTGCACAACGCATAGCAATCAGGTTAACATAGTGCTGATAATTTCTTCCTATCTCTTCCTTTATAATATCTACCGATGTGTAAATTGCTTGCTGATATTGTCGCTATTATGCTACAGTAATTCACTCTGGTAAAGCAATCACGATCATGACAACAAGGTCGCTCTATCCAGTGTTCAAATACTTAACAGAGTTGTTTGAATGATACTGTTTTGATTCCGTAACTAATCTTTCTATCCAAGTTAGTATTGAAAGCTATTTCAATGTTAGGCAAGATAAGTACTAACAATAATTATTTATTTTTATGATTACATTGAACTAGACTGATGCCCATTCCGGTCTAACTCTTACATACAAAATGCTAAAACAACAAATTCGACAATGTGGCTCTGCTCTCAGGCGTGCTGGATTTAAAAAGGGCGATATCTTTGCCATTTATAGTCCAAATCATCCTCAGTATCCGGTCCTAATTTTTGCAGTGGCAGCTATTGGTGGCATTGTATCAACAATTAATCCTTTATTTACTGCAGAAGAGGTCATACAGCAAATGAAATTATCCTCTGCGAAATATCTATTAGCTCATTCATCAAATGCGGCTAATGCAATCAAAGTGGACAAAACACTGTAAGCACTCATCAACTTTATGCGGATTCTTAGCATGATCTCGAAGATAAATGATAGATAGACTAAAAATTAATAAGGACAGAGTTGATGTGGTTGCTTTTAAACATGTTGCCTCGTATTCGGTTCAATAATGTTGACGAAATCCTATGTAGACATTCTTTTGTAACTTACTTAGTATTTGCAATCACCTATAAATGGAGATAATATCAGGAGCAACATTCGATAAATAGCACTGCTCTAGTTAGCATTATTGGTATGTAGTAGCGTCGTTTTTGATTTAAATTAACCTTTGTCAAATTATAGATTGTCATAGTTTAAAATTTCTGGACATTGATTTGCAATTGAATCGCAGATGGTCCATCACCGGATCTGTACTCATCATATTCGACTAAAATTCAAAATAGTAGAACGCTCGATACATCATAATTTACACGTAGGAATATGTACATTTTTACAGCCACTCTCATGGCTAGTTATCAATACTTTCTTGTTATTCCTTACTTTAGAAATTTACGTGGACTGTATGTATTCGGTGAAGAGAAAGGAGTAACCTCATTTGATACATTAATTCAAGATGATGGAGCGTTCTTCAAGCCTGATGCAACTATTGATCCAATCAATGACGTTGTTATGCTTCCTTATTCAAGTGGTACGACTGGAATTCCGAAAGGTAGTAATTGCATTTAATAAAAGAATACTTAGCGTACTATTATCTTCCCTTGACTTTTATATCAGACCATACTGCAAGGATAGTGCTTCTAGTCCATTCATGTTATTTTATCTTATACAAGTAAATAAATCAAATGCATAATATGCTTAAAGTTCACTTCATTGAACTCATAGTTTCCCGGATGATTAATTATTTAGCCACTGCTATGATAACGAAATGCTTACCAAAATTTTATATGTATCCACAGGTGTTATGTTGACACACTACAACTTGATTGCCAATTTCGCGCAACTAATTCATCCAGATGTCAAAGTTTTCGATAGTGATGCTCCAGTTTTGGCTTTATTGCCATTCTTTCATATCTACGGGTTAGTAGTTATATTGCTCGCCGGATTGAGAGTGGGGGCACATTTAATAAGCTACTTAAGATTTGAACCCGAAGTTTTTTTGCAATCGATCGAGAAATATAAGGTAAAACATAACATGTTTAGACCATTTGTGATAATGTAGAGTGTAGAAAGGATTAGATTATAAAGATTGATAAGATAATTTGCTTCTGGTGCTACACAGATCAAATATGCTCCTCTTGTACCGCCGTTGTATGTATTCTTGGCAAAAACGCCACTGGTAGAGAAGTACGATTTGTCAAGCTTGCAGGAAACGATGTGTGGAGCTGCCCCACTTGATTATGACCTTAGCCAGACTGTTAGAAAGCGCGTTGGGTTATCTCTAGTTCGACAGGGTATATATGCAGTTAATTCTTCTATTTAAAGAATAATAAGTAGTGCATTAGTTCAAGCTCATAGTATGAATTACGTTTGACGTCTATTAATTATTGACAATCGACATACGCGTGCAAGTATAAAATACGATCGAAATCCGTAATTCGTTTTTAACCTTTAGTCTATGGGATGACTGAACTTAGTCCTCTTTCGCACATGGGTAAAAGATCCGACAAGGACAAATTAGGAGCGATTGGTATTGTTGTTCCTAATACGAAAGCCAAGGTATCATTCAATTACTTTATTCAAGCAAAGTTTAATTCCAAATGAAAAGTACTTTGGAAATATTTTCATTATTCGAAGGTTGTTGATATTGAAACTGGAAGATCATTACCAGAACATCAACGCGGAGAACTATGTATTCGTGGTCCCCAAGTGATGAAAGGTTATTTGCGAAATAAAGAAGCTACAGATAGGACTATTGATAAGGACGGTTGGTTACATACTGGAGACATTGCATATTATGATAAGGATGGCTACTTTTATGTTGTCGATCGATTGAAAGAGCTAATCAAATATAAAGGCCATCAGGTATAGCTGCCGCTAACTACAATTATTTCATTTAATAAAAAATTTTCTGCTTTAGATTAAAGTAGATAGACTCGGTTAACCCGGCATTGATTTCAAATTCTAGGTAGCACCAGCTGAGCTAGAAGCATTATTGTTAACAAATCCTAAAGTAGCTGATGTTGCTGTTATTGGTCGGCCAGATGACGATGCTGGAGAATTGCCGATGGCTTTTATTGTTAGAAGTGGTGAAATAACCAAACAGGAAATTATCGACTTTGTTAAAGATAACGTCAATCCGCAAAAGTACTTGCGAGGTGGAGTAGAGTTTCTAGATATCATTCCTAAATCGGCAAGTGGTAAAATCTTACGAAATCAGCTGAGAAAGCGCATTAAGGAGTCAACGAGCCTACACAGTAAATTGTAACTGTCGCTATATGAAAGATTCTTCTACTATACAACTGCGACAATTTTAGGGCAATTGATGATGCTTCAATTGTGTGTTAAGTTATCATCGGTTAGCCAATGATTAATTATATACGGATAATTATTAGTCTCAAAGTTGTTGAGATCATTTGATTATTGGTGATATGCTCTTATTTGTAAGCTAGCTATTTGTCAAAGATCTAATGATTCTAGGCCTTATTAGAGACATTCATGGTAGTTTATTAGCTAACACGGTTTATCTTTGTCTTGCGATAACGATTCTTAAGCATAAATGCTGCTAACAGGAATTGCTCTAAATAATTGCCATAATAAACTACCACAGTTTATCTTTGTTTTGCGGTATCTGTTCTTAAGCAGGGATTGCGCTAAATAATTATCAGCGTTTATAGCTTTAAACACACTTTGTTTGCGGTAACCTTATCTAATTTCGTGGGAAAGTGCAACCTAATACAAGTTAGTTAAATTATTCTGTAATACCGTACGTACGAGCTGAAACCATTTTTATAAATTTCATTTTAACTCTTAAAATTTTTGTATAACATTATACTTGCTTTTAATGTTTTAATGCAGTGGTAATCCTTTATATACTAGACATCGCTGTCTCACTATGCAATTTAATGGTACAATCGTAAGACGTGCACTATAGGTTAATAAATTATATAACGTGTAATCTTTAGATATGGGTTCAGTTGCTATCCTGAAGTTTAACTATTTAGATTTACCTACAGGATAGAATATAATAATAAATTAGCCAAGAAACAAGCTCAACATTTTACCACTGGATTGCTTACTAAATGCATGTGGGTTGGTGTATGGTGATATACTGTACACATACCTATAGACTTTATTTACAGCAGGAATGATAGCTTCATCTTGTCGATTATTTGCTTATTATTATTATTATAATCCTCATGACGAAATATCATAAAACACATTCATTATTTATCTAAGATAAATTAAGGTAGTTATTGGTTAATATGATGAAAATCAATGACATTTAATTAAAGCAGTCAGTTGTTATTGTTCTTCCATCGACTTGACGATAAAAATACCTTTCAGCAACTATAGTATAAAGCACATTGAATGATATCAAGACTATTTTATCAATGCAGTCTTTCTCTATTTAAAATGAATTTAACGTTTTCTGGTGGTGAATTTCTAATGATTTACGAAATTGGTGTTGCTGCGGGATTAGTAGACTACGCACCCGATTTAGTCAGAAGCTTGAATTCAGTCAGTAGTGCCTCCGCTGGTAGCTTTTCGGCCATTGGCTTGTTATTATTCCCTACCAAGTTAAAGGAATTTGTTCCAATTTGTATCGAGACCTTCGCATACCTTAAAAAGAATTCTTTTGGGTTATTTCATCCACAACTGAATATACCAAAATTGATTCAAGAAATGCTCGAACCATTTATCCCAGAAAATGCTCATAGTATTGTTAATGATAAACTGTATCTATCATTAACACAAGTGAAAGGAATGAAAAATATCTTAATATCAAGATTTCATTCTAGAGAAGATCTTATTGAGGTGTGTAAAATAATAGTAAACGAATAACAGCTATCATAACATCGTCATTACAGTATTTCCATTATAGTAATGGATTAGCAAATCTATTCGTTAACTTTATAGTCTTAGACTGCGATAAATCGAGTTCAAATTAGAGTCCATCATATGGACAAGGGATACACTGAGCGATATTTACTTTTATCTGTAAATCTACTAGGTATACCAATTTTTAAGATAATGTTCCAATCATTAGTTGTTGTACAATTGGCTAAATTTAGCGTACATAGCTAATCACGAAATGAGCAATATTTGCGTTCATCGTATTCTATTGGGCATAATTTTGGGTACATTCAAGATTTTTCCGACTTTTCAATCACGTAAATTAATCGTCAAGTATCCCTAAAATTGTAGCTGAAATCGTTTTCATCGTACCTATTCTCATTTCTTTCATTTTAAACAGTTTTATGATTACAACTAATAAAATTTGCGATAGCTATATAGTTAAAACCAATATTATGTAGCTGGTATAAGTTAGTACCTCATTTCCTCTTTAAATACACACAAGCAAGTAGTTTATTCTTAAATTTTACTGTATACAAGATCCCTTTCATAATTTTTATTTTCATTTTTCTTATAGAAAAAAATTCATTGATTTTAAAACAGATAGAATATACAATATCTTAAATAATAGCAGTAGGTAATCTAGCTAAGGTATCCGTACCTAATATGAAATTTACATTCTTTATAGCTCGATTTGATTCTAGTAAGCCTAATTTATTACTAGTAGAGTTACTCTAAGGATTTACTTATACTTACTGATAAAGTTAACCTAATCCGCTATTCTACTCTAGCCGATATAACTTCGTCAGCATGCAGCAATACGTAACTATATTAATTCATTATGGTCGACTTTTAATTAAATCGTCGTTAGTTAGAATTTCAGACGATAGCAAATCTTAAAAAAATACATAACGGTGAAATTTCAATAAATATGAGTAATAACTCGGTTATATGAGTCAAAGATTGCTAGTATTCATTTTATCAGCCATAAATTGCAAATTTAGACGATTATAAATCTTGGATGAGATATAGAATAGTGCAATCTTAATAATATAATTTATTTCTAGATGATTGTAAATCCTTAACAAAAATACAGAAATTCGTAGCTATAGAGTTATAGTTCTGTCAAGGGTTTAATTATTGCCAATCTCCTTTATAAAACCATTAATTGCCATTCTAGATGCTCGCAAATCTAACAGGATATAACTTATTGCAATTTCAGAGATGTAGTAGTAATTCTGGTATGGACTTTGCTTTCAATTAAGTACAGTTCTTGCAGAAAAATGATGTTCTAATATCTTCAATCTTCCGTTTCAGTGCTTAAGATGTACCTGTTTTATACCCATTTGGTCAGGTTTTCAACTTCCAAAATACAGAGGAGAGGTAATGTACTTAATTATCTTGTTACTATAAATGATTAAAGCTCATGTTAGTATATGTATATTAACCAAGCCAATTTTATATTTTAATCAATAAAACTTACTAGTATTATATGGATGGAACCATTAGTAATAATATACCAATACCCTTCGGTGCTCATGCTACAATAACAGTTACTGTTGATCCAGGAATGGGTATCATAAGTCCAGGAGATGTTGCATTATATGGATTAGCTCAAAGGAATCAACAAATTCCACAAACAGCTTCTCTGTCAGTTGAATGCTTGCTACGGACATATCGATGTTTAATTCCTCCTGATAAAAAAAGAGCTTATGAATTATACTACCAAGGTTGTGAAGATTCCTTAGAACTCCTTAGAAAGCATTAATGTAAGCTAATATACTGTGCGATTTATTGATATCAGTATTTAAATTAGACCTTAAGAAACGTATATATTCAACAATTTACAGATTCAACAGCTATTCCAAGTAATATCTTATATAGTTATCATTGCGAATCCGAGATTCCAATTCATAGCATAAACAGAAATGTAGCAGTAACTGAGGCCAATTATGGTAGTAGTAAAGAAGATGCAATTGTGAAATTTCTCCATATCGGTATCGAGGAAGTTTTCCAATGGATTCCAGATCATTGCAAGACAATAGTAGAAAGAGATCTAGGTCAGTCTGCCACTTTGTCTTGATACAATATCGTAAAGTACCTATATTGTAATTTATGTAAACATTGGCTTGTTTCTCAGACATATTACAAGCTTGCATGGAAGAAGCAAAGAACAGAAGTCTACATCTTCAGATTCGAAATATCATTTTGCAACCATGCGTTAATAAAATTGAGACAATCGTTGCTGTTTTGCTAGGGTATGGGATAGTCATAGCTAATGTAGACAGTACTAATGTCATTTGAATTTGGCATTCTCTCGATATATTTATTTCTATTCTGATATAACTTAATTGAGTACTTAAATCTAAGCAACGCCTGACTAAAACCTTATTGATCGTCATTATCGGTATAGAGCGTCTTTCTTGTTAAAACCAAATATCCCATTTACTGTTACACAGCCTTTTTTATCGATTAAGTAATCTAAAATAAAAGATATCATGGCAATTAATCACTCTAATCAAGACCCCCTATCTAATAAATTTGGTATTGTATTTTCTCCTTTTAAATTCAACTTCAGCATCGATTTCATTCCTTAATATATCATTATTGATTAATAATCCAAAAAGAACGCTTAATTTCTATAATCGTTGTAACGGACTTTTTTAATGAAGTGTTATCGGATTGGGCCACTGATCAGATAAATTTTCTACTCGCTCTTTTTAGATTTTTTCCTCCTCGGGGCGATTCTTTAATTCAGTCCGTAACATGCTTAAAAACGTAAACTTACAATTTGGAGATTTATCTGCAGTTAATCGATTCTATTCAAACACTAGGTAAGTTCTATAATTTATACTTGAAGATCAGGTACATATAATCGTAGTTTCTGATAGCATACTTTAACTTCTTGGTATTAAGCGTTACTATGAATTACTAACTTACTCTAATACTGTACCAAAATAAATTTAAAATTACAGAACGTAATATATCTGATTGGATTAGCGTTGAATATCTTCGAGAATATCTTAAAAAAGATTATCAGCGTTTGCAAAAATTAGGCGCTATATCAGAAATGATTTGTCGCGAGAACATGGCTTGCACAAAATATGGTAGACAATATAACAGACGTGCTTTTACTATTTTTAATTAAATTTATGACCCTGTTAATTAAATAAAATTAGAGTGGGATCAAAGGGGCAATTCCATCGTTATTAATTTTATATTCATATTTCTTATGCCGTATAAAACAGAAAAGATGAAGCAAGAAATTGCCTCTTACAGAAATTTCAAGCAACCATCGATGTATTTACCGAAATTACTGAAAATATCCAGAAGTTGGAGCATTTAGAACGTTTTCCAAAAAATATAAACGCTATTAAAACCTTAATGATGGATGTACTTGAGCTATTGAATATAAGCCTACTAATTTATTTGTGTAAAACAGGCAAGAGTGATTGAAAGTTTTAGTTCACTCAACCTGCATTCAGCTAATAATAATGACCTTTATTAGAAGGTGAATCGGCATATGCACTGATAAAATAAAATCAATCTTCCATTTTTAAAATGAGGTATAAGTTTCCATGATAAAACGCGTTAGATATTTCCTCTTGACATAAGAGAGTTTGGAGTTTGGCCTTGGTATGGTATAAATATACTCGTAAACTAGCTTTAGGACCGGTAACACCGAGGTAGTATGAATTCAAGAAATTAATTTACTAATTTAATTAACATTCACAAAATTATCAGAATATAAATCAAAGTCATACAACTGCATTGATGCTGGGACGATATGTATCTATAGCAATTAAGAATTGTATTGTATTCAATCATAATATATCGGTTTTACTAGAAAGGAAATAAACTCTACAAGCCCCATACTATGACTTCGTACTCTCATAATAGACTTTCTTATTATAACAGTTAGTTGTGGCCATTTTTATAGCAGGATTAGATGACAATAGCAATTCAGTATCAATGCTACCTTATCATCTCCCTACAATATAAAATATTGTTAAAATTGGATCCTTCTATTATTGTCTGCCGCGACCAATAGACCAATACATCATAAAAACAATCTATCCTTTGACCAGAGATGATGAATGCTTTATAACGATACTCTTACAATTAAAAGAGCATGAATAAACTAGCTTTAGACTGTTGATGATTGTCTTCTCTGCAGGATATTATACTATTTTTTGAATTTAGCAACAAGCGTATTGCCATGACAACCGAGTTCTTTGGCCTTAGAATTGTGACCGTGCATGCGTAATGCCATTCTCGTTGCCATTGTTACCTACTCTCCTGAAAGCAAATACTGTACGTTGCAATGATCGACATTATACACTAGAGCTCGCTGTCTAAGTTATTAGTATAACATAACAGAGATTTAATAAGCACTGAAAGGTTATTTACCCATTTCCAATGTCCATCTAGGTATGGAGATGATAGCATACTTGAATAGTAAAATATAAGTTGCTAACAAGAAGAATTAAAGTCAATTGTCAGAGTTGTTGCAAACGTATTACATCAGTATAGAATCAGAATTGGATTGATTCTGAAATCGAGACTGTTCCTGCCTACCCAGATCTTACAATTCAATGGACTTCAGTTGGATTAATACCATTTGGATAATCATGCAGATTGGTTGTCATTGAGATTCTTTGCCATTCCTGTAGTTAACAATTTGGACAAACCTTCATTACCTATCGCATTGTGCGAAACATATTCAGGCCACTTAACCCATAGCGGTCGTCCATTACAGCTAAGGGCAACTACTATTCGTTGAAAGGCAATGGATGAAGAATTGAATCAAGATGAATCTGTTTTGGTTCGTAATTTGATAGTACGTAGGATGAGATATTAAATAGGAGTTGATCAATATTGTGCAGACTTAATTCAATCAAACTGTCGAACAACATCAAGATTAGTGCTGCCAATAAAGTAGTTTTTAAGACTAGTCAGTTGGTTTTGCGGTAAATATGCTTAAAAAGATCAAAATGACTCTTTCCAAGCTTGTATTGCCTTGGTAATAGTAGTTTACTGAATGTAGTCTAACTGACGTTATGAGTTTATAAAATAATTAATTTCTATACGAAAGTCATTATTGTTTACTGCTACTTTACTTCCAGTTTAATCCACTGCTGATTAAATTTAGCAAACAGCATGAATACTTTAGTTTATTCATTTCTGAATAATCCCATTAAGGAAACTTTACTAGCATTGGATTTGTCTAATTTTATATCATGTTTAGATCATTTACTGTAATTTATCAATCAAAGGTGTGGAATCTCATTTATGAATGTATTGGTTGTAACATTATATGGATAATTCAATCGGTTGGGATTTGACAAATGTACAGTACCTTAAATCCAAGTTAATTAATTTTCTGTCTTTATTACAAAAAATTTTGGCTGCTACTTTGACGACAAAGTCTTTTAAATTTTCGAATTTACCAAAGTATATAGCAGTGCAACACCGTCTCTTTTAATTTAATGCCTATGAAAAATTTGAATTTTATTTCAATATTGTTGAAGGTAGATACCAAGCACATTTTTAGATCTATTTGAAAATATTCGTACATACGGTTGACATTTTACCTTATATTGCTAGAGGAGGATATTAAGGGGACTGCTGTGGGTCATGATTTACTTTTTGAGAACCATACTGGTATCGTTAAATTTAGTATTGCTAAAAATACTTATCTAGTCAAGTTAATATTGTTCTTGGCCTGTTTCTTGGAAATCACATTAGTTTTCAGTTTTAATATTGCAAAAATTGAATGCTGATAGATCTAAGATACCGTGCCTATTAATCTACTTCTTGAAATAGTATCTTAGCTAAGATATTGCTGAGATGGGGAAACCGATCACCTTAACTTCTCTTTGGTCTATTATTTGAAAATTAGTAGTTTTGATTTAAATCTTCTTGACATGTAATTGGCTATAGCGTTACTAATATGCGGATGTTGACCGCCTTAATTTCTTTTTGGTCTATTTCTTGAATACTAATAGCTTCCATTCGAACCTTCCTAATATGTAGTGATTTATAGAAGTAATAAATTTTTCAAACTATCCTATCTCCTAGAAATTGCAGTACTTTCGGTTTAATGTTGCTAATTTTTAGCTACTGCAATCATGAATATCCAGAAGAGAATAGGCTAAAGCTGATAGGTTATGATAAGATCTATTCCTCAGTGTCGTATACAGAAGATGAATTGGCAATATCTTAATGCTACAACAATCAACTATCGCCCGTGGCCGATTAAACAAAATTAACACGTAGTTTTTTCGAATAACTGTTATACTTGAACAAATGGGGAAAGTTGTAGGAGAGGCATATTTATCTTTCATCGGCACAAGATTCATCAAAGATAGTCTTATACTACAATAATTAGTTATAAACCGAATTAATCAAATAGAACTAAACAAGCTTTACCTTCTAATCGTTATATACGCCAATATCTAGCAAAAAAGGGTTAAACGTACTATAAGATGAATTCTATACATTTATTTTATGATAGAACGTGAGTTACAATATATGACCATAACTAGTTACTAATTAAAACTCGGTCAAATAACCTAGAACATACTTTTCTTTCTATCACTGTAACAGCTGCTGGTATCAACAGCTAAAACACTAATAATTTTTCGCCATAGTCGTACTTGATACCCTTAACAAACATAAAACAAATTCGCATTGTATACTAAGTATGGCTTATTTCCATCTTAAATTATAGACTCCTTATAAATATTTTATGAAAAAGTGTGCAGAAGGTTACGATTTTCATACAGCAGGTGATTTGAATTGTTTTAATTAATTAATCAATTAATTTAGACAATGCCATTTTGCCATCTTTTTTCTCATTCTCTGTCTACAAGATGGTATTATACTGTATATATTTAAATAAGTAGATAGTAAATTTCTATGATAAATATTGGTAACAGCAGAAAATTTAATTAGTTGTACGCTATGGCAGTCAATAGTAACACAGGTGATCTCTTTCAGTTCGATTTTTAATGGGTTTAGTATTTACTAGACTCCGTTTAGTGTTTTTCTGCATCTTAGCAGTAAATAATAATGAAAAAATTGTGTTTATTCTGGTGATAGACTTCATTAAACTGGAAGGTAAACTTTTACTTGTCTGTTATATAAATCAGAGAGAATTATTCAAAGTATTTTTTCTCCCGGAAATGAGAAATGGGATAACGATGGCCTAAGTAATGAGATCATTGATAACCTTAGCCTTTCAGATGATCCTGAATTCGACGAAGAAGATATCGAATCTGATTTCTCTCCATCAGGTCAGTTGCTATAATTCATACTTGAGATAATCTTATCGTTAATAGTTCAAACTATGTAATCATTCACGCCACCGTTTTGTAGATAATAAAGATGAGAAAGTAACGACACAATTGGAGCTATCGTATCGGGATGGTAAAGTGGTAAGTTAATTATTTCTCCTACGTTATATGAGATAATAATTAGAAATAGAAAGTTACTCTAGGTTTCAATATACTGTCATGTTTACTATTAAACATACGAAATGAGAAGATAATATCAGTTATGTAGGCAAGTAAACCGCAATATGATACTAATAAAATGCTGATCTTTATTGTCGTTTTCCTATTTGTTAGATTCGAAAATTGAGAGAACCTAGAGATCTTTATACTGGAGTAGATGAAAGTAGTTTTTTCGCTCCTGCTCGATGGTAAATTGATTTGTGCTATGCTAGCTTAATAGTACCGTGTTTTAGGTTATCGAATAAATGTCTCCTTCTTTATTATATATTGAGATTTATAATTCAAAGACGATGTACATAATTTCCATGATAGTAGATTTACAGTAAAGGTCAACTCTTTGTTGATCTTGGCTGAAAATAGTTTCTATTCTAATATCAGAGACGTTAACTAATAAACTATTCTCTTTTTTAATTTATATTGAGTTTTTTAAATCGATAACGATGTACGTAGTTTCCGTTATATGTTTCTATAATAGTAAAGTTGGTCATATGAGTAATTTTGTTTTCTCTAAACTTATGAAATATTCATGATTCACTGTCCGTCATTTCTTTATACATTTTGTAACAATATATAGGAAACAAATGCGAACGTGAAAATTTATGACTAATTTTTATATCTTGTTAACTATATATTATTAATGCTAATGAATAGAATGAATCCTATTACTATGTAGAATATTCATAGATAATAATGAAGTTGTGGCCATTTTCAATCATCAAATAATTAGAAAGTATAATCGCTTGAATATTAATTAATTTGTATATAAATAACCCACAGGCCTGCCGAGATTCAAGTCATAGAAACTGGACCTAAACATATTGAATCTATAACTAAAATACCAGAAAAATTTTATAATTATAATCGAGGTTAGTCATAAAATTTAATTAGATAATAGCTGCGAGATAACTGTAAGTTGAAAAGTATCCAGTCAATTTTTCTAGGTGCTATTAATTTATTTTTATCTAGTTTAATTATTTCTATTTTTGATTTTTCGTCTTACCAATGAACTTTATAAAGTATAATTCAAATTGCCTAAAATTAAACCGTTCAATTAGTTTACATATGTGATATGAGTCGATTCAATATCCAATTAGTCCTCATCTAATTATACTTTTGAAGCTAACTTTAGCTATACAGTAGGATATGAATTGGAAATCAATTAGATTTCTATTTGATCTCTTGTAATCGAAAGATAGCTCTCTAACAGAAATTCTCGTTATAGTTGATTACTTGATCATTGATTAACGGTGTATAAAAATTTTTTGTTAGCTTTCAATGAATGTGATACTTAGCTGCGTGCTATATATTTTATACATTATATACTTACAGTATTGAATATTTCCTATATTACATAAGTAAAATTTCCAGTAGTAACACAGTCTAACACTCTTTACTGCTATTTGATGTAAAAAAAGTCTACAGTTTTAACTAATTAATTTCATTTGATTCTATTATTTAGACCATCGCTTGGAAGGCAATAAACCAGTTAAAATGTTTGATGATGATGCCGATGTTGTCTACTATGTACGAACAGGAGCTACACTCAAACATGTTAGTCAGATATTCATTATATTATATGTTTAATATCTTATAGCAAGTCTATTCATCAGACTAGAAACAGTCAAAATTAATGTTTTTGTTTGCTATTTCTCATAGTTTATTCGCTCTAGTGTGGGAGGAAGTGTCATGAAACCATCTGATCAACAGCTGCCAGTTAAAGAAGACGCCTTAGTATTTGAATCGAGATTTGAGAGCGGCAATTTAGAGAAAGCCGTCAGAGTGTAAGGAATTCAATCAACACTTGCATTCTTTCAATTCCATTTAATGTTATGCCGAAATGTTAAATTATAGGGGCCCATATGAATATGAATTATTATTAAGAAATGATTTATATACACATAAACACACGCAATGGTATTATTTTCGCATCAAGAATGCGATCCCTGGAGTAGAATATACCTTTACAATAATTAATTTAACCAAGGTGAGAAGTTTGAGCAAAGCTTTCGATATTACTTATCTAAGATGATTTTGCGTGATCATTCAATTACAAAACAAGAATAATTTTAATCTATTGGTATTTTTGCGCAATTATTTCAGTCTGATAGCTTATATAATCATGGTATGCAGCCGTTGCTGTATTCTGAAGAAGAAGCGAGTAGGGATGGTGTCGGTTGGATTCGTAGCGGTTATGATATCCGTTACTATAAAAATGAAATAAGGTGGACACAATATTTAAGAATAGCCTTATATTCTGGATGGAAAAGATATTTTAAAACATTTTCGTCAATATTTTAATTGACAATTGCATATTTTGATATTACATAGTCGTGAAGGAAAATATAAAAATAGAAATTATTACTCTCTCTCTTGGAAAATTCAATTTAATAATTCCGAGGATACTTATTACTTTGCTCATTGCTATCCATATACTTACTCCAATTTACAGGTTAGTTTATATAAAGAATTAAGTATACCGATTTCCGAAAACTGCGATAATTGAAATTATTGCTTGAACCATATCAATCAATTTTTTTTTTTCATTAGCAATACTTGCAACAATTGATGAATGATCCAAATAAGAAAGAATTTTGTAAATTACGAATTTTATGTCAAACTATCGCTGGTAACCATGTCTATGTAGTTACAGTAACTTCACCTTCTTCCAATTCTCTTGCCAAAGTAAGATTACTTGATAAAAATTAAAATGCATTGATAAAAGATTTCTTCACTGTATAAGAAATGGATTATCCAACATTTTAATACTGTACTACAGCTGAATTTTTAACATATTCTTTATTTCTTGATAGCCAAAAAGGACTGTAATAGTAACAGCTCGAGTTCATCCAGGAGAAGCTAACGCAAGTTGGGTTATGAAAGGATTTTTAGACTATGTTACCGGCTCTACGGATGATGCTCTGGTATACAATTTCAGTCATTCGGAAGTAGAATACTGATCCATTTTACGACCTAACATGATGTTTCTTTTACTTTTAGCTACTTCGAGAGATGTTTATATTTAAAATTGTTCCTATGATCAATCCTGATGGTGTTATTGTCGGCAATTACCGTTGTTCATTAATTGGCCGCGATCTAAACCGCAGTTATAACACTAGTTTAGCTTCGGCGTATCCTCCAGTATATCATATTCGAAAATTGGTTCAAAAGTGAGCAAGATTATGAAATATAATGTATTATATAAGGGCAAAATGGACTAAATTAGCTTAGAAATACGAAGTATCGCTCCAAGTATTCCTAATTCTACTACATTATATCTCTATAGTTGAGCTTTTAGATATCTTTTTACAGTAATTTATAAAACGATGATAACATAATCAATGTCTTATTATAGGCTATTAAAAGAACGAGAGATTATATTATATTGCGATTTACATGGACACAGTAAGAAGCAAAATTCCTTTATATACGGATGTGAAAACGGGTATAATAATTTAGGACAAAATTGTAGCACAATACAGTGGTATCATTTCCTGTTACATCAAATGTTTATAATGCTTGAAATTGATTAACTTAAAGACACAAATTCTATGTCTAGAAAACTTTAGTATATTTATTAATATCGTACAATCAATGTAATGCTTAATCTTAGAGAATGCAAGATAGAATTGGCAATCACTGTTTTAATTTATTTAAATTGAATTTACTCATTGACTGTAGGCTAAGTCATGAACGATGGTTGAAGGAACGAATATTTCCATCCATGATGTCGAAAAATGCTAAAGATTTGGTATGCTTCAATTATCTTCATGATTCCATTAGACATTAAATCAATCTTTTAAGAGTTTTAGTAATTCTATTTTCTATCATTATGGGATTATCTGATGGATAAATGTGTTTTAGTTCTTGTTATTTTATGTAACTTATCCGTAGCTTTTAATGATATTAACATGTGATCCATATTATACTGAAATACATTCAATATAGTAATCTGTAGTTGCAGCTTCTGAAATAAAGCTCAAACTGGGATCGATATTTGATCTCAAGCAACGAATTACAGAGTATCGTCATTTTATTAAACATGATTTTTCCCGTAAAAACTCTGTTAAAATCCATCGCTATACAACGTAAAAATTTTTATAGAATAACGTTTTCGTTTAATTCTTGTAATTCATCCTTGTCGTATTATTTGTAACGAATTATTCGACTAATAGTCAACAATGTTCCATCCTGCTTGATATTGTAGTTCTCTTTTCGAAGCTGCAAATTTAAAGTACAAAAATATAAGGTAACTTAACTGCTACTGTTTCGTATAAATTACAAATTGCTACTTAGCCCATTTATATCTTTATTGACTCAGCATTATCAATAATCTTATCTGTTCCATTCTAGGAGGGAACAGCTCGTGTGACAATGTGGCGGCTAGGCATTATGAATAGTTTTACATACGAGGTATGGCTAAAACTTTGCAGTTCTATTAGCATATTTAGATGAATTTGAATACCCTGGATAAAGAGAAGAGTTTACAATTACGATTAGTTTTTTATTCCTTTATTTTATCAAATTGTACAGTCCCCTAAGCATTACATATTTCAATTTTTAAATCAGATATTTCCATCTTGATTCTAATTTATTTAAAATTAGTATCATGGATAAGATGGACATTTCCATATGCTTAAATTCGTCTAATAGATGTCCTATTTCGATCTAGACGTCCTTTTGTGGATCAACATTAGGTCGAAAATCAGGTACTCAATTTACAACGCTGGACTTTGAATCATTAGGAGCAGCTCTATGTGATACCGTATTGGATTACTGCGATCCGGATAATTCTAAGGTAACAAATATGATGCAATGTAATTCTTGAGTTAATCTTCCATCTATCTGTAATGATTCTATAAAAAATTTATTCTTAAAGTTGCTAAATTACAATATCTTCACATGAAACTAAATTCTACAAGATTAAAGTAAGATTTAGAGTATATATATTAAAGTAAAGTGATAGCGCTGGTACATGGACGCTTTTAATAAACTTATCTCTATAAGATTTTAAGTTCATTAATTTGATGTGGATCTGCATTCACAAAGTGGAGTTAGTAATATTATTGTTTACTTTCATGATTAGAAGATAGAGTGTAAGACTAGTAACTCCCATTTTGCTCTATATTTTAATTTAAATTGAAGTACTAAAAAATATCCATAATAAGAGGCTGGCTACCATGAGATTAAAAACTAAGGCTTCGAAAACTAATAGTTTGCCATTTCTACAATTTTAATAATTAAGGTTCAAACCATTTATTGCGACCTAGTGGATGATATTAAAGAGAAATTAATGCAAAAGTTCAGAGATAAAGGCAGACATACCGATTTAAACGAAAAAATTGTCAGGAAATATCTATCCGAAGTCGAATCTGAGTAAGTGGAAGGATTTAATTAACATTAATTTTATAATTGGCTGCTTTAGATATTAGAGTAAAGTTGTCTCAATATTGGCGGATATCATTTATACGCTAGTGTTGTAAAAGTAATTATGTTAGTTTAGGATAAGAAATGCAATCATTAATTTCAAATTTTAAATCATTAATTAGCACTGAAGGCTCAAATAGCTCACTATCGGATGGTTCCATTGTCAATTTAGTTGTCTCCGACGGAAAAAAGGTATTTTAGAGCAAAAATCGTGGATAGCGTCTCAATCTCGTACAAATGTAGAAAATAATTAATATATATCCCTTTAAAGTATAGAAAGTTAGTCGTATATTACGCTAACTGATTTTAATTTCTATGAAGGTTAAGAAGTTACGTAGTAGAAAAGAGCGAAGCCAAAGGCGAAACCAACACTCTCAAATTAGGCCTTATACAGCAGATCCGATGATGCGCCAAAAGGTTTAATATTTTATCATCAAATCGAATTAGTAGAAATAATTGAATTCTATTTAACGTCTAACATGAAAATTAATTCAGAATGACTCAACTGAAAGTACAAAACTCGTAGCGATAGAATTTAAACCTTCCAATGGACATAATGGAAAATTAAAAGTAAATACTGGTCTAATAAGATTTTAAAGCGCTCACTGCCAACTAAAAATCTCATTTGTGAAGTTGAATAATTAATTAACTTTATGTAAAAATTATTAAGATGAGAAAATTTTCGGATATAATTTTTTTCAGAGATTTGTTTTCAGAAGAGAAAACGGTAAAAGTGATAGAAAAGCGGATGGTGTTCCCATTTATATACAAGAGCGTTTGGAGGAACGAGCCGCTAAGAGAGTAAACACATAAATTAATTTATTTCTAATTCATTATTCAAAATTGCTAAACGTTATGAATTATCATTTTACTTGATAACTCAACCATTATTTGCTAGGAATTACAGAATTTAAAACTACCTGCTCAATCAAGAATAAAACAAAATAAAGGTATATAGAATAACCGTTTTGCTTTTCTCAGTCGATTAATGTTGGTTTGGCTTGACAATTGTGATATCTCTAATCATACCTTATTAGGAACAGATCATGATATTTTTATTGCAATATCGATTTTGTAAATTAATAGTGGACGTAAGGCAATAACTATTAATAACTATTTGAGGATTAAGAATTCATTATCGTCATATGATATTTATAATCTCTTTGCAATTTATGAAGTTATCTCATTTCTTAAAAACTTCACCTTGATAATAAGTATCTAGTATCTATTTTAAACTATAACGAACTAGATGTGCAGCCTACTTATGGTACACTTTACTTTATAATAATAATCAAGATACAATTTAGAATAATATGCTGTACCAATGTTATTAGAGAATATTTATATACAGTCTTTAATCATTCTATCTTAAGAAATTTTCAATCAACAGGATATTTTGTTTTTGAGCCGCGATAGTAGATTGATAAATGAATTTATTTGTTACACTACCGTGAAGAATATTATTAAATATTATTTTACGTTAATCTGTTAGACCGATTAATTAAAGTAATTTGAGTAGTTGAAGGTTATAATTTGATTACAAGTTCATGCTCTATCCTTATGATACGAGTCGACGTTCATTTTCTGGACAATGGGCTGTTTTAGATGGTAGTTACTTGCAATACCAACGTAGTCACTATTTAGTATTTTTTCTGGCTAATGAAATAATGATAGGCGCTATCTTCTTACTAGTAAATGCAAATGATTTTTAATTACTGATTGCTTCTTATCTGTATATATTTAAAGCTCTAGATCGCAACTCTCAACGGCCGCAATCGAATCGTATTCATAATATAAATTCATTTGGAGATATTGAATCATTATTACGGAAGTAAGTGATTACCTAGAATGGAATACTTATATTGAAAATATGGATTCGAATAAACTATAATCGAACCTTAACTCTTTCATTCCTTTCTGTAATGTAGTGTTCCGCCACCACCAGTATTATCAGTGCAAGAAATTCCAACTCAAATAGAACATAGTACAATTCCTCCAACTGCTTATAGTCGTAGCTTGAGCGCCTATGGAGCGCATTGCTTACGAGGAAAGAGTGCACCTGCATTGCGGCGAGGTGAAGATACCCGACATGAAATGATCGATGGAGGTAAGTTGTTATGAACACTTGCTCAGCTTTATTCGGTGTTGCCATACTAGCATTATATGAATGATGAGCGTAGTACAGAGGGATAGCTCTTCTAATTTGAATTTTTGGTATTAGACTAATTTTTAGTTCTTTTTAATATTGATCTAGATTTACTAGACATCAAAAACGGAAGCAATAATCGCTCTACCCGCAATGAATTTGGTAATCGTGCCGCTACAGCTGGACGAAATGGGAAAATGACAGTCGATCTCCAGCTACAGAAAGATCCAATGGTCAAGGTAATAAAAATACGATTAACTCTGCATTATAAAATAGAGCATATCGTTCTAATGAACTACACAGTAGATCGAGGGTATAATTATTTTCAAACACTGTCAAGGATTTGCTACACCAAACACATTAACCTCTATTTTATAACTTTAGGTCACTAACTAATCGACTTTTCTTATTTCTTTTTTAGAATGTAACTCTCAATTCTCGTGATTCCGGCCAAAAATATAATTATAGACCATCTCATAGACCAGCCTCCTATCGAAATATTTCTAATGACTCAACCGGAGTATCTGTGCGTGAAGTGAATATTAGAAAGACGAATGGGGATACTGGAGATCAGACAAAAATAAGAACAGACAAGTCATCCTATTCTCATCGAACACATCGTCAATTCAGGTAAATTTTCATTATTTTTAAATATCGCATTAGTTAACTTATAGGCAAGGATTCTTAGGTTGTATCTATCAGGCTTTAAGATATTTCTTCCTATCATCTTGCTTTTAGTAACGGAAATGGTCAAGTGCTAACACCGAATGATACACTGGGAAAGCTAGAAGTCAATAATTTAACATGTGATGATTCTATTGCTTCACAATTACTTCGTCATCATGAAGGTCGACCAAAATTATCGACCACTTCCAAATTTACCGTGACTACAGTAAAAGATTTACGTAGAGCATTAAGTATCCATAAATAAAATTTGTTGCATTGCTACGTGTATTATAGCAATAGTATAGAATTTTTTTGTAAGCTAAGACGATATTTGGCTATAATGAGTTGATAGGACAGGCTTACGATCATTTTAGACTAAATGCATTGGATGTTAAATCTGACCTAATTTTTTAACATACCGTTATAAGCAGACACACCTTACGATTAATCATTCAGCAAATAGTACGAATGATAGAAAACTTAATATTTAACATTTAGGGGATTTTGTTATTTCCTTGATGTACTTATAGATAATGTATCCTGTAAATGAATCAGAAATTACTTAAATCATTCCGTATATTATTTCTTCGAACTCTGTTTACTTAATTTATTGTCGACACTAAACTGTATGTTGCTTCTAGAACTGGCAGTTTGAATAATGCTTGAAATTATAATTTTATTTATGTGTAATAGGCGCAAAACCGATGGTTAATTAGTTTACTAAACTCACTGGCTCTAATGTTAGTAATATTTATTAGTTATGCGATGCAATTGTTATTTGTAAATTTCTTTTCTCGTATAGATAAAACAAAAAAGGTAAAGATTTTTTATTTAATTAATTGATCCGGACAGATGCAAATCAGCCGATTCTACTATTGTAATAGAGCGATTTATATTAGACTGATTTCTTTGATAAATAATCATCATCAGGCAATAGCCACAAAATGTCCTCAAATGATGTCAGTAGTGTTTATTTTCTTTCTTGTTATGGTTAATCGAATCACTTAATGAGGTAGGCGTGTGGGCTTTATCATTAATGGATGCGCGATATACCATATTGATTTTATTTTTTATTTAAAAACTGCTTTATCATTTATCTTGTCAACAGCCCTATTTAATGAATATTGAATTACGTATTTAGTCATGGCTGCTATTTATCGTGCTAGATCTTGTATGGCGTAATTCTTATTCATTCATTTCTACATCAGCTAAAGCATAGGACAAATAAATTAATGTGTATGACATTGGGGTGTTTTCGAACATCTGCTATTTCACTTTTAAACTCAAACAACATATGCTGAGGTTGACATAACTGCAGTAATAGGTAGAATTATTCTTATACCGGTTGCTGGTCCTGTTATATATATATATACACCTACAGTGACATTATAATCCATTTCTACTACTGTATATACCGAATTTTCTGTACTCATTAATAAGGCAGTATCATTCATTACGAGCGTAATCAGCCAATACCACTTTATTCAAACACTGTATACTTATATTTTCTATATAACAAATAAGGTATGCATTATATCATGTTATTGCCATTTCCACATGACCTTCTTGATTGTGATTAAACTTTGATATGGGCGGTTAAATCAGATTAGGTACTAACATATCACTTATATACTGTATGCATATACTTGTCTAGACGTATAACAACGAATAATATTAAGCATAGGACGCTTCTAATTTGTGTACTTGATATTTCCAGATGGACCATGGAGGAATTTAATGTTGATATTAAGGTTAAAATTAGGTATAAACAAGACATAATTCGCTGTATGTATTGCATATATATATACATACATGCGTGTATAGACTAGACGTATGGTTAGAATTATCTCCAATAGCATTCAATCTAAGTTTGTGTAGTATTATTGATTTGTATATTGATATTCCTGACTACCTTATGGAGCAGGATGGAATTAAACACTTAATGTTTACTAGTTAGATTCAATTCATTATGAAAGGGTACAATTTGCGATACAAAAGTAATCATTGACGTAGATATATGGCTATTTCTGTATCACTAATAATTTAGCTGATGCTTGTACGGTAGATCACCTAATGAGTGAGAATGGAATTAAAATGAGGTGTATGAGACTTCGGTACACGCGCTGGTATCGACGTGTGATCACAATTACCTCTCGAATAGGATTAACAATACTAACTGCCTAATATGTTATCGACTTACGAGGATGTTTGATATCTGTAGAATGCTTTATTGGTGGGAATGGGATCCAAACATTGATAGTGAGATAAAATCACCATCGGTATGAGCGGGTATAATTTATGTTCTTCTCGTATGTCAACTCATAGATACGCGTAGACGTATGATCACAACTGTATTTTTGATGTTATTTAAAATTGAATTGTATGATGTCGTATTGATTCGCATACCGGATATTTTCAGAAAGCTTATGGATCAGGGTAACATTTATTGTTTATAGTAAGATAAACGTAGGTGTATGCAAATATAACTTACTATATAGAGTATATATATATGTACATCTATCTACTAGGTTCGATGTAGAATATAAACGATTCTATTTGTATCTTTGATATTTCTGGTTTAACTTGTAGGTCAAGATAGAATTTCGGATATTGTAATATAAAATTAAGCATATATTAGCATGATTTGCTACAACTATTATTTATTTAAATATAATCAATATTGGTGAAGTAGACGTATGTTCGCTCTGTATCGCCAAGAATATCGAATGAATGAATTAAAGTACGAGTCTACGCGTACAGTAGGCTACTACTGTACTGAGTATGGCTAACATTTCTAAATTACTTTACAAACCATAATGGTATTTCATGTTCTAAATCGATGCAAATGAAGTACGTAGAATCTTTAGACGTACTGTTAATACATGTAGCATAAATAATGGTATTCAACTCAATGTATACGGTATGCTATTAATTTATATATATAATTAACATTACCGTGCGTAAATTACATTATGGGCCTGTAAAATACTGCTACTCATTTACAAAATTCATTGAACTATTATGAAGTCTTTTTTATTGACTTGATGGGATTGTCACGAAGGTCATAGAAAGATATCCAATCGATGATTAAGTTGGATGTTACGTATGTTGCTGTATACTAGAGTCGATCGATTTAGAATACAAGGGAATGATCGTCTAGTCCTATATTTTCATAAGGGACCGAGTTGAATGAATAAACATTTTCCCTCAGCATAACCGGCAACACTAAGATAATTTTTTTTAACTCATGACCGCTTCTTGTTTAATAACAGATTACAATGATGTTCACTGCTGACATTATGATGATTCTACAACTAAAATGGACTATTGTATCAAGCAATATTTTGCTCCATATGGCCAAGAATTATATGACCTACGGGGTTCGAAAGTCTCCAATAAACCATGCTAATGGATATTATGAATACTCTTTCCAGCTTCAGTGCTTATAGTCTAGTGTCAATTAGTTGTTTAAACGCTATTGTAATCGTTGAATAATCCAATCAATGATGATGTCGGATCAAAGGGTAAGGTATCGATGTTGAAATGGGCAATTGATGAATTTCCCATTTAAAAGCTAGTCGTACAATAGCATGGCAAGATTAGCGTGTGAAAGTTCTTTGTAGTGAGAATTGGTCGTAAAGTTACCCCTGTCACTCAATCAATCATCCTCCTCGCTTGGAGTTGGTGTTGGGCTGGACAGCGCATTTCTTGTTGCCTTCAGTCTTTGTTATGACCCTGAACCTTTCCCGATTCTACATTCCGTGGTAGCGAATGCGTGGATGTTTGTTTATTCTGCGTTCATATTGTAATCAACCTCGTCTATTGCAATGATCCATTTGACTTGTATTATCGTATGATATTTTCAGAATAATCAATGCATACTAGAAAGAGTGGATAGCCTATGATTGCGTCTAGTTGAGTCCTTTCTGTCTAGCAAGAAAGATTTGTTGTTGTTTTAATCCATCAACAGCTTGATAGCGAGTTCATGGACCGCTTGCTGCGATGGATATCTAGTTTACATAGAGATATATCGCTTGGATTGAGTGCAACGATGCAATAGCTTGCCGCATGCTAGCACTACAGTACAGTATCCATCAAGGATTACTCAAAGTAAGACATAATATGCCTAGAAATGTCGAATTTAGACCATGTTGAGCGTCTAGTTGATGAAATGAAGAAGAAATTTCATTTGTGAACTTGTCTCAAATGGATGCAATTGTAAGGGTTAAGTACGCAAACGAGTCTCCGATCGTTTATGTTGGCTATATATCTGGTAGAGTATGCGTTAGCCAGCTGTCAAAAAAGCGCTATAACTTATGTCGCATTCAGTCCATTATGTACAATACTCAGTATAGCAGTTGTCGACGAATCTCAATCATGGATGACCACCGGCTACGAGTAGGCCATGCCTGCCTGACTCGACACATTCTTTCCCCACCCATGGCACCACCCCCGAAATAGCCTACAGTGCACAGTACACAGTACTGTAAACAGGACAATAGGACAACCATCACAGTGTAATAACGCGAACGAGTCGCTAAGCCTATACAAACTGCACTACTCAGTCGATACCCATTGTCTGTTGTTAGCCTCCCGTCCACCCCTGGCACCACCCACCAAATCACCTCCTATTGTATTGTTTTGTCGATCGATCGCGTTACTCACGTGATGCAGGCGATGGCCTGATTGCAAGATGTCCATAAATAAGTCCAATCGAGGCAAAACTCGATTGCTCTTTATCCGCTATACTCAAGCCTATTTCACGCTCCATGACATTGGACCCTTGACTATGGCAACGTTTATTTTTAGGTTGGTTTGTTTACTCTACTGTTTTTGATCATCGCTATCTACTCCTTGAGTCGTTATCAACTTATTATCTAACAAAAAAAGAATACAACGTGCTCGCGCTTGCTTTATCCTCCATAGAATTTCTATTCACTTCTTGATCGAAATCCAATTCATCATTTACATTTTATACCTTGATCATTGGTTTTTATTGCTTTATCCTTGTCGATTGGACGTTGTAGACTTGGATCGAGAGAATCTACACCATTCTTTAAGTGCAAAAATACTCTACTATTACTTTGACCAATTTATAGAGTTGGGAGAGGAAGATCATTACCGTACTACATTAAGTTTAAATTTATTGCTATCATTGCGCCAACCAGTAGATTGGATCATCGAGGCCATCCTTGAGCTCCATCTTTTAGTCGATCAAGTACATATACCCGTAGAATTCTAGTCCATCTCTGAACTCTGCATTATCTTGCTGCAAGAACAAACTAGAAATCAGGAGTTGGTTACTCGTACAGAGACAAGCAGGATCAATTGAAAAGGATTAACTCGTCAATGCGCTACTCAACAATCGACCATGAATCTTTCTCTAGCGGGTTGTGGTTTTTTAGGTCTTTATCATCTTGGCGTGGTATCATGTTTAAAGGAACATGCACCACAATTTGTGAACAGCCTCCGTTCTGTTAGTGGTGCTAGTGCTGGCGCTTTATCAGGCCTTGTTTTACTTGTGGATTGTCCTCTAGGATTAATTACCAATGAGATGATGAAAGTGGTGAAAAGTATTCGTTCATCATCCTTAGGACCCTATAATCCCAAGTTTAACATTACCAAGACATTATCCGCATTGTTAGCCAGTTTCGCTCCTGACAACGTTCATGAAATTGTTTCTGGCCGTTTATTTATATCCTTGACACGTTTGTCTGATATGCAAAATGTCATGATATCGGAATTTCATAGTAAAAATGATCTCATAGAGGTAAGCCAACGGTAAAAAGATTCTTGCACTTACAGCAACTCAACCGCATCGATTGCCTGTCATGCTAAATAAAAAAAATTCCCATGCATTGATGGTTAATCTCGTAGCATTATCCTGTAACAAAATGAGTTAAATTCTCCATTCCATTATAGAGATATTCAGTAATCGCTGTTTGCAATAAAATAGTCATGATTATACTTTGAGCCTAAACTTTTAAAATATTGAAATTTTCTGCTAGTATATACGACGAGTTTTTTTGTTACTAGTGCGCCATCAGGCGTTTATTTTGATTCTTTGTTTACGTATCCGTTACGAATCATCGCCGTTGATTTAGTTGGAATATAGGAAACAGTATAGGCAAGATCTCTTGTATTAAACAGTCATCGATCGCTATCATAGCCTGCTTATACACTACATAAACTCTGAAATGGAGATGATTCAGAAGCAAGATGAAGCAATAATCAATAATCTTCATCGAGAGATGATTTAAACTCACGTTATGACCGTTTTCTCCATATTCTAAATCGATTAAATCCACCGAGTGACCTTACTCATTTCTCACTAGATCGATAGAAATGCTTATAGTGTTTTGGGTTGATTCAAACGCTGTATAGGTTACAGACATACTAGGCGGGTATGTCTCTTCCTGTCGACGGTAAAATGCCACCCAGAAAATTTTTTATTTTACTCCTATAATTAATTAATAAGTTACTAGAAACGACATTAAAAATTTTCTAGAAGTTTCAAAGTTGACAGTGTTGACCTCATTCTAATGGCACCGACAGCTATCGGATTAACCCTATTATTTAGACTAATGTGTCATATTATAATCTCGCGTATTATGCGACCCTTTTCATTTCTACTGTGACAATTTTTAAATTGAAATAATACATATGTTGCATCATTGAATTCCTTATTCCTTACAAACTTTTTAAAATGCGATACCATCTATTCAATATTTTATAACAGTTTCTTCCTGAAGAAGGAAAATAAGTAGGATAAATGAATAATTTATGTAGCTAAAAAACAATGAATATTTTTTTAATCAAACCCGATGGATACGCATTTTTTGATAGTCATTCCTCAACATGAAATGCATATAGTTGCTCTTTGTTACATGTAATCTATAACATACCTACCTATTCTACAGTACTTTGGAAAATGAAAGATTTCTAATAGATTCTGTTACATCATTTCTAGGCGTTATGCACCAGTAGCTTTGTTCCAATTTGGTCTGGAATGACACCGATCATTTATCGCGGAGAGGTAAAAGACAGCATACGCGTAAAACGCAGTTAAAAGAATATCTACTGTATATTAATAAGTTTTATTAATAATACGCACATGCATATTGATTTAAGCTATTTTTCTCAATCTTCCCTCAGTACCCATTGATATAGTAGTCTTGTCTAGATTAATGATGGATCATTCTTCTTTACAGCATTACATTGATGGTGGTTTCAGTGATAATCAACCACAACCATTTGGTCAAAACACCATTTTAGTATCACCCTTTTATGGAGAATCTGATATTTGTCCCAACGATAACTCGATGAGTTTTCATCAATTTTGTTGTAATAACACCAACATCCAAGTTTCTCTATCAAATATATATCGTCTATCTCGTGCTTTATTTCCTCCTGAACCACGTGTTCTCAGATCCATGTGTCAACAGGGATATCTTGATGCACTACGATTTTTACAAAATAAGATGGCTGGCTATTGTAAGTATCAACATTGAATAGCTAGCTTAAGTGATGTGATATACAGTTTTAAGATTGATTTCATTACACATTGTATATATATAAGCGAATAACTGTTGGAATTAACATAATACTTAATCCATTGCACACAGCGCTACACAACAGCATAACGAGCGTGGCCGAGGTTGATCATGAACAGGATATTGATGAAAACTGGGAAATGAACGAAATAAATATACCCAATTTAGAGAAAGAAGATAAAGGTAGTGGAAACAGTCAGGATCTAAATGAAGATGAATTTTCCACTTGTTCCGATGTAAGTTCTAATTATGAAGAAGCTGTAGCCCAGAGTAACGTAATATTTCAACTATACGAGACTGGCGGGATACATTTACCTTTCGGAATGAAAGAAGGTAATGAACTACTACTACGTCGATTTACAGTTATAATGTATTAATAGTTTAAATGGTTTTAATCATTTGTCTATTTAGCTCTTCATATGGCATGCACCGAACCATCTTCTACCCCGACGTTACATTATTTGTCTTCTATAATATTAACTCCGTATTCAATTGCTTATGACGCTTTGGTGTCTCTCGCATTCAGGTTTGCAGCATTGTATTAACTGACTTCTAGTCATATTTGATAAAAGATAATCAGTAACGAACCCTTTCTGTAATAACAATTTTATAAGTTTTACTGTTTGCATCACTTTATAAATTAGGTTATTAAATGATATTCCAATTGCCCAAGCCAAATTGAGCGATACCTGCCGTAGTATTTATTACGAATTGGGCGGTTATGTTTCATCAATCAACTCGAAATTATTCTTTAAATTGCAGTAAGTCGGCTTTATTATATTGTAAATTATTCAACGTTACAATACTAGTTCAGGCTTAGGGGCTTCTTTTCTATTTGCAATATGACGATAATACAAATATAATACAACATATAATACAACATCATGTAACTCTTCATATCTAATATCAATTATTTATACGTTATCACAATAGGATTGGCGCTATAATGAATAACTGCAGTGATAGTACAGGATTGTTAACGATGACAAAGAATTTGCCCAGAAGAGTTTCAAGAAGATTATCGAGAAATCTATCAGTTTTATACCAAAAAACTGTGATGGATAATTTCTCATCTCTTGTCGAAAGAGGTAAATTATAACTGTGAGATTATATCTTTCATTGAATATTTCACTTGTTAAGCTATAGGACTTTTTTACCGTTTTGATAATTTTTAGTACGGCTGATAACTACTACCATGGCCTACATGGAAAGTTGGCAACTGTCACACTTGGTCTCTTTATTATCCACACTGTTGAAATTTATTTTTCAGCATTCGGAAAGTCAGATCTTTGCACGAATATAGGTCTCTTCGTTCCAGTCAAATCGATCAATGTCTAGTTATATTGCAGCAGTGATGAAGATTACATTCATTGGCATGAAACTTTAAGATGAGCATTTTCTCAAATATCAAGTATCGTGAATGATACTATTTATATGTATGTAATGCAATGGCTCATCAATTGGTTACTAAATGATAGGTATCTATCAGATAATTAAGAATTTTGATCGAATGTATAATTTCTTATCAAGATAGTACATTGTCTATTACTGTATATGACAAATGGAGAATTAAAAATACCCTACATCTTTGTTCTATCTTGGTTCTTGTAAATATAAAAATGAACTTTTAAATGCTACCTATAACAGTTATATTGCTAATTAATTTTATATTAATTTGTAAATCAATGTTAATCTTACTCCACAGAGATAAGGAATAAGCAGTTATATTTGTAATTAGAGTACATGAAGGCAATGATATATATTGACCTTTAAATCGCTAAAGATATGGCTAAAAATTATTTGAATTTGTACTCAGACTCGATTTTATTGATTTTTTTTAACGCTTGAGAAATGTACATCGTTTATATAAGCGATTTTATAGATTTGAAAACTTGGAATCCGTTATTATGAATCATTTTAGAGTACAATGTAATATATTGGATCAATTTATGATCTTACGGTGTATATATACGCAAGATAGCACTTATTGATGGTGCTACACAGATACAGCGGAAGTGAAATAAAATAGTAAGACAAGTAAATACAGAAGACTTGTATTATAATTATCAAATATTTCTTCAAAGATTTTTTGATTCGTCTATTGGAAAGAATCATTTTCTGGTCGAAAGCTACATTTAAAAAAGCCTATTTAGTGTTCAACTTCATATAACATACAAACGCGAGTAACATATTAGTTCTCTTACGCGATAATAGTATTAGCTCTTTGGCCATAAGCAAATCTAATTCAACATCTTAAAATGAAATTGTAATGCTGTAGTTCTCTCAAGAGCCGAAATTATAACATTTGTGCATATCAAAGATTCATAGAAATGATTAAAAATGCTACACATAGCGCCGTAAACGATGGTATGCGTCATATTATAATATATATAGAGAGAGTATTTAACTTATTCATGCTTGCAGTCTAACATACGAATAGGAATAGATCGCAAGACACAGGTAAGTCTTAGTATTAATAATACAATCGAGGTTAATGTTAGTGATTAAACTTAATAGCCGCGTTTTACAAACGATGGCCATCATTTCGAGAGATGAAAGCAATATCGCACAACTTTGAGTATCCCATTAGCTAGTCATCGGAGTATGATCAAGATAACCGAAGTTGTATTTTAAGAATAAATTGATGCTAAAGAATATTTTCATGATAGAATCATTCGAATACTCTATGTGTAGTTAGTCTATCGATAAAGTTATGTTGAAGAAAAGTTATTCAAAGTTGAGAATGACTAATTCAAAAATGTACATCAATATTTGCCCCATTGATCTAAAATACTAATGTTACAAATAAATAGATGTACAACAAATTCTTAGTTGCCAACGTTTTTGTCAACTCTTCTATCTCACGTAAAAGCAATTATAGTACAACAAAGTTTGCGATCTTAACTAATTAACCGTAATAAGCAGAAAAGATTTCATATTTTTATCTACTTTCTAAATACCATCTTTTTTCAAGACAGGGAATGTAGCAAATGTAGCTACTGCACATTCATTAGCATTTGTCGATTTCATTCTCATATAGCCATTTTCTCCCCAGTGTTCTGACCATGAGTTTCTTATTATCCAATAATGTTCATTACCTAATTTACCATATCCAACTAAATTAAGGGCATGATTAATATGATGTATATCATTGTAGCAAGTTGGATCTTCAAAAATGCCCGATGAATAGAAGTGGAAAGAAAGTGAATGAACATTAAAAGCGATGGATATTGGGCCAATTTTTGAAACGGCTAACCGAACTGCAGAGACGTTACCTGATGGCAAGACTATAGAATAGCCGTCTAACCGAACTCGATGAGTACAATTTAAAAGATGGCAATAACCTGGCGATGCCAAATAAGGACCATAGCATTTAGCCGATGGAATGCCATGTTTGGTTACGAATTGATAGGCAGCATATTCCATACCGCCATTACATGCATAGTTACCATATCCCCATGAGCAATCGATAATACTCTGCTCGGATAATGGTATTAATCGACCGGTTTGGCGAAAGAGAGCACTTTCAATTGGTGTTACTGCACTAAAAGCAAAACAGGAACCACAGTGAGCTTGATATTTAATGGGAGTTACAGCGCCTTTCTTTCTCCAATCGATACTTTCTAGTGGTTTTTCGTGTGGATCATATTTCCAAGGTATATAATTCTTTGTAGCATGATAAAATCGCCTTAAACGTCCTCTCATATTAGTTAATTCTTTCTCAGTCATATCTGCCATAGGATTAATAGCCAAGGTGTAGCTTTTCCCTTGTTGGTTAACATCGTTAATGTATTGGACATTATTAAGAAAGTTAATTTCACGATGACGCCTTTCAAACCAACTATGGTATTTCTTGTTATGTTGTAGTATAAATTGACTAAATAAATTACCACTTGGATCATTGTATAATTCGGATAAACTGGGTTGTGTTTGCAATGGAAAGTCTTCTATGTCCGCATCAAATAATTGTAATTGATGTTTAGGAAAACCACCACAATGTGTACCATTTAAATCAAATATTGAATCTGGGATTGTTCCTAACTGAAATGACTTAATCTCTATAGTATAGTAGGAATAATACCGATGTAAGAGAATATCATAACAACGTTTTCGAAAACGAACTGGTTTTGGATGAGGACCTTGTGTTACATAATAGTCGTAAAGATAAATTCGACCCAACATTTTATAACTAAATGACCAAATGTTGCATTTTTCATTACCGCATTGAATTTCTCCGCTTTTACGAAAAATATTAACCAGTGATGGAATCGCCGTCTGGGGCCGGTAAGGGTGACGAGGTCGGCCATGAATAGCGACACAAGACTTTACATTATATTGAGTTTCAGTTGTGATTGGCATAATTTTATAAGCACTACCAAACGGGCCATCGTCTCTTCGAATAATAGTTGTACTTACACCATGATAGTAGTCAGTTCGACTTTTTCCTCGTCGTGATGACAACCACAGTGTAAAAGGTTTCTTAATGCCGCCATAATTTGTTGGCGTTATTCGAACACCAACTATTTTATAGTCAGATTGGTAGATAGGAGGATGTAGGCTTTCTTCTCTAAAGGAGAAGTCATCATCATCATCAAATTCATCACCATGGACGACGGCGGCAGTAGCACTGCAAAATAGAACCGCAAGGATAAATAAATTCATAATATTATAAAACTTAGATCAGGAATAGCGGTGGTTAAAACGATTTATCTAATTTTTTTCAAATATAGAAAAGTGGACGGTGTTGATTTTTTTGATCTTTCGATGAGAAAATACTTTCTCATACAATGATGATTGGGCCTTTATCTTACTTAGATTGACTTATAAACTGATCGTGAATGAAATTGGCTTTTACTATATAGACAAATATAAATGATAAATGAACAGCCTAAGGGCAAATAATCCTGATATTAGTACTGTATTAAGTTGAACAAAATTATGGTTACATTAAAGACGAACTGTATTTAGATTGGCCTTTATTATGCTAATAAACTCAGAACCTGTTGATTGTCTAATGTCTACTGTATAAGTCTTCCTTGTCTTTTAATATTTTGGAGGTTCCCCTGCTGAGATGCTTGATTAACTCGTTGAAGCCAGTAACATCTCAACTCTGATAGAGTAAGACTATAATCAATAATTCCAATCAATTGAATTTACACTATGGTAGCATTCCTGATTTAATCGGTTAGTTTTCATCATGGACAATTCTGTTCGATTCAGTTTGATTTTAATTATGCATTATTGATTTATTGAAATGAAATGAATTCATAGATAAATCACCGAGAATTAGGATTACTTACTGAAAATTATTATATAGAAAGTTGGAATACTGCTGTAAGAAGACGTAATTTAACCATATTTAAAACTATGAAATCCGAGCGAAATCGCGATTTAACAAATCCTATTCTCATCATTTTAAAATTGAGCCTCTTTTAAAGGGTGCATAGGGAATGTTATTTTATTGTAATTTCTACTAAGATATGAAGGAAAGTATATGTAGACATTGGACTACATTTCCAGTTCTTAGCTGCGTAGAGATGACAGTTTTCTTGAGAAATTATTACCGGCCTATGTCATAGTATTCTTCTAATACAGTTTGATTATTGTTTTATTATAGCATAACTAGCAATAGCAATTGCAATTGCGTTGGTATAGCAATCATACACATATCGTTATTTGCTTAATTCTCATTACTTCAAAATTAGGCAACATAAGCAAAAGGTTTCAAGTGCTATATCGCACTTATAAAGTTTATGTTTCAGTACATAAGGTATTTCTTTATAATAATAGTGATAGCATTCAATCCCTAAATTTAGTGAGTACTTTTTAAAAATGTGCATGTGAGGAATATCAATGGAATAGAATCACAGCATATAGTCAATTTCATGAGTTATATCAGTTTTAACTTAATAAAGAATACAAATATATTTTCAGTTACACATTTTCCGACATTAGGAGAATTTTATTTTGGATCTAATAGATAATGCATTATACAAGTAGCGATGATTTAATAGATAGCAGTCATGATTCTTTTAGTCTATTCCATAAATATACAATTAATTTACGATCTTAATTTATTATAAATTAGGTAAAATATTATTGCTAGTCGATTGATCGTATTGACAGATATTGTTCTGTCTTCATTTAAAATGATTCCTCCTCGAATTTATTATCTCAGTTGTTTAATGCCAATATTGGATAATAAGCATTTGTTGCTAGCCCACAGTTATTATTTCTTGTTGATATTTTAATATAACCATGATCCCCCCAATAGGCAGACCATGAATTCTTAATTAAAATGTAATCTTGATCATGTTGTCGGCCATAACCAATTGCTAGAACATTATGATCAAGGTGTGCATAATCTCCAAGGCATTGATCATTATAAAATACTCCAGATGAGTAGAATAAGAAACTTTTCGGGCTTGTATTGATACTTACAGTAACAGGTCCAACTTTAGCTAAGGCCACTTTTAATGCTTTCATATTCCCTTGAGGAATTTGAGAATAACCTTTCAATTTAGCCCCTGTAGTTAGATCATGATGATGACAGTAACCATTTCGACCTAGGTATTGTCCATAACTGGATTTGGTTGGAATACCTCTTTGCTTAATAATCCAGGCTAAAGTATGACTAATAAATCCACCAGAACAGCCTTGATTACCAAATGGCCAACTACAATCTACTAAACTTTGAGATGATAGTTCTACTTTCTCACCAGTTTGGATATATAAAGCACTTTCGATTGCTTGAGTAGTTGATAGCGCCCAACAAGAACTACACATGCCTTGGTCTCTTATCTTCGATATAGCGCCTCTATCTCTCCAATCCAAATGATCTGCTATACTTTGATTTAAATCTAATGCGAAAGGCAGTTTATATCGAGTAATAAAATTCTTAACATCATGTTCTAATTTGCCGTAATTTAATTTAAAATGACGTTGTGTAAAATTCCAAAGTTCTTTATCCGATCTATCAGCAAAGTGATTTAATTTTAGTTGATACTTTAACCCTTTCCTATTTGTTGATTGAATAAAACGTAAATGTTGGCGAAAATAATTTTGTCTTTTGGCGTGTTGATGATGATCTCTATATCGATAGGTTTTATTATACTGATGGGTAAATTGATGAAATAAAGAATCAACTGGATCATCAATGGTTTGTTCAGCTGGGATAAGCGATTGCATGGAATTAATTAGTCTTTGCTGTTGGTAATGATGATCATAAAGTCTTTTACTAGATAGTAGTCGACATGGTATATTATTGGGCAATTGAAATATCTTTTCATCACGAAGTTGATGCGGTTGATAACCTTCGTATTCTTCATAATCGATGATATAATGATCGTAATGATTATGAAATAAGTTATTATAGCCAAACATGATCAATTGAATCGGAATAGAAGTTGCATGTTTAGTATAGAAGGTGTAGCGATTAATTTTATGCAATATCGTTTTATTCCATGTCCATTTATCACAAAAGGTATGACGATAATATATGTTTTGTTTCTCTAGATGAAATTGTTGAAAATTAGGAATAAATGGCTGAGCTCGAATCGGTTTTAATCGCGTTCCTCGACGTCCAAGACAAGTTTGTTTGATAATGCCATCAGATCGAGGTATAGGACAGATTTCCCAAATTACTCCATGACTTTGAGGTTGATAAAAATTGAAAATAGTATCCATCCCAGAAAAATAGCTAATTAGACTCTTGCCCAAGGTAGCAGAATACCATGCTTCAAAAGGTTCGACTACATTTGCGTAAGGTAATCGAATTTTACCTTTAACCCGATATTCTAGAGGATTCTGAGGTAAAACTGTCATTGTTTTACAAGTAATTGGTTGCATTAATAGAAAAGAGAAAACCCAAATGATTCCATGAAACGTAGCTATAAAATGACAAGTTGATTTCATGGCTGCTTACCGTGATTAATTACTAGTTTGATTAGTCTAAAATGGGAGTTTTTTTCTGGATCTTAAATTACAAGGTATAGACGCAAGCTGGAATAATCAAACAAGATTAATAGACGACAACGACTATTTGATCGTCAGTCCAAATAGGTAGAAAAGGAACTGATTATTTGAGGGTACTTTTAATTTGGTGTCGATGGAATTCTTGGGCCTTGCGATCTAGTGTCCCATTTACGTTACTCCACATGTTAGAAGAAGATTGCAAATGGAAAGACCAAGAAACTATTTATGAACAAAAGATTAAGGAATAGAAGGAGTTGCTAAAAATGAACAATTGCTATATTAATAATTACCATTGGAGTATGATTATTAGAGATTCGCAATAAAACATAACAGGATTAGAAAATTTTCGGTTGTATTCTACTGTATGTCCAATAATGCTCGAATTTTCCCCAGGAATGAGCATAAGTTTAATGGACGCTTATAGTGGAGTGTATCACATGATGAAATAATATCCATTGTTTCTTCTTGATTAATATATTTTAAGGACTTGCAATAACACCTATTCTCTGTAATGCTAATCCACTTAACGGTCCCATCGAAGATCTGGAGTTAAACTAATACATAAGTGTCCTATAATATTGTCATGGAAGAATTTTTCCTTACGATGTTAGCTATTTACAGTATGATTAGCAGTAAAAAATGTCGCTCATCAACCAGGAAATTGTTTCTATCGTCTAGCCGTTAAACCTATTTCTAGTATAGGGTAACCAATTTATCTAGTTGATTACTCAACTAGGAGTCAATCGATAATTATAATAGTAAGTGGAAAATAAATGATATATGAAGGTAAATTTATTACGTTAGCTGCTGATAGAAGACAGGAAAGTGCCAAATTATTACTATTTTTTTAGCCAGAATTTCTGTGTATTGCCGTAGGTGGAAACACCCAAATATTGATGCGAAGGGGTTCATTTATCTCAATTTTTTCTTGTTATTCACTAATAGTAAATTAGTAATAGTGAGTACAATAGAGGATTGCAAGAATTTAGCTTTAAAAATGGAGAATTTGTTACATTGCTATCCGTGAATCTTTATTTGCTAAGAATGGTGTTCAGATTGCTTTGTACGATGAGTGCTTATTCATGCTCCTCGAATGTACCAATAGAAATATACCGTATAAAATCACCTTGCAAATTTTCCTTATGCTTCGCCTCTTTAGGCTTAGTTCAATTGTGAGTATATTTATTAACATTGATGAGATCTTTGCTTTCAGTTTTACTTTTTATGAACCGGTAATTAATCCATTTAGATGGAATCGCATGAAATTAACAATATTGATCATTCTCGTCATTGCTTATTGACTGCATAGTAGATTTTACTAGAATCTGTCGCATCAAAGAAATCTACTGTACTCCGTGTTTGTCTACGCATATGTGATGTTTAGTAGTATGCAATGTTTTGCAAAGGCCGATATTAGTCTCCTCGATTTTAATAAAGACTAGACATAAAGATTCATATTTATGTATCCATTATTATTTCTATAATAATTCATTACAAGACGAATTATTGTAGTCTCCTTACACTGGCCCCATGCTCAGGACTTGTTACATAATATAGCAACACATAACAACATATCCATATGTACTGTATATGCTATATATATAGATACGTTTGTATTGCATATGCTTATATATCTCTGGGATTTATCTTCTCGAAACCACTATCATTTATATAATATTTCCCAAAAACTATGCGTAACCTCCTGTATCGTAGTACTGTAGATGAACAATCATAGCCACTAACTCAATATTCAAGGTAGTCATCCAGACTAGACGTGCGCTGAGATTTATCTTGACGAATCTTCTATCATTTATACCTTATTTCACCAACTATCACAAATAGTCTCCTCTACCGTAATATATTAATAACTTTTACCATTGAGCCAATACTCAATAAATAGCGTCATCAAGAACCAGACGTAAAAATGTCTATTTATGAATCTACTCTCATTTTATTTCTAGAATAGTTTAACTAGAATCGGACTTTGCACATAGACATCTAATTCTTTTAAGTACAATATTTGTATCTGTTGAGTGATACTTTATCGCAATAGTTTGCGAGAATAGAATGATCAATTATGAGATTAACTAATTAAAAAGAGCAATCACATAATAGATTAATCAGTAATAGGGTATCATCACATGGACAACGACTTGAGATCTTTCTATATCATCAAGTGAATAAACGAGTTAAAAAAAATATATCAGCCAAGAAGTGCATAAATACCATGACGAACAATTATACACGATGCATAGGCTATCTATGGTTATCAGATAGAATTAAAACTTTCAAAGAGATCATTTACAAAATACTGCCAATTACAGTCTAAAGCTAGTGAAAGCTTGTCCAACTACATGATGTTGACGAAAGAAGCATCGGTCGCGATACCACAATTGTTATTTTTCATGGATAGTTTAACGTATCCGTCGTCTCCCCTATTAAACAAAGATAATTATGTTTTAATCATAGGCAATTGATATACAATTAGAGTTTCTATTTCAACTGTTAATGATCTCTGTTGCGTTAATAATGACTTACCAATGAGTAGACCAAGAATTTTTGATAATCCAATAATCTTGGCCATTTTCATTACCGTAGCCAACAGCTAAAACAGCATGATCTAAATCTTGTTCCTTATTACCACATTGTTTATCGTAGTAAATACCAGATGAGTAGAAAGAGAATGACTTTAAAGCAGCATCCATGCCTACAGCAACAGGTCCGACAGCAGATACAGCTAATTTTAAAGCGGATTGATTACCATGTGGTACTTGTACCCAACCACGGATTTTAGCACCAATTTTAGTCTTGTTCAATTTACATTTGCCATCTTGAGCAAGGTATTGGCCATAGCTTTTTTCAGTGGCGATACCACCATGTTTGGCGATCCATTCGAAAGCCCTAAATTCTTCACCACCATCACATCCGTTGTTGCCAAAGCCCCATGTGCAATCAATCATATTTTGTTGGGATAAACTGACTAATTTACCGGATTTCAAGTAGAGAGAACCTTCGATGGTGCCAGTAGTACCAAAAGACCAGCACGAGCCACAAACACCTTGATCCTTGACCGGTGTGACAGCACCCAATTTCCTCCAGTCGATGGTTGGAGCAACATACCTCTCTAATCCAGTTAGATTAAATGGCATTTGGTAAGTTTTACTTTTCTTCAAGCTCGTTTTCCTGCCGTTCATGACTTTAATCTCGTTATCGGTTAAATCAGCTAAATGATTGACTTTGACAGTAAAACCAAGTCGTTGACGATTGGTAGAATGAATAAAGCGTAGATTTTGCCTAAAAGTATTTTCTCGGAATCTTCTTTCTCTTTCATCTTTATAATTTTTTTGATGTTTACTAGCAAAATGATGAAAGATGCGAGGTATAGTATCTTCAGCTTCATGATCAATAAATTGTTGCATGGGTGAAGAAATCATATCGGCTTCCAAGCCAGGTCCAGGGAAACCATGGCATTTCATTTTTTTAGGTGGATCAAACATGTTGTCGGCTATTTTTCCAGCTTTATAATTCTTATAATCTAATTTGTACTCATCATAATGAGATCCTAGCAAGGAATCGTAGCCTTCCATGATATAATGGACTGGCGATGGCTTGGAACCTTGGGTTACATACATAGTATAGGTGTTGACACGGCCCATTTGCTTATTTTTGTAGGTCCAGACATCGCATTTGATTTTGTTGTAGGTTTTGGTGCCAGTCTTGCTAAATTTGCTTAAATCTGGTAAGATGGCTTGTGGTGTTACTGGAGCAGCTTTGCTACCTTTAATGCTAAAGCATTGGCGGACATTGGTGAATTTCTCGGTAGTTTCAGGTACTAATTCGTATTTGGCACCATGAGCCATCATATCGCTCCGTTGGAGAACGATATCCATGCCATTATAATATTCGATTCTGCTCTTATTCGCTGAAAAATAAGCTTTAAATGGTTCGACTATTTTAGCGTAAGGCAAGTAGAGTGTCCCTTGCACGGAATAGCTTGATGCCCATTTGGGGCCACCATTACTGGCCGGCAAAGCGGCAAGAAGTTCAACGCTGACGAAGAGCAAAATTAGCAAACTCGCTTTCATCATTCTTGGCCAATTTGTTGACGACATACAGTATGATGAAAGATTTTTGCCCTTGTTCGGTTTTATAGTCAGGGCTTCCATCCGTCCCTTGACCAGCTGTAGACGCCACGATACAGCTACAGTATTGCAGGGTAGAGTATAGACAATGTTGTACTGTATGGTCCACTACCATTTGATATCGCGGGCTATGAAAATATCACGTGAGTTTTGCGTGAGCCTGTGGACGGACAGCGATCGGACCTTGTCCTCATGGGCTTCCAGCGTACCGTACTGTACACTGTACAGTACACTGTACAATGTACAATGCACAGTGTACACTGGACAGTACTGTAGACATTGTACTGTATTGCAGACAGACGGACTTTTCTGACCTAAGCAAAGGAAGGCCATCAAGACAGTAGTGAAAAATGGCTACTTGGTATGAATCTTCTGTGTCTGTTTTCGAAATCGCTGGTACTTAATTAAAGAACGTCGACGATCTTATATGACTGTTTCCAAGCAGAACTGAGTAACAGATATTACGATTCAATGTAATATTACTTCATTTAGAAAACATCAGTCAATTTAAAATTGACCGTCTGCAACCTAAACTACTGCCATAACGAAGTGGCTGTACACGAAATTTCAACGGTGACTTTCACCCAAAGTGTTCGCCATCGTATTTTGACGACATGTGGCTGGAAAAGATCTGTCCATCCAAGAGTGATCACTGATCAGTCCAGCTCTTCTTGCAGTAGTCTATGATTATGTATCTGTTGCACTCAACTAAAGTAAATATGTTACGTTGTCATCAAAATATCGAATAAGAAAACAACAGGTCGTTATTTATTGAAATAGCGTTGTTTCAACTTGTTTGCAAGATGGAAAGCTGCTGTCTAGTACAGTAGAAGAGGGATGGAAAATGCCCTACATTTTACTGTATACACTACAGTACAAGTATATCTTGTAAAGTAGAAAATGACCTTCTCTTCTGCACGGTAAAGATACTGTAGAGCTCAAAAAGAAAGTGACCATGACTAAAGATACTTTCCTGATCTATTGATGTTATCCTGGATATTAGCATGATTAGCTATATTATAACTGATATTAGTTCAGTCTCACATCATTACTTGATGCTATTCGTGTTCAAAATTCATCACTATTTGCTATGCTTGCATGCTAATAAAGCGAGAATTTTCACTATTAGATAACCTGACCACATGATTATGGGTAATCACGCCGTTATTCGTAGCATATTAACATAATATTTCTCTAGTCATCATGGGTTAATTAATTTACATATCAAATAATATAAAAGTGTCTGAACAAGGGAGCAGAAGAATAGCGGATCCATTTCTATTTTTAGTTGTTATTGACTTAAATCAAGATACTAGAAATACTGCGCATGATTTTATCGATTTTGGCACTATTCGCACTAGCCTCGTATAATGTCAATATGTTTATAGAAAATAGCTTAGATATACTGTTATACAGTATAAGAGTAAGAAATATATAAAAGGTGTTACACATTCGTTCTAATTATCTTACAAATAAAAGGATCATTTGTACACCAATTGGTTAGCCTTTCGACAGCAGGTCAACATTCAGCTTAGCTAGTTGAAACAACAACGACGCATAAAATGACTCAGATAGTACTGATTACAGGTTGCAATTCCGGCATAGGCTTAGCCCTAGCTGTAAGATTAGCTCTTGATCAAGATCAAAAGTATAAGGTTTACGCTACCATGCGAGATTTAAGTAAGAAAGATCAATTAGTTCAAGAAGTAGGCCAAGCGTTACAAAAGACGATCTTCATTAAACGAATGGATGTAACGATAGACGACGACATCCATACTACGGTCGAAGAAATAGTCAATTCAGAAGGTAGGATTGATATCTTAGTCAATAATGCCGGTATTTGTGTCTGTGCACCAATAGAAGCAATAAGTATGGACGTTTGGAGAAATATCATGAATGTGAATTTTATGGGATCCTTTGTCTTAACTCGATCTGTCTTGCCACATATGAAAAGACAGCGATCTGGAAGGATAATCAATATTAGCAGTATTGATGGAGTTGTCGCTATTCCCTATGATACTATGTACTGTGCGTCTAAATTTGCTTTAGAAGGAATGGCTTTATCGCTGGCTGTTGAATTACAACCTTATAACGTACACGTATCGTTAATAGCGCCCGGTCTTGTAGCTACTGACATGCCAATGAAAGCTGAAAAATTACTTCCAGAAAAATATGGAGTTAAAGAAGCTAAATTAGATGATTTAACACGGAAATTACATGAAGACTTAGGGAAAGTTTGGCAGAGTTTTGGCGATACACTTCAACCTGTCGGTGAAGTTGTTGATGAAATTGTTAAAGCTATGACCGAGGAAAAGCCTGCCCTACGCTATATTACTGGCGAGGGAATGAGCGATTTGTGCAGCAGAAAACTAGTGGATGTTACAGGGAGATCTTCCGTTGAAGTCGTTAATGCTTTTACCCAAGGTCTATTCACCAAACCTAATTAATTATTATTTCTTGACGGCTAGTGGTTATTCATAAAGCATTGCTAAAAGCTATATTAACTTATTTCTAGCCATCTATTTAGTAATTTATCGTTAATAACCATCACTATTAGCTTGGAATAGTGACGGTATCGTGTGCATAAACCCTTCAAGTTACACTCCAACCATCATTGATCTCTAGTTCTCCAAGGCCGCCTTGTTACCTTAAGATAGCTGCGTTTTATTATTAATTAAGGTCAAAATTACATATTTTTCAACTCTAGAGTAACGAACGTTAAATTTTGAACTATTAATAGGATTGAGTACTAGTTTATGTTGTTAAGCATGAACTCACAAGATAAAAGTTAGTTGCGTACAGTATAATATTTACGCCTTATAAATTAGATAATCGTCATGGACATAAAGAAATTAGATTTTTAGGATGATTTCACCTATAACAGTAATTTCCGTTGGAATGTTGTGGATATAAATAAATTCAGTTCTTAATATCTGTATATGTGTGTATAATAGTAATCTGTACGATGATAGAAATGTTTTAACGATTAATAATATCGCGTTATCACTTGCTGATCGAGTAAGCTATTTCGATGGTATTATGGCCAATAGTATGTTATAGTTTAAACTTACCGTAATAAATTTAATTGGCCTAGAGTAGTGGGATGATGGATCTGTTACGAAGTAGAAATTTCGCAATTGATTTACTATGTTGGACTCGTAGTTATAATTCGTAAAATCTGCATGTTTGTCTGATGACTAAAATACAGACGCATGTTTTTCATTATGGAACTGTAATCATTGAGATAAAGCTTTAAGCACAATACGTTTTTGTCTTATATTGCTCATCATAAACTTATTATCTTATTGATTGATGTGATAAAGTGCCCGTTATTATTCATGGTATGCCGTTATAGAACGTTATTACTACTGTTTCCCACTTATAACTGTACTTATATCTATAATAAAGTTCAGTTCAGTACTCAAGCTCTAGTGGACTCTTTTAATCTTGTTATAAGAAAATCTTACAAAAAAGAAGATCGTAACAGGATCATATTAGACTGTTATCTTTCCATTTTAAAAGCAATTCAATCAATAATAAGCTAATCAATGTTAGTGCTGATAGCGAATTTTTTAGATATTGGAAATTGATAGTTGAAATTATGATACGCTAGGAGGTTTCGTAGTGAATAGTGATAAAGTGTAGCACGAAGGTTAATTTAAGTACACTTACAAATGACTACAATATGCTTGTAATATGATAAATAAAAGCTGTGGTAGGCGTATACTCATATTGCTAAGTTTTCTCTCATAAACTGGCTCGCTACTGCAGTTACATTCGCTAGATTTCATTCAATTACATTGCACGGTAATCGTTAAGGAGGTTAAAAGTTGGTATTTGATCTTTTATCTCGTTATTAAAAGTATTAGAATATGCTCATTCATCAATATTGGTAATAATTCTGTTCGGTCCAACTTTTGCATAAGAGAATGGAATCGAAGAATGGTACATCTTTTACAAGATGTCTAGCCAAATTTTTGATATTCTATAGGATAGATTGCTAATATTATAGTTACTTAATTGAATGACTACCTAGCCGATGCATTGGAGTACGACAATTAGTCAAATATTATCAACATATGACTCCTTTATCATTAATTTTTATCTAATTAATATCGTAAATTAATAATAATTGGTAGTTAAGATCTGGCGATCTAAGAATAAAATATTCAACAAGATAATAGTGGTAATAATAGATTAAAATTTCAACTGTTTATTGATATTATCTACAATATTTAGGCTTCGTTATTTAGCTTAGCCAACGGAATTTATTGTGTTTTATAACATGATACGATACTGTAGTATATTTCGTAGTCCAGTACCCATCTTTCATCGAATCACCCACTGATCTATTGATTTTAATAAGAAATTCTTAAATGATCAAATATTTTTATAGAGGATACTGTATCGAGGTCAGCCATGATTATGCAAGTAACCAGTTTGTATCTCAATGCACTTTTGGGAATACCAATACTTGTAAATTAATCTTTCCGTTAATGTAATAGACTAGTATCTATGTCATGATGTTTTACTTTTAAATCAGGGCATTTGCATTATCTGTTCCATATAATAAAAAAAAGCATTGAATACGATTTGATAATTGTTATCTACCCTGAAAGTTCTAGCACATTGTTAATTTTATTTCAAATAAATTATTATATGTATTAACTATACTCTGTTTCGATATATCATTTCCTCCTTTTTGATGGCTATATTTAATTAATATAATGCAATTTATTGATCAACATTGGTAAATGGTTAACAATATCTGTTGTCACCTATAACTAGTTACTATTAAAGTAGGATGATATCAACGATTAATGAATTAAACTTAGCGTAGTGTAACAATTCTTGTAGATTAGCTGTAACTATGACCACCCTTACTGCTATCAACTATTCCCTTTGCGCATTATTGATCTATTCGTTCATAAATGATCGAAAAAAATACAGGGTTTTCTTCTGTTATAGCTGCGCTTATCACGGTAATGACTTGACAACCGATGCGTATATACGTATAATGCTAATGTAACTTTTGGAGCTTTTCATGAGACATTCATAAACTTATTTATAACCTGTCTACTTTACATCTTCTATCTGATAATTTTTCCTTGTTTTAAAATTAACTAGATCTGAAACTGTTACTTTTTTAGTCGTAAGGTATCCATATCCACTTATACAGGCATATATAATATTAAGGTAAATTTGAGTATTTATGTCTAATGTATATTACTATATCTCTGCGTTACATTATTCTATAAGAATAGAATTGTTTCTCGGTAACATCACCTCCGCCACACTGAGCAATGCCTAAATGGAATCGATCACTCCTATATGGGGACATAATAAAATAACACAGGGGTCGTGATATCAAATATATATAGTAAATATATATATATACTGTATATGTATATGTGTAAACATTGATTAGCTAGAGTGCAGTATGACAGAGATAATGGTTTACAGACTGCAATACATACAGTAGAGTCGAGTAAAATAAGCCTATATGCTACAGTATGATATGATTTAGATCGTAAATAAGCTCATGTATTTCCGATTATGTTAGAGTTACCAAGTAAATATCGCTCAATGCATTTGCAGTAGGAATTTTATGTAATCGTGTTATACTTTCGTGAGCCTGTACTCTACTACACTATGGCGTGCAAAAAGAATTATCAACCTACTTGTCTCAGCTACTGTATTTATAGTTATTCAGCTTGCTATTGGGAATAGGAGGTCAACGAGTGATCGTTCATTTTTCATGCTATTTTTACAACAATTTGCATTACTATTGTACCAAATTAATGAATTCAAGATCTTCCATTATAGAGATTATTATTACAGAGATCCGTATGGTGTACAAGTCTCTGTAAAGGATATCCACTGCACATTAAGGCACAGTATGAGTATACGATGTATAGTATAATACAATACAGTCTACATATACTATACAGTGTATATGTTATACAATATAAAGTATACGTATGGGTATCGATGTTAAAGTGAGACCTCGATCGTATACTTTCCATGCTAATTTAGCTGAATATCAAAATTAACATTCTCAATTTAAATGTCTATTTTGAGGTAGACCTTAAACTATTTGTTTCTTTTTCCCCGCTAGAGAAATAAATCGTTATTAGGCTGTAATAGTATGCCGAAAATTGTATTGATTACTGGTTGTACGACTGGATTTGGTCTTGCTTTAGCTATAAGATTAGGCAAAGATGAAGCTAAGCGATATCTTGTTTATGCAACGTTACCTTTCCTACATGAGAAAGATGCTCTAGTTGCACAAGCTGGAGAGGCTGTAGATGATACTATTTTTATACGACATCTTGATGTTACGAAAGAAAATACTATTGAATCGGTTGTGGTGGAAATAATCCAAACTCATGGTAGTATCGATGTCTTAGTTAATAACGCAGGCATTCCATTAACTGCTCCAGTCGAGACCTTATCGCTTGCAGATCATAAACAGGTTATGGATATCAACTTCTGGGGGACATTTCTGACCATTCGATATGTTTTACCTCATATGAAGAAACAAAGATCGGGTCGAATAATTAACATGGCTAGTATTGCAGGTGTTCTTTCAGTGCCTTATGATCCCCTCTATTGTGCATCAAAGTTTGCGGTGGAATCCTTAAGTTTATCATTAGCAGTAGAATTACAAGCGTTTAATGTAGCAGTATCGATCATTTCGCCTTCTGTTGCTGCAACCAATATGTCAAAGAGGGCCGTCTCTATTGCTAAAGAACTTGGAGTGATGGAATCGGGAATGGATGACAGAACCAAACAGCTCTATACTACTTATACAACAATGTGGCAACATGATGAAAGTGCTTTTCAGCCTGTTGATGAAGTTATTGAAGTTATCATCAAGGCAATGACTGACGAAAAGCCAATTTTCCGATATCTTACAAGTACTGCAGCAGAAAATCTAGCCAAAGTTAAGTTGATAGATACCACTGGAAACGCTGAAATTGAAGGAGTTAATGAATTGACAAAGAACCTCTTTATCAGTGCAGCTAACTCATGATTGCTTAAACATTGTAATATCGACAGATTGTATGCCTTTATAATCGATCCCATAGCCATCCATTATATGATCAAGGTTTAGAATATATTGCTAATAGACTGTAAGTAATATAGTTACTGTACTCATCATTTAGATTGATTTACCTTTATCGACACCATACCATAAAACTAAAATCCTCGACGGTGATCAACTAGCCAAGAGATTACTCTAGAAATAATTACCGACTTATTTACTTGACCGTACAGTATGCTGCGTCATGCAATATCAAATTTCTACTGCTCTTTCATCTATCTCCTGTTTCAAATACAGTAAATTTGCCAACGACTTCTTAGCACGATAATCGGTTACTACTGTAGCTTTGATAGTACATAGGGACTGTTAGAAAGAAGAACTGCCTTGGAATTTCTATTATGATCTGTTTTTTGATGTTGATTAGATGATGAAAGATTTTGAACAAAGCAGCAATTTTGTGATTAATTTAATTTATAGCAATTCTTATTGAAGCCTGTCATTTGCTTTAATACTCACAAAACAGATGAAAATATCAGTTATGCCATTACGTAGACTTATAAATTAGGGTTCCCTTGAGATAAATTAAGTATTTAGTCGAACCTTTTCAATCTATGCTAGCTTTAGAGTCTATCTTGTACCAATAGGATTACTAATATCGTTAGATATAGCTTAATTTGCATCTCTGCTTAAGGTAAATATGAAATAAAGATAAAATTTGATAAAGAGCATTGCTTTCATTAGCTACTTAAGCATATTTATCAAGTAAAAAAGTTATTTCCATGCTACTATACTACTGTAGTTCTGCAAGTTCCTATCCTTCATCCATTAGTTGATAAATTATTACAGAATATTACTTCATGATAAAGAATGTTATGATTGGTAATGTAGTATATAATATAATAGAATTGAAAGTAGTCCACTTAAATAGGATTAATTTATTATCGAAGTAATTTGATATCATTGTTTATTTTATACGAGTGCCAATTCCCTAACTAGATTGCAAAATTTGCATTTAGTAATAGGTATTTACAGGATAATTGTATACGTGTATTATATGGAAGGTGATGTTTCTGTCTGATTTTGAATTAAGAAATCTCTTTCTGGTTGACTAAACCACAGATGCTTACCTAGATTTTTCAAAAAATCTACATATTCGTGATTTAATTTGTAAAGATCCTTAATCACTGGAGTCTATTAACTCTTTTAGTTCAACGAAAATGCAATTTATGCTCTGCATGATTGGGATACCCTAATTTGCGTAAACTGAGTACCATTTATGTGCTTAAAATTAAAAGTTTAACAGAACTTAATCAATTAATCAGCACTAGCAATGCTATCACCCATCCAGCATCACTGTTTATATAGTTAGATATAATTTAATCTAAGTTTAATTTTTTGGATGAATATGGATTGAAAAAGTAATTACCGAAATTAGGGTCTAGCAGCTGTACCCGTATAAATAGATAGATTGAGTCTGCATGTTACATGCTTTTACTACGGTGGTAGTTGCTAATACTCCCATTAATCATCGATTAGGATTATTAGACTGTTGCAGAAGTGTTACTTTAATTACGGTAAAGAGTGCCAGAGTTGACATATTGTATATAAAAAATTAAAGCTGATGATAGTCCATGCTAAATAAGACTGTAACTCATGAAAATATTAATCTTATATCATATCAGTTAGTGCTGTGCAATATTTCTGTGAGTTAGGTACCAGTTATTGATGTCAAACTAGTGTAGTGGATGGCATGAAATACTGCATTATCGTTAAAGCTATTAGTTGCAACGGCTTTTAATTAATTAATACAGACTATACCATTTTAATAGTTTTTAATAAACATTTATTTCTTAATTTTAGAAACAGCTTACTTATTTATAGGAATGTTACTATGCATATTTGTTATATAATAAATTTAAATTGAAATAGGATTGATTTATATCTTTATCCATAAATCGGTAGTCATACAGTTATAAGGGATATTTTCTCTTATAGTAAAATTTTAAAATTTCTATACTTTTATCTAGTATTAAGAAGTTGATTAACATACATAGTAAGTCAACTTCATGGTTAAGAACGGATTTGATTTAACTTTGATTTAGCTTTATCCCGATAATATCGATCATAAAGAGGCAAGAAATCGTCGTCTATTTCTGCAGCTGCTTGATAATATTTAATAGCTTGTGATGTATTGGATGCTATTCCATAACCATATTGATATAGAATAGCCAAATGATATAAATCACTTGGTATTTTCTCAGACGATCGTTCTAGACTTCGTATATATATATTATGAGCAACTTGAAAATGGTTATCAGCAGTTGCAGAATCATAAATATCTTGATAACTCTTATTACTGTATATTTTGCCAAGTCGATAATGAGCATAACCTTGAATACTAATGCAATTTAAGTAGGCTGCTGTTTGATATAGCTGAATAGCGTCGTCAAGTGCTGCTGTACCTATAATCTTCCGCTTTTCAATTAATTTAGCTAAATAACATTGCGCATAAGCAGAATCAAATTGATTCTTGATATTTAACCAGTAGTAAAATGCTGCTTTAATAGCATAATCATGTTGCTGATTAAGATAATGCTCATGCATAAATCCAATATCAAATGATTCTTGATAGCAATCACCTATTGCTAAATGCGATTCGATTAAATATTGGTCATAGAACTCAGCTGCTTTCATAAGATTAGGCCGAACAATATTATTGCCATCTCGATACATGATCGACATTTCTAATGGAGCCTCTTCTAAGCCTAATAATGCTGCATTGCGCAAATAATCGACAATAGGTTTATCGATGGTGCTTCTATCTTCTTGAAAGGATAATAAATATAAGGCTAGTTGATATTGAGCTTGTATATGACCAGCTAACACTGAAGGTTTAATGATATTAGTGTAGTCTTCATTAAAGACTTCATGTTGTTCGTGTAGCATACCTTTAACTAACAATTGAATGAAACTAGCTGATGGGCTGCCATATTCAATTGCACGCATTAAGCAATCGTTAACTTTCCCTATAATTCGTTTCTTAGCGAATTCTCGTTGATCACTAATCTCAGTACAAGTTAACCATAATAGGAAGGCAATTTGAATATAAATTTTACCTTTCTCGTCTAAGGTCATATGCTGATTTTTAAGTCGTTTTTGTAATCGCTCTACTAATTCTTTGGTAGCTGTACGGCAATCATTATTTTGGCTATAATAATGACGTAAGGTTTTAAGAGATCGTAAATCTCCATCTAGTGCTGCCGACTGTACAAATTCTTCCATCATGACGTCGGCATAATTTTTAGCAGTGTTATAGACATGGATACAAACAGATTGATCGTCACCATTTTCTTCACAACCGTAGAGCCAACATAAATCATAATGTGCTAAAGGGTGATTTAATCGAATAGCAACTTGATAATATTGCAAGGCTTGATGAAAATCTTTCCTTACCGGCCCTATACCATGTTGATGGAAATAGCCCAGCTGGTAATAGGCATTTGCATTAGCTAAAGTCTCTAATTGCTGTTGATATTTTTGAACAGCATTTAGCTGTAACTGATAGCCAAAATGGTCTAATGTGCCATATTTCCAAGCGATATGATAACATTGAACATAAACGTCAACAGGTGAATTTTGCTGCAATCTATAGATAGAGTTATCTAGAAAATTTAATTCTTGTTGATAATCTGTATTATTTCTAGATAATAATTTTGTTTTTCGTACCATAGCTTTAAATGAATAATAACGCTCATGAACATCACTTTCGCTATAACACATGACTGCTAATTGATAATAATGAATTGCTTTGCGATAATCCTTTTCGACAAAATAACCATTTTCATTCATCTTACCAATTAAATAGCATTCCGTTGATCGTAGATGGTGTTGGGTTATTTTACCAAGGATATCAAGAGCTATACCTTGCAAATGTCGTCTGGAGGAATCTTTCGAATATAATCCTATAGATTTCAAATTATGGTCACTAAATATTCGTGCTAAACGATAATGAGCATAAATTTTTAATTCTGACTTATTATAAGTTCCAGCTGTTTCAAGTAATTTAACAGCATCATTAATATCGGCCGGCATAATTTTACATTTTTCAATTAATTTAGCTAATCGGCATAAAGCTAGTGATGAATCGCCACGATAAATTACAGACGAAGCATAAAAATGGGCAGCTTTAATAACATCTTTCTCGATTCCAATACCATGTTCATACATAAAGCCAACATAGAAAAATTCATGCCTACCGACTGATTCAACTGACATACTTTCATTAGATAGTGTAGCTTGCAGGAAATATTGAAAAGCTTGAACTTCATTTGAAGTTGATTGCAATTGACTTTCTAAATGTAAAACACCAAGCTGTGATAGAAAATCAGCTGTTTGATATTGGGATGCTGTTTTCAAGTAAGTTAGACAACGATCTAACTCAGCTGGATTAAGAGCATCTGATGTAATAAGATAGCGCATCAACATATACCAACCTAAGTAATGCCCCATTTGAGCTGCTTTAAGGTAATATTTTGTTCTTTCTGCAATATATTTATCATGATTCTCGTATTTATAATAACCATAATTGAGATAACCAGAAGGATTGCCAAGTTTACCAGCCAGATGAAAGTAATCATAAGCTGACTTAAGCTCTTCAACTTTATTCTCTAGTTGACTTTTAATCACAGCTATGAAACCAAGTTGGTTATAAATGTTACCGAGATTACTTTTATTTGTTAATTGATTTTTCTTAATTATTGCTTTAAATTCTTTATCTAGTTCATCAATACTCGTTCGCCATTGTTTCATATATTTATACCGTTGAAATGTTTGAAATGCAGCTTTTCGATGTTGGCCAACAGCAGCTGCTTTAACGTACATTTTAACCTTCATTTGAATTATTTCGTTTTCTTTCAATAAATCGAGATAATCTGATGGATTATCTTTACTTTGCCGACCGTATAATGAACAGATATCATACATAGCAGGAGCATAGTCTTGATCAATAGCTGCCTTATAATGTTGCAAAGCACGGGTATAATCTTTACCTGACGTTAGATGGCCATGTTGGTAATAATATCCTAATTGATAATGGGCATGTGCATTATTAGTAGCTTGAATTTGTTCTTCCCATTTGATACAAGCATCATCGTATAATTCTCTGGCGTAATCGTGCAAAATGTATTTGGATGCAATATTGCGAGCATCTTCAGCTAAATCATCTAATGAAAAATACCATAAGGAAGCCACTTCCCGCCCAAGAAATTCTTCTTGATCATAAACGTCATCTATATTGTCACCGATGAACATCATCTTGATAACGATATTCTTATTTAATATTCTTACCTGGTAATGAATGAATAGTAGAAGAAATCAATTTAATGGAACATCAATTTTAATTTGGCATGAATATAAAATACTACAACTGAATTGCATCAAGTTGATACAGTTTCTTTTGAGGTGTGTTGCAAAGTACAAGAGGTATGATATCAATGCAATGCAGGAACTGGCTGCTTGATCAATATAAGAGGTTGTGCAATTCAATATTCTATTCATCGATATTATCTTTTGAGCATGAAATGATGACCTCATTTCTCATTATGTATCATAATTATCAGATGTATTGATGATTACTATTGTCAAGGTTATCCTGTCTTGTTGGATTCGTTAATTTTACAATATAGAGAGGTCGTTTGTCAATATTTTTATTGTTTTGTGTCAATATTATGAAACGTAATTAAACAATGTACTAGAATTTTAAAGTTAGAAAGCTCTTCATCAACTCTTTACGTGATAAGCAACAATCAAATAACAAAGTATGGATAATTTTATTTAAAATAAAATTATTTAGTTGCATTCTAATGATGGTCTGAATTATATAAAGTAAATAATCAAGCAAATTATTCTATATTTGATGATAGTGAATAAGAGAATTATCTTTATTGCATTTGATTGCCAATAAATAGATTAAAGATAAGCCATAATTTGCTCTTTTGTGTCATTTCATTAAGAAAATTATGCAAAAGAGATAAAATTATCAGTACGTATTCAGATTTGGCAGATTAGGCTGGGCTTTCTGCTTTAGCTAATATATCATGTACTGTATTTCGCACCACTCGATGTTATATCCTATCAAATGATCTAGAATTTTTTAAGTATTAATGAATTAAATAAGTATCTGATATTCTGATTGAAGTTACATGCGAAATTGCATATTTAATTTTTAATTTGCGGCATAAACTAGAAAGGCAGACATACACTGAGCTTGGGTAGTATTCAATTTTTTTTAAAGCCATTTGCTCAGAATATAAGTATAGGAAGAATTTAGTGATAATAGTTGCGTAGTTATTAATGTCATTTCCTCCTAATATGTTTAGAGAGTTGACTAATATATGTAGTAAGTGCAAATACGATACTTTAATTAATATTAGTTGCAAATTCGAGCGTTTCTACAGACTATGCATGACGTGGTAGTTATCATGATTTAGTTTGCAGAGAATATCTCTATATTAATAAAATAAGTAGACAGGCGTTATAATTACCCTAGTCATAATATATCGCATACAGAGGTAATGCTATTAGGTTTTTTGGTCCTATATGAATATTGTAGAATTTATGAATGCGGTAAGGTTTGCTAGAAGCAACATGCTATCTAATACGTACTTAATACCTGTTAATACTGGAATGTCCTTTATCCTGATGCTATAATGTTTAGCTTGGATTAAACTTATATTTTTACCTTCAAGTAAAATTTCTTTACCATTAAAACAATAGTAATTCTTTAGTAAGTACTTTTTGAGAAAAAAGGAAAGTCAAAATTGAGGACATATATGCCATCGTCGACTGTAACAATCATACTTATTTCCGTATAGCTCATAGTACGGTATACCTTTGTGATCATTTTATTTCGGTGATGCCACGAGTGTAAATAGCCAGTAAAATCAGTAAATTATAGGTATACGCCGTATTTCTTACGCAACATTTTGTCGTGAACGATTACATAGTATAAGTCAGGCGATTAATTAAACGATATAACACAAATTGGGGTATTAATTTTATTAAGTTATGACTCCTGAATCTTAACAAGCTTCTAGTACGCCATCGTTTCAACGGTGAAACTTGCAAATTGATCGATTTCTTTATAACATTAGTGATACGTCAAATATCATCGAGTATTTGCGTTATTTTACAATAATTATGGCAAAGATTTTAACTGTACAAATGATGAGTCAACGATAAATTAACATAACCTACTCATTTCATAGTTTTATTAGCCTTGCATATGTACGCATAGTAGCGAAGCGATTTCTATAGTTAGATACATTACGTTTGAATAAACACCTTAAGATAAGCATTTTATCAAGCCTAGCAATCATCTTTCAGGAATATTTGCATGTTTTTGACGGGATATAAGTAGAATAAAGATTATAATTCGAAGATAAAATCTGGAAGTGATTGTCTGCCCTGGTTCAATAACATCGTCAATATGCTAACAATGAAAGACTAGCAAGAGTAACTAGTAGCGTAGCAAGTATACCCGCATTATATCATACAAATTCTACCGTATATCACAGAACAATATAATATTATATTAGATGTAAGGAATGCAAGCCAATTCGTTTCCATAAACATACAATTTATACTGAGTATAACGAGTGGAATTACTAACTTTTTAAGCAATAGAATGACAGTTGATGCTATACATTGCGATTTATTTATATTTATAGGAATTACAATCGAATAGTCTGTTAATTTACTTTGTAGTGCAGAGGCATACCACGTTTCGCTTGCAAGGTAAACACTTGTGGGCTACGGAATACAAGCTATAAAATAAATTTACTACTTGCAATATGTAAGATTCTAATTTTGGACAATATTAAGAAAAAATTTACAATCACCTTCTATCATACACTGTATGATAATTGTATATTTGGATAAATGCGGATATCGATACATTTTGGTTTATTTAGTTATCTAGTTATCAATCTGTAAATGATCAGATTGTAGTTTTAGATGATACAAGTATTGTAGAAAATTTGCAGTTATCTTCTGTCATGCACTGTATAATAATAATGATTATAATGGCACAATTTTCCATAAGTATGTTGATATGCGTGGGCTTATCTACCTATCGATCGTTGCATCTCTTAAATAAGCTATCAAGACTCTGTATCAATTTGGGTGATGATGGCGTTGTAGCGTCTTTTAGCTTTTTGACCATAGTAGTCTTGGTAGACATCTACCCTTTCTTCTGCAGTTTTAATTGATAGAAGGTAATAGTTCTTTGCTTTTTCAAAGTCAATACTGACACCGTAACCTTTTTCGTATAATGTTGCTAAATGGTAGTAGTGGTCTGCACCGCCTTCGCCTAAGAGATTAGGATAGGTTTGGTAACAATTTAGCGCTATCTGATAATGACAGTTCGCTTTCTCTTCGTCAAAGTATCCATCAAATCTTAGATTACTATATATCTTTCCTAGCCTGTAGTTAGCATAACCACAAATATATGGATTGTTGGAAGCAATCGCACGCTGGTATAATTCAATAGCATCTCGAATGAATGATGGGGTTATGTGCTCTTTTTCGATTAATTTAGCTAAATGGCAAAGTGATTTTTTACTATTTAATTGAAAAGTTGCTCCATATGCATAAAAATGGCTGGCTAGCATTAAATTGACAGGCACGCCGATACCATGTTCGTACATAAATCCTAAACTGAAGCATTCTCTTTTGGCGTACTGCGTGCACGCTAGTTCATCCACCACTGACGCAGTTCGGAAGTAGTCGACAGCAAGTTGAAAGTCTTGTTGAACGCCACCAATACCATTGACATACAAAAATCCTAAGTTACATAAAGTATCTGAATAGCCATGGACAGACGCTTTCTGGAAATATTCATAAGACTTTCGGCAATTTTCAATTTGACTCTTTAACGTAGTACGCCAATAATAGCCTAACTGATACTGTGCTAATGTATGACCATTTCGAGCTGCAATCTCCAACATTTCTATCTCTTTTTCTCTGTCTTTGTCTGGACTACATGCAAAACCATACTTGAAAAAGCCTAAATTAAAATAGGCTGATGGATTACCTAATTGGGTTGCTTGATGAAAGAAGCGATTGGCTTGAAATAACGCGCTGGGATCATCGTTGGCACTATATTTTACCATGCATATAAAACCTAACTGATTGTAGAGACTGGCTATTTCATGGTTATTATCAGAATGATCGTCGGTACAATGAATCTGCTGTAAATATAGTTCGTATAATTTATTGAGAGCTACTTGCCAAAGCTCAGACTGTTGATAATTGTCGACTAATTTACTATAGGCATTTGTATATTGGCCTTGAGCTCCTGATCGAACATACATAGTGACTTTAAATTCAGCTAATTTATCAGGTGGCATGAAGCGAACATTTTGTGGTGATGTATTTCCTTCAATACCATACAGTAAGCATATATTGTATAATGCACCAGGATGGTCTTGTTTAGCGGCTAGCTGATAATGATAGAAAGCAAGATTGTAATTTTTTGCTACACCATGACCATTATAATAGAAATAAGCTAAGTTATAATGTGCGTGAGCATCATTAGAGGTTTGTGTACGTTGTAAAAATTTTTGGAAAGCTTCACTATACAGTTGATCCATGATATGTTGATGATGATAAAGTAATAAAATATCATGATGTCCAATTTCTTCAAGAAGATCATCAAAGGTAATATCTTGGGTGAGGTCGTCAATGTCTTCATTATTATCATCCTCGAGTATTTCTGATTCAACTGATTCTGTGATTATACCAATATTGGAGGACCAAATATCTCTCATTTTGCTTCAATTCTATAGCTGTTGCGGTTAACTTGTAGCCTTGCGCAAGCGATGGTACCTATACTGTAGAAACGATTAGGAAAATTTTTCAGGGAGATAATTCAACTTACTGTTGTACCGTGACTATAGTGCAATTTCTGGTAAATTGATATTATTTATAGAGTAAATGATAGGATTGTACGTAAGAGCGTTGAAAATATCCTTTCATGTACGCTCGTCTGTCTATTGATTAAGTCATTGATGTAAGGTATTGAATCTCTTTATGGTCAGGTAGTTATCAATGATTGTTATCCGTGGGCTACCCTAAGTACTGTACAGTATATTGCTGTTCATCGTATCACGTCGATTATGTTGTTTTTAAAAGTAGAAGATTCAAATTGCACGTATGTACTCAAGGGAAAGTTTGGCGCTTGTCTTGGTCATGAGTATTCATTTTATAGTGTAGGATTGTTTCCAATAGCCGTTGCTAAACTATTCCGTTTGCTTGTGACTGATTGGAATGGCATGATTTAACATCTATTAACGATAAACTGATCTTGATCTAAGACTACGCAGTGTATTTCTCCTGTACCTACTGTATAATCTTATGACAGGAAAATACATTACAGTTGTTGATTCCTACAAGCACTCCATTGACTCTATCCAAAGAGTTGTAGTTTCATCACTCAAAAGGTGTAGAATCTACCGTAGATATGAATCCATACGTGTACCTCCTCAGCCGTTGCCTATCAATCCTAATCCTACAAGGTTATTTCACTACCTGTCGCTATCGTGATGAAATAATTTTAACATAATAGACCGTCAAATCATCCTAACAGAGCACAAATGTATGGAATAAGACATTTCATTCTTGATCAACAACGACTAAGCTATCATGTCATCATAGTAAAGCTATTGACGACTAGAATGATATTGATCGATCAACATCAAATGACAGCGGTATATTCCCTCTTACTTTTCTCGATTGGCGTACTGAGTGTTTTTGCCTCTTTTTCACCAGGGATAGCTTATGAAAGTTTCAGTCAATGTGAACTCAGCACCAATGGCGTTTCGTTGTTACTTGCGCAATCTTCTTTTCTCGTAGGCATATGTCGAAAATTGGAGTAGAAGCACTTGTCGAGTTTCTTTTTCAGCTTGTCTTTCCTTCTCGTTGGAGTCTTATCCTGTAGAATAGAGGAGGAGGAGTACTGGATCAAGTGACAATACTGTCACAATTTTACTGCTTCAACAACCAGCAAATCCTCTACTGTATCACTATACGGAACCGTATTGAAGTTTGTTTATTATTATTTTTTTGGACCGTAGCGTATTAATGGCTTTTGATGACATCATTTTGGCTAGTGCCGCAGCTGTTAGGAGTAGCCATAATATTGTTGCATTGCGCCTTCTGAACAACTGCATACGATGATCTATCCAGTCTACTGTACAAATAAATCATTTTTCCCCTAATCAATCAATATTCCAAATACAATCTTGGATTACGCCATGAACCCAAAAGCCATTTTATAGCAGTACTACTATCACGGCCTGCAGTACTGTAGAACTGCGTATGTACAGTACACGCACTGTAGAGTAAGGTACTGTACACTGTGCAGGGTACAGTACTGTACAGTACATACTGTATACTGTAGCGTAAGGTACTGTACACTGTACACTGTACAGTGTACAATACGGCACGGACAGACAGGCCGATAGCGTCCAGTAGATCCTACTACGGCTAGTCTAACGGCCTCCAGTAGAACCAACATTGCAAGCTACTGAAAGCCTACAGTCTACAGTACGTCCTATACACTATACGCACTGTAGAGGAAGGTACTGTACTGTACTGTACACTGTGCAGGATACAGTACATACAGTACAGTATACTGTAGCGTAAGGTACAGTACGGTACGGACAGACAGGCCGACAGCGTCCAGTAGAGATTCTAACCAACATTGCAAGCTACTGAAAGCCTACAGTCTACAGTACGTCCTGTACAGCATGTGCACTGTATCGTGAGGTACTGTACACTGTACACGGTACTGTACTGTACTGTACGGTACAGACGGACAGGCTGACAGCGTCCAGTAGATCCAGTACATGTCTAGTAGATTGCTGCTGCCTCTTGGAGAATTGAGGGGAAGGAAAAACAAATCAAGGAAATGATCAAAAGTAAAACCTTCAAACCGACGAATATCAAGATGGCTTACAGTAGCAGTGAAAGAAAAGAAAGAAATCACACTACTTTATAATGATACTTGTAGATGAATGAGCAATCCATTCGTTGCCTTGAACCGCTATTAGGTGATTGATTAAATTAGTATGAGTGATTGAATTGCTTTACACCAGTGTTATTCAGTCAACAGACAAGCTTGAACGATTGGAAGCGTACCGCTAAGGGGATTGATTCCTGCTAAACAAACCAATCTTAATGTTCAAGTAGAATATCAAGTACAAATAAAGCAGCAGCCAAGATTGATGTCAAGATAACATTGGATAAACGCGGTGATTACAATCGTTATCTACCTGTAAACAGTTGGTTGATCATCATCATCACGACATCGTACAATTGATTCCTAGTGGTTATCCTGTCAACTCCTGCAAAAAGGAAAGCATTGAATTGGCATTTTCCATCCAAGAAGGAATACAATCAGTATTTCATTGCCAAAGTATTATCAGCCATGGATTTTCCTGTTACACGATTTCGTATCGTGATTCAAGCTAGAAGAAGTGGGCCATCATCCAGAACATCGTCAAGTAATACAATCAAATTCAAGGATACATTAGACGATTTAGATGAAGACGCCATCAAAATTGCTCGAAATTATTTATTAGATGGGGTTGATGAGAGATTGCATAGGAATTCGCTAGAACAGTTAACGCGCAGTATTCGCAATGATGTCGAAGATAACTCGCATAAATATTATCAATTAGGATATTATTATCATTATGGTATAGGTCCAGTTCAAAAGGATGAACATAAAGCAATGGAAAATTATCGTTTAGCAATTGAAGATCATCATCCTGGTGCTTATTATCAGTTAGCTCAATTAGTTCAAGATCGCTATGGCAATTATAATGATGTAGACATTGATCAATTAACTTTAATAGAAAGTATCGAAGAGCAAGTGAAAATGCTGACCAAATCTGCTGCTGAAGGCAAATACACACAATCTTATCGAAAATTGAAAGACTCTTACGCTGATTCACAAAATTGGCGTTCAGTCATTGATGATTATTACCAATCATTAGAAAAATCAGTTGATACAACTGAGAATACCAATCAATTGAGTCATATCTATAATGAACTTGGTATCTTAGATGTTATTACCGCTGAATGCAATCATGAAAAAGAAAAGAGCGATCGCCAATTACAACGTGGCTATGACTATTTTGAAAAATCAAAGCAACTAGGTAAACCGGCGGCCAGCTACAACTTAGCTGTTCATAAATTTGCTGGTTTATCCTCTCCTCGTCCAGCTCCTACAACGCATGACAGTGAAAATATCCAATATTATATCATGGCAGCTGATCAAGGCCATTGTTTAGCCCAATTTGAGTTAGCAATCCTGTACCAAACTGAAACACCCACTACCAATCGTGATTATTCTGAAGCACTAAAACTGTTATTGAAATCGGCTCGCTACGGCTATTCTGATATATTATATCATGTTGGATTAGCTTATCTGAATGGATTAGGTGTTGCTCAAGATTTAAATTTAGCCAAAGATTATTTTGAATGGGCTATTGCTGCTACTAATCTATTCGACAATCTACACGAAGGTCGTCAATATTTTCAATTAGGTTATATATATCATAAAGGTTTAGGCCTATCCATAGATATTGAGCAAGCTACGCATTTCTACGCCTCTGGTATCCTAATGGCCAATTGTTTACAATGCTACTTATTTTTAGCAAAGTTAATTGAAAAAAAGAAATTACAAAATTTAAACATTTCCTCAGCCATCAAGTTATACATGAAAATTATTGAATTAGATAATAATAATAATATTAACGGCTATGCGCATTACCGCCTGGGTAAAATCTATTCAAATGATCGTTATTGCAATTATTACGATTCTCGGTTGTCAAAAATCCACTATGAGTATGCTTTGGATCGATTTCGATCCAAGAGGAAGGAAAAAATTGATCGAGACTCAGACGATTACTACCATGTAGGTAGAATATATCAATTTGGTTTAGGGGTCAGAAAAGATTTGGATGCAGCCGTGATTAATTATCAAAAAGCGATTGGAACTGCTGAAATAACTAGTTCTGTTTATGATAAACATTACGCACAAAAAGCACTTAAACAACGAAAGTCACTACTAACATTATTAGAGTAGTATGAACCTGAGGATGGTTTTTTGATGCAAGAGCTACAATAATTATCGTATTGCGCATGTGGCGGCATAATGACAAAGTGATGGAAGTGGTACAAATTAGTGGTTGTTTATGTGATTTATACAAGTGCAACGCGTGTGATAAATGTTAAAATCGGTAGTACTGTATAACCTGATTCATGAACATTATGATTGTAATGCAGATAGTATTGGCGTTGAAAATCTATTTACTGTATGATACATATTTATGATTCTGTACTTCAAAGGAGTCTAGGGCTTGGAGAAATTTATTTACGATCAAACCATTCTTTGTAAACGACGTAAAATGTCGAAACATTGAATATTGGATACTATGGTGTATGACGTATCGAGCAAAATAATCTATATTGGCAAATGGCAATATACCATGATCACTTATAATCGCTTTTATGTAATTTGTTACTAATAACAATGATTCTGATTATTATTAACTTACCAAGTTGTTGAAGATTAATGGATAATTGATTACTTCTGTCTTGCCTTATCAGCACTAACGACTGCATGTATGCTTTATTCAATTATCAAAACAGAGTTTCATTCATCAGCTCTACAACTGTCTACTAAACTATGCGCCTGTTGGTTGAAATTAAATTGAAGGTATCGCTTGTATTGAGCTTCAAGCTTGATAAAAGCTCACGGGTACATTTTCAACTAAAATGTAAAAATATTTTTCATCTTTTTACCCGATAAACTAATATCTTGTTCATGAAAAATAAAGTTATTCCAGAAAATGCATTGAAAAGTACTATGGTATCACATTGATGCACACATCGTTACTGATATCCAATGATTCATTGGGTTATCAAGCATTTGACATACGTGATAGTTCGTAAAACAAGTAATTTACAACGTCGTAATTTATTTACACGAAAAAGATTAAGATATAGAAAATAAAGTAGAAATTCAAGCTTATAGAAATGATTGGACATTACACCATACACAGTAGTTTCGTATACCCATATATAGCGCAAAGCTAAATTAGGGGTAGTATCTTTCAATGAAATTCAATATAGTATAGTACGCTAGGTAGAGTAAATTCCAAAAATAGGCATTATTTAGCTAAACTTAATTATCTTGGTACAGTTTCATATTAACAGCATTATATTAGATTATCGAGATTGTATACAGTTGACATTTTAGACTTGATACAGTACAAAAAGTTATACAATATGGTGTCCAAAGGCAAGGTATTATGCACAATTGAACATCCCTAATAAGTAATACGTATATTGTGATAACTTGTATAATACAAAACGCTCACTAGAAATTTCAAGTTCTACGTTATGATAGAATTTATTATATTACAAAGTTGATTGAAGTAGCGAAACAATGACAGTCTATATTAAACAGGAACGTTAACAATAGTTTCTAGTTAATAGCAATAATAGTGAAAGCCGCATCAACTTGTTAGTTATTGTGATATATTGTATGATCGACGACCTCGATTACGAATTGGCTTTCTAGGAGTTAGCTCTTTCAAATCGTGGGTCTTGACAAATTCGGCAGGCGATAACAAGGACGTAGATTCATGAATACTCTTAGGAGAACGTGTTGGCGAGGAAAAGCTAAAAATTCCACTATCAGATGTACTAGTATTTAATATCGTCTTCAGATAAGGGGTTAAACTTAAATCATCAAAGTTAATCCGATTATCTTGATTTTTGGTTGGAGTTATTTTGGATTTGTCATTTAAAGCAGCTAAAGTAGGTTGCTGCCTTACTAAAGGCGTAGTTTCGTGATCGTTATTTCTCTTGCTACTAGAACGTACAGGAGTAGTGAATAACGTGGCCATACCTGCTACAGCTTCCATTTCACTCCAAAATGATGATGATTCAAACTTATCTAAACTTTTCCTACAACTACTACTAACAGTTTTTAATAGCGCATTAACGTTGGGTGTTGACAAAGTATCCAACGGTGATGAAACAATGTTTTCTGGAAATACATCTTGTAATGCTCTAATAGGAGTTTTATAGGTCGATTCATCGATAGTGGTAGAAGCTCTGTCTTTCTTCTTGGGAGTTTCATATTTCTCGACATCTAATGTAGTTGTAGAATCTTCCATGATACCGCTATCACATTGTTTCTTATTTACAGACGAAATCTCTTGGCCTGGTCTTTTTCTACTGAAAGGCACATTTAAATCATCATTCCAAGCCTTGATATCGTCTGAGTTATTTTGTGTGCAAGTTCCTAAACTAGCTGTAACGCTAGAATTGGGGAAATTATCGTTAATGTAGTAGTTGTTGCTTGATAAATTAGCTTGAGGCGCTGATGCAGTACATTGAGAGTTAGCTAATAATGAGGGATTATCTACTACATAGTGGAGGTCTTTTACTTGCGATGTACTAGCTATAGTTGTAATTGGTTCAGATGATGTGGCTTCGCTGTTAACAGAAGTGGACGTTGGTACAGAAGCTAAGACGTAAAATGTTGGAAGACCCTTGGGTAAGATAGGGATAACACGCTTATTATTATGATCATCATTGCTACCGTCTGATACAGCATATAAAGGGGTAGCAATTAATGCCGTCGGTATATTTTTACCAGATTTATTCGGCAAGCCAGTAGGAATCAGGTTATTTTTTGGTTGTGTGTAAATGTTTGTTAATTTATTAGCAGTAGTTATAATGTGCTGACCAGGAGGGATGTTTTCTTTTTGCATCGATGGTGCGAGCATCCAATAGCAACCTTTACTTTCTGACGAATTGCAAACGCGGCCACTACGATCCAACTTAATAAAGTAAGGCTTCAAGGATAAATTATGACGTATGGAGTTCTATTATTGAAATATGAACAATAATAAGAAGATTGGTAAGAACGTTATACTGTATATTTAGCTAAAGGCATAGAGCACATATTAAGATAACTATTGAAAAACATCATTCCTAACGATACAAGATATTACTTTTATTGACCGGATGGAATTGAATTTACCATATTAATATTGAATGGGTTTTAGAGAATACACTATAGCACAATCAAATATTATAGCATTAAGTTAAAGATTGTACATGACCTAATTGTATTTGTGTCTAGTAATTACTCATGACTATCGTTAAAAATTTCAACAAGTAAAATTGTGACTTCATCTACCATCCTATTCTACTGTATTCAGCGAAGTCGATGAATTGGATGGTGTTATGGCTTAGCAAGATTTCTTACTAAGAAATAGATGGCTACAGTCTGTAACATTACTGAAATAATGAATTTTTCATGTTGTACAAGTGCATCTTTACTTATACTGCTTCAATAGATGTGTTTGTATACTAGAAAATGATGGAATAAAATTACACATGATAAATAATACAAGGTTGGAAATGTACAGCATGATTGGTACCGTATTGACTGTTAAGGCTTTATGGTTATGTTAAGGCCTCATAAGCCACTCTTACTAGTGGTCTTATGAAGGTGTGTCGAAATAGTGGGATCTAGTTCAGATAGTGTGTTACATGAAAATTTGCCATTATATGACTGTCGATTACAAGTACGGTGTATGATGTTGTCCATGGTTATGCTGTAGAAATGAATTTAAAATGCTCTAGGCGCAGTCTTTGGAAAGCAGAGATAGAATCTACTGTATTGGTCATCCATCTCACTGCACCTGACTGATTTGACTATGCATCATTTCCATTGATATCCACTCTAAACTAACCTTCCATCCTTTATTTGAAGTGTACTTATAAAATGGATATTTCGTTTCGACCCATTCGTATATATCCTTCAAGAGCATTTTCTTATCGGTTGTACTGTCGATGGCCATGGTGATCAATTTAGCATAAGAATAAGGCGGTTTGACATATTTCCTATTCATAACAATAACTTCTTCGGGCGGTGGTTCACTAATACCGCAACGCGAAGTCGACGGTTGTGATCGATGCGTATAATAATGATGAGGTTGGTTGATAGTGTTATCCATTTTACTACACTGGCCAAGGCCATAACGATCACTGCGATTCTTATGCAGATGGGTAGGTTGTAAATTTGTTAGCCAATTGATATCGCTAAGAGCGTCATCATCGTAATTGCTCTGATCTTGTTGCATCTTTCTTTACTTGAATTGGAATCGACCCTTCGATACTAGCATCGAATTGGTAATTAGATCCTCTTGATAATGATCGTGGAATGATACCTCAAGTTTTCAATTTGTTTTTGATGGCTAAGATCACATAAGAGAAGATTTTACTTCTTGTTGATGGCGCTTTCTACTTGAATTGGGAAGAGGATCGCAGCCAGCTAAGCGAGCTTTTGCCTACCGCTTTTTACCTGCTAAAATTTGAATTTGAATATGTTGATGACAATAGGCTACAGTCTATTGTAACCGACAATTGTACTGTAGTACTGTACTTAGTACGGTAAATCAGAGTGACGGTAGCGTAGCACATGGAATCTGCTCGACACTTCGGCTATGATCTGCTTGCAATATGTTACAGTATGAGCGCGTATACATGTTGGCGCACTCATATAGTTTATGACCAAAAATTCACCTGGTCTTTTCCTTCTATTGACTGTGCCGTACGCTACTTCGCAATACATACAACATACTGCCTGTAACTCCTTCATGACCTAGTGTAACGTGTTTATTCGCTATTTCGAATTAGCCAATCACACGCTAGCGTACCTTACCGTTCCGTTCCAGTCCAATCCAGTCCAGTCATGGCTTGGACATGGACTGGACGGACGAACGACTACAGTAACCGTAGTAGATGAAGAAGAAGCTCAAGACCGGCGTTGATCATTCCATGCTACTGTATACCGCAGATTAGACCCAGTCAATTTTCGACGACATCTTTAACGCATTTGTCTAAACATATCTGCCAATTCTGAGCAAAATCAATCAAGATTTTCGTTAGCATATTTGCTTGGATAAGTATAATGAAGGTGCAGAGGCGTTTCAGCGGCATATTTGGATGTATCACAGGGAAATATTCGGGTCTACTGTACAGTGTACAAGTGTACATGGAATGGAAGTATAGTATATAGCATAAAATAGAGCTTATTCGAGGATTGTAACAGTAGATTTAGAAGGGGCAACTCTTGGTCGATAAAATGAACTAAATTTCATGTGGCATTTTAAAATTTCAATCTCTCTAAGCCCATTCCAATCTTTCCTGCCCATCCTGTACAGTGTACAGTATACGAATATACCAGTGATGCGACACTGGTATACTGTATACTGTATTATGTACAACAGCATGAGCAGTTTTTGTTATTAGTCAACTAGTAATCACCTACATAGGAATTTACTCCAGTTTCAGCAGAAACTAGTCAAAATTAATGTCGTGTCTCTGCTCCGTAATGGAGGTAGTTAGGAAGAATTTCGGAAACTGTAATCCTCAAGCGTAGCAGACTTCAAAGTGAATCCCCATCACCGCTAAAAAGTAATAACCAATTTATTGTAGTGAATAAAGCAGTATGTAAACATTCATACTAACATTAGAGACAGTCAGCACTGTCTTGGTGACGACATAGAACAATCCTCGATTTCACTAAAGTCTTCCAAATGAGCAATTTCCTTCAAGTTGCACATTTGTCCTACAGTATTTAAATTTAAAATCGTATTCTGGACAGCACCAAATAATACCAATTACGAATACTAGTGGTGAATGGTGATAATAATTGTTCATTTGATCTTACTACTACAGCCGACAATACACATATACGGGTACTTGGAGTTTAATATATCCCCCAAAAAAATTGAATAATCTAATCTAAATCAATGCTAAGCTGGCTTAGAAAACACGGTAGAGAAATAACAAATTTAATAAATCGCAAAAATCCTAATAACTCTTTGTGTAATCAAAAATAGAATAAGTCTTCTGTTTAAAACTTATCTCTTTAGTATTACTATAATAATCTACTGTACTATTGGATAGTATGAGCCAGATGCAAGCATCTAGCTTAATGCTAAACTACCGGCTACATTGTCAGTCTTCTATATCAGCCTCTAAAATATTCAATCTTTTCTTTGATTTTGTGATATAATACTTAATCTGATGACAGCCAAAAATGGTATGGCAATTGTTCTTCAACTGATAGCATCTTTTATACCATTCTTTAGCCTTTTCAATACATTGAGCAACACCAAAGCCATGTTCAAACATCAAACCGAGATGGTACATATCCCGGCATTTGGTCACAATATTGCTTGTCTTGGTCGTTCTCATGTAATGTTGAGCTTGATGAAAGTGTTGCTGAGCCAACTTTAGATCATAGACATCAATTTCAGATAGATTCGATCGCAGCTTACCCAGTCGATAGTGTATATAGCCAGTAAGGTTATCGTCCAGATACAATGCAGATAAATACATTTTGATCGCATCCGTTAAACTACTCGATGATAGACGTCGCTTTTCAAGCATCTTCGCCATCAAACATCGAGTTCTTCCATCGTCCAGTTGCTGACTCATATCCAGCGCACAAAAATGAGCAGCACGCTCATATCGATTATTTACATGCGAATAATGATAATAGTAAAATGCTAAATGATAATATAGAAATGTATTATCGATATCACTGCAATATGTTGTCGCAAGAGCTATTTCTGCTAATTGAGTAAAACGTTGGAAATCTTGTTGTGTATCGCATCTTCCATCAAGGTAAATCATAGATAATTGGCTGGTAGCATCTGCAAAGCCATTATGATGTGACTGTTGTAGCAGATCAAGAGCGCTTTGGTTAAGCAGATGGTCGTTATTGCATTGGCCATGCAAGTAATAAGTAGCAATAGTGGGAGATAAATGATTATTGCCAGCTTTTAAAGCTCGCTCATAATACTTAATTGCACAATGTTCATCATTTTGTGCATTTGGATGAGAATAAGCAGTAAATTCACATAACAAACCCATAAAGAAGTCAACTCTGCTATTATCCAAATTTTCAGCCTTTTGAAAATAGGTCTCTATTTCAGTAATTATCTTTTCATTGAGTTGATCTTTTTCTAAATTTTTAGCCATAATTAAAAATCCTAATTCCAGGCATAGTCTTGCAAGATCGGTTGATTTTAAATTTTTCACTTGCGAGGCTAATTCATTCTTATGATGCTTAATCAGATTATCAACAGCGATGTTCCAGGCGTGGAATAATTCTAATCGCTTTTGAAGATAGGTTAGTGCCCTTCGATCACCTTGATAAGCTGTATCGAGGATGACGGTTAACTCTATTTTAGCCAATTCTTCGGCAGTATCTGTAATTTTATAGGATAAAGATGGATCATCACCTTTCTCTTGGCATCCATATAGGTATAGCATGTCTAATTTTGCTAATGGATGATTCATATCAGCGGCTTTCTTTAAATATTCCATAGCTAATGGTAGATCAAATTGTTGAAATCCTTGACCACGAAAGTATAAATTACCAATGTGATAGAAAGTGCTCGCTGTAGGTTGGTCATTTAATTCGGCCATAATTTTATTGTAGATTGGTTGACGGTAGCTTAATTCTACATTTTGTGATAGATACTGTTCGGCAATATTTATACAATTCATCAATAATTTCGACGGTGAGGGTAGTTGAAGACTATCTAATTCACTGTGTAACAAGTTGATTTGTTCTGAATAGTACGATTTATCAATAGAATTGATGGATAATTTGGATGATGAAGGTGCATTTACAAATTTGTTTTGCAATTGATCTGCTTCTTTATCATAATAAGCCTGGTCTAATGGATTCATAAATAGTTCCGACGATGAAAATTGGCCATTACTATTGATTTCTTTGATATGAAGTTGATTATTTCGCTCCTTATAATTAAGTTGGTGTCTATTTTTAATTTTTTGCAGCTGTAGTTTAGCCTTGATGGCATGGAAGCGATCGTGGTAATCAGCATTTTTATAATATGCTAGAGCATTACTGTATAAATCGATTGCTTTTTCAATAGCAGGATCAACCATACAACCGACAGCGTGCATCTTAGCTAAATGATAAATATGAGCTGCAGTAGCTTTACCAGATAATATCAGGGAAATCATAGCATTTGAGGTTCCATCGTAGTGATATTCAGCCATATCAGGTAGTATACCGAGATTTTCATATCGACCACTATGAAATAAGTTACCAAGTCGATATTGAGCATAGGAAGTAACATCTTGTTTAATAAGAAGCATGGTCGATTCGTACAATTTAATTGCATGTGTAATATCATGGGGAGGAGGAAGATGATTTTTCTCGATCAATTTGGCTAATCGGCATACAGCTAATGTACATTCACATTGTGTCGTAATTGACCAAGCATAAAAATGAGCAGCTTTGATAGTATCTCGTTCAACGCCTAGACCTTGTTCGTACATGAAACCAAGGTATAAAAATTCATTCCTAAGATCATCAGTAGAGTAGCTATGACAAGAGACAACTGCTTCTTCTAGGTATTGAATAGCGTGTGAGAAAGATGCCATTTCTATGCTATTTTGTGTCATGAAATTGTTAGCCATAGCCAATAACATATCACTAAATCGATAGTGTTTGAGAGCATTTAGAACATACTTCAATAGATTTCGTTTAGGAACACAAGATTTAAATTCAGTTTTCAAAACATCGTATAATTTTTGCCAAGAAATAGCACAACCATTTTGTGCAGCTTTAAGGTAATACTTAGCCATAATCATAAAATTATTTTTAATGCCATTGGTTTCTTGATCGACACAGTTAGCATCGTAACCTCGATAAAATGCAAAATTCATATAGCCACTGGCTAGTCCAAGTTCGCCTGCTTTTAAAAAATAATCGTAAGCTTGCTGTGGAAAATCAACAAGAGGTTCATCGCCTTCATCGCCTTCTACTACTTGACACCATTCGAGAAAGCATTCCAGAAAACCGAGATTATTATATACTTCAGCGATATTGATATTTTTATCTATTGCAGTTTCAATTTGTTCTTCATATTCTGCTTTTAATTGATCAATAGCTCTTATCCATTCGCGATATTGTAGATAATAATGGCGTAAATCTCGTATTGCTTTCTCATGTAAGCCGTAGGCGGCAGCTCTGATATACATTTTAAGTTTCATGGATATTAATTTGTTACGATCGATCATTTCGACATACTGTTGTTGCGTAGTTGGGTTTGTATCATGATGGCCATTTTCTTCATGTTCCAATTCACCATACAAAGAGCAAATCTGGTACATAGCAGCGTAATGATCATGGAGTATTGCTTGTTCATAGTGATACTTTGCTTTGTTTAAATCGATTTTCAAATTACCACAACCCAATTGATAATAATAACCCAGTTGGAAATGAGCATGAGGATTAGGTTGGTTGGTACTAGCAGCAATTTCAATGCGTTGTTGGCAATTTTTAATTGCTTTCGCGTACAAAGCGTTGGATATTTCTGGACGAAGATAACTTTGAGCAATTTTAAGAATATGATCTTTTAATTCGTCCTGTGATAGCTGCCATAAATCGGCAATTTCCTTTTCAAAACATTCATATTGGCTAACCAACCATTGATCGTCTAAATCCATCTTTGCTCGATGAACTACTTAATGATGCTTTCTAATCAAGTTCAAATGATACAACCAATGAATATTCAATTCGATGTAATTTAATCTTAAAAGTATAATCGTTTCTTATTGAATTTATTGTAAGGTTACTTTTTTTACTTGGTTTCTCTATAGGTTGTATTACCAATTGCGTCTACAAGGCTATAGATGTAGAAATTAAATTGAATATTAGAGTCAAAGGAACAAAAGAAGGGAGTAGAAGATTAGACATTAATATGAACAAAAGAAAAAACTAGAGTAATTATTTTCATTATCTTATCATAGGTCAAGAATTAATTAATGATTGAAGAGAAGTTTGCAGAAATGATCAATAATAACGAAGCCATTCGTAACGATCATACTGTTATTTTATTATGATTGATATATTAACAGGATAAAAATGACTTATTCCAAGGATAATAGCTAGCTCGTGCAATATTAATGTTCGCTGACAATTTTAATAGCACCTACTCTAATCTACTACGACTGTTTTCGCATATAGCAAGTCAAGTTATCACTCAATATTAAGATAGAATTCTGAATTGCATCGTGTTTCTTCAAAGTATTTGATACGATGCAATAGTGTAGCAATTATATCTGCAAATAGTGGACTACATAGTTGCCGGTTAACACGTGTATGCAATCGCGCTAGCCAACAATGAGAGATATACCAAGCTGTCCTTCTCGTCTATCCTACAGTATTCCAGTTATCACAGGCGAATGGTGCAATACAATGTCAATCTTATTGCAACTCGAAGAACGTGTATAAAATTTATATAAAATAGTGAGCTAGTTATGTAAAATAACATGGCATGGACTTCTCTCTATGACTTTGTCAACAACAGAGTCAACGTCGCCAAGCGATATAGACGCGTAGTTCAGAATAAAAAAGAACTATTCCATTACTATTGAATATCCATTGGCAATGAATATTAACACTTAGTCAAGTAATCTTCTAACGTCGACATTGTTTAGTACAAATTACCCAATTAGAAGCAAGACGGAAGTGAAATATTCAATATATTTAACTTATTTCTTACTAATAGATTATCACTGTATTGAAATGATGTAAGAGTAAATTGTAAAAGAATAAAACAGCTTGATCTAGTTCTGGATAACCATTGGTAGTTTGATAGTACTTTATATTATATATCAATAGTTTAGTTCTCACCGTGAATGTAGACTTGGTTTAGTCGAAAAAAACGATCGGAAAATAGCTATATAATCGTGGTGATGGAAGTTGAAAAATGTTCAACAACGATTCTAACAATCAAGGTAGAAATAATTTAGCAATCGCATCGACGTGAAGACAAATCATCGATCTCAATACGAGTTCAACATGGAGACAAAAAAATAACCTAAAAACATCAATTATCGCTTGACCACAGTGATCGATCAAGACTAACCATTGCTATCGTCAGATTTTACGGCTCAACAGTAGAGTAATTTCTTAATAATTCCTAATTTAGGCTGGTGTCTGTTGTACAAAATTAATTGACTGGTTTGTGTTGATATAATAAGTGCTTGGCGCAGCATGTGACGTATACTAAAAATGGCCAATCGATTATTATATTTATCCGTATAAAGGATATCTAACCATCCTTCTACTGGCGTGATCATTTACAGCAAATTGGCCTTGACTTCTAGTCTTACTCCGTTGGCATTTTAAATTGAGTCATAATTGAACTTTATTTGGATAATAGAATTTTCTTTGACACCATGTTCCAATAGGAAATAAGGAAACTAACTTTGGATCAATGCAACGTATTGTTAATTGGATTAGAATAGCAATTGGAATAATGATTGTAGTACAATTGATTAGAATAATGAGCTAATAGGATTTAATAACGTAGCCAAGAAATAGGCTGTTAATCTGATATCAGGAGATTTACAGATCCTCTCATTTATATTTAATTGATATTGGAATATTGTTTATCGCTGTTAAAATGATGCTTGAATACAATAATAGAAGAGCTATGGAAATGGCGGTCATGAAATGCTTGTTGTTTCTCTGCTAATTTCCGCTAATGCAAGCTCTATTAGATAGAGTAGAATTTCAACCAAGGTCATTGAACTTACCAGATATTACTCTAACTTGACATAACTCCTGCGATGAGCGTATGATTGATAATTTAGAATTACTGTACTATTGTGGTAATTCTAGACCATAGAATAGTTGTAGACAGTTAACTCTACACTAGCTTCTCTGCTTTAAGACTATAAAGACGGAACACGTGTATACGAGTATGGTAATTTCAATAAAGAGAGTCCAATAACAAACATAGTTATAACTTGATATGATACCTGATTCGATGTAACAACGTGTTACAGTATATTCTTTTTAGATATTTTGATCATAAAATAGATGAACATATTTACTTAATGTTATATCATATTTTATATTTATCGTTACTGTAGTATTTATTATCGATATTTTGAAATTACTTTCGATAGTATTTAGCCTATTTCAGGGCCTATCGTGCTTGTAGTTTTGTGTTAGCTTGCTTAAATCGAGACTTTAAAAGATAGAATGCAGTTTTTGTGAATTTGATGGGCTAATTATCGAAACTATGGAACTATTCTCTATCTAGTCTATTCTAGGGTATGGGATACTTCCTCAGGTCACGGCTATAAGAGATAAAAGAGTATACTTTTTGTAAAGGAGATCCAATAATAAATATTACGGTAGCTTGACATGTTATAAAACATATAAATATATTCGATATCGATATTTGAAATTATTTCCGGTTGAGTCCATTCTAGACTATGAAGTACTTATACGCATAATTCTGCACTAGCTCCCTCGGATTATGGCTATGAAAGATAGAGTACAATTTCGGTATGAAGGAAAACTGATAACAAATATGACAGTATTAGAACTTGATATGATACCTTAGACATATTAAATATCAAAATTTTGGAATCAATTACCTATTTAGTCAATCTAAGGTCATGAAATGCTTATAGTTTTGGCTAACTTTCCCCAGTCGACGGTAGAAAAGACAGAGTGCAGCTTCGGTGAAGGAATCGGAAACAAATTTTACCATAGCTTGATAAGATATCTCAGATATAGCAATTAATTAATTAATTATATTTTCGAATGATTTTTAACTGGATTCATTTAAGACTATAAATATAGAGTATACTCTGTACAGCTTCAACTAAGAAATCTAATGGTAGCTACTATTTAATTTGATATGATGCCTAATGTTTCGGGTTTTTTATCAAAACACTTCGAAAGTTATTTCGAATTAAAACATTATACGGCGTGAATTGCTTGTAGTTCTGTGCTAGCTTCTCAGAAATAAAATAACATTAATTGATATTTCTATGAAGGAGCGATGTAATATAAGTCATGAAATATTTATCGTTTTACTCTAGCTTTCATTGATGAAGGCAACGACTCAGCTAAAGCATCAAAGAAGAATGCTGTCTAGTTTCAGTAGAGAACTCTAGGGGACAGTTACAGTTACTTGAAATAATCCCTCTGATGTGCTATTTATACTTTCGAAGCCTAAACTTGCTATTTAATCTATTCATATTGGAATCTTATGCCGATAGTCTTTTTAAATGTCACACTTATAATTTCAGAACCATTAAGAAAATTAGGCAAGACATGGTGTTTTGCCTTTATGCGTCCATATTAATACTGTATGCTAAGAATGCGTAACTAGACGCAAAGAGTTACCTCTATTGTAGACCATAGATACTAGTAAAGTGCCGGATTGCCTTCCTAATTCCTTCTGTTATATTAGTCAGTAGTAAATGACTAGATTGGTTCTGAATTCTTCTAACCAAGCAGTTTTGTCTCTATATCTGGTATCTTTATCATTAGAGCGTCTAAACATCTCGTGAAATATAGGAAAGAAAGATGTATCTGTATGCGTAGTGTCTATAACCTAATTACAGTAGATTACAAGTTGCAAAGCACTATCTAACTACTACTACTACATGCAGCTTATTGAGATATTAAAATGCACTCAAGATAGCTGGACAAAGTAGCTACGCCTTATTTTATTAATGTACGATTCATTTTCATGTATCGAGTACAAGCTCTTATTCACAGTAGTTCGCCAGCATCGATAATCTATCCTAATAATGCTTACATGGCTCGTAGAACTGTTTCATGTGCTTTCTTACAGCTAAGGTAAAAAGCCTAAGACCTTTCTGAATAGATTATAGATGAGCTAACTATAATAGGCTACGATGCGATACATCTAGGTCATAAGGATATATCTAAGTACACATAGAAAGAACCGAATAACAGAATTTTTATCTTTATATTTATATTGGTATTTTAACGTATAGAAAGCTGCTCGAGCTACTATTTGATTTATTGTAAGTAAATATCTTTATGCTCAATGCTCATGCCACTTTTCAAATTATAGTCCTATGCAAATAAAAACATAGAGCCCACCTAAATATAATGGCTCTCTTATTTAACAGAATAATATGTCAATTTATGCGTAATAGGTCATGAAGCATTTCAGTAAGTTCATGAAACTGCCACTGTACATGCATACAACTGGTTTAGTAAATTACGCGTGGCTATTATTTTGTCGTACTGATTACTGATCTGTAGTAAGGAAGTATCGATTTGTGCAGTTTCTTTAAATTTGGCTCATTCTGTTCAAAAAAATGACACATCCTTTTATCGACACCTATATCGCCAACTTGGATAGAACTCATATAAATAAGTAGGCTGTAACTAATTTTTATATTCAAGAAAAGCCAGCATGACCTCTAAGTTGATTTTAAGTTCGCTATTTTTAACCAGTAGGCTTTTTGATTAGTTAATAATCAATCAATTAATTAATTTATTACTCTTTTGTAATATAGTATTGGTAGAGATTCTCTTGTTGCTAATAATGACGATTAAAATTATTCCGAGTTCTAATTAACATATAAAGCTAATGATAGGTAATAACGCTATTTATAGCAATGAATTACCAAGATCTCCATTTAAAATTAAATTATAGTACATTTTAGTACATATCTTCGCAGTTTTATTCTGTTTCTGGAGGCTGTTATGACTATTATTTCGTCTTCGTCTTTTTACGGTCAAGATGCTAAATCTACTTTACAGTATGCCTTTCTAAGACTTGAAATCTCAACTATAGAGGTCCTTCTCTGTGATTCTAACATAGCTGTACTTACACTACTCATACAGTTAATCTTTTGGTGTATTCTGTATCACAGGTACTCAATACTCTACTAATGACTTTCAAAATGTCAGCACAAGCAGTAGGCTAAATCTATAGACTATAGAGGTAAAAAACCTTCATGATACAGGCTGTATGTCTTAGTCTACGTAATACTAAAAAAAGATATACTATTGTTATCGATATTATAATTAAATTTTATACCACAATGTATTGGATTGACGGAATAACTGAAAAAGCTCATCAAAAATCAATTTTATGCTTGGGATTATATCGTAGTGAAGGACGTACTTATATTTGCAATTACATCGCTTCTACTTTATATCGGCTGGTTAAGGTTATGGAAAGGCGAAGTTAACTTCTGTATTTCGACTTATTGAATCATTGAAGTATAGTTAGTAGACTGTGACTACCGGCTGTAGATACGAATATATATAAATTTGTGCCTATAGTAATCGATATCAATTCAAGTCAGAATAGTATCTAGGGATAGTTAATGTAAGCTACTAAACCTTATGCCCAATGTGAACTGTAGAGAACAAGTATTTTTCTCTATACCAGCAGCTTCAGAATTTAGAGCTTAAAATAATCTGCAGTTTTATAATTATATTACAGATGATTTTAAAGTATTCAATCTTGTCAAACAAAACAGCAGGTGTGTTATTTCGGGAAGATCCATAGAAGTAAGCAAAATCGATCTCTTACCACTGGTAAATTTACATCAAAATGACTACATTGAATTTCAAATAATCGCATTATTAAAATAGGTGATTAATGGAACATACTCATCTATACTGCTAATTACAATATCGTCCGATAGCTGTCTTAATTATTATCTAAATTTTGGCGTATACGTGAATTACAAGAACTAGAGGCCACATTAGTTTAAAATAGTCAACGTTGTGGATTGCTAAGAATAACACCCCTCTCATAATGTGTTCACTTCCTTCCAATATCAATAGAAAATTACATTACTGTCAAGATCTCTATGAATAATAAAATAGAAATTCTAAATTGTAACTTGGATGATAACTATATTGTGAAATAATAGACTTGATTCCTATTGAACACAGAAATAAAATGATACAATCACTGTGTATTAATATCAGAACTCAAAATATTTACTTCTATTTCGCTTCGAGCACTTTAGATCTTTGTGATCCATATTGAATGAATTTGTGATTACGCTCAAGTAAACTGCTTGACAGTGGTATGGATGTTTATATCTAAGTCTTACAGTGTGCTTTTAATACCTGAACATCTACCACCTGGCTTATTTAGCGTATCAAAACATAAATCAAGCAGATCGTGGTCCTTATTTTAATATGAGCTGAGATCATCTATTCATTTAATCCGTTTAGGGTTAGGGTTAGGATTAGGTCTTTATCGATCAATTTTCATAAGGATTAAAAACAGTTTTGCCGATAATGTTAGAAATATGCCAAAAATGACTGAATAAGTTGTTATTGAAGATGTAATCTAAAATTAGTTGAATAGATGTTATGAGGCAAGTCATGTTATTTAAAAGGTTAAGTTGTTATATTATGAGTGTCAATAGAGGAAAAATAGGCTGACGTTGATTTCTCTTCTAATCGTAGCTTGTTAGTCTAGTCAATGGTCACCATGGGAGTCTATTAAATCATTTTAATGATATTCTACTACAATAACGTCAAACAAATTAAACAATACAACTACATTGCCCATGAATGTTATCAGTTTTGATGATGTCATAACAGTTTTCTTATCTAGTTAATTAAGTCGTGAATGACTGATGTATAGATTGAAATTGCACATGTTTAAATTGTTGTTAGTCATTATTTCACTTTGATTGGGTATAAAGATAATGAATAAATTGCTTTTTATTCACAACAATTGAATATTATGATTGAAATGTTGTTATTGATTCAGCAAAAGCCAAGAATAGCTGACTAAAACAAGTCTCGCCATCCATCATCGATAAGAACATCCCTTACAAGCTATAGTTTGGGCACAAATGACAGTATTAAGGTGGAGATAAGCATAACCTCTTCTCTAGTTTTTTACAGTAAGTTTCAACGTACGATGAAGTAAATTATTAATAACTATCGGCCATTTCTTGTCTTGGATAGAAGTAGAGAGAGAGAGAAAGAATATTCTTTTCTGGAAGGTTTATCCGAAATTTTTTCCTTACTTATTTGCCAGTATTATTTCCATCATTGCTACAATTCCGCTTTTCAACGATTCGCTCTCTATGTACAGTAGTTTTAGAGCATGATGATTGACATCTAGCGTCTTTTGCTATTATTATGGTCGAACATTTACATTTACAAGCTTCAATTTTCCTATATTACCGTCAATATCGATAGTGAAGAAGAAAATTGAGATTCAGGAAAAAATTTCTTCTACCATTTTATCATTGCCACAAATAATCGATTGATTGGATACCTTTGAGTGAAAAAATTGAACTTGTAGCATTTGGATCGTCATGAACACAAGTATTACTACATTATTTCATCCACAAGATGAATTACAAGTTAATTCTATCATGAATTGGCTAAGAACTGAATTATTTTCAATATGGAATTGTCAATCTAAACAATTAAATAACGATGTCAGTAGGATTTTAAAAATACATCGTAATGAAGAATTAATGAATAAATTGTATAGAACAGCTTATCAGACTTATATGCAACAAATCAAAGACAATGATCATTGCCATGCTTATTACCAAATTGGATATTACCATCAACATGGGCTTGGAATAGATAAGAAAGACAGTGTTGAGGCGCTACGGTATTACGAAGAAGCCATTAAGCGACACCATCATTTAGCTTGTCACGACATGTCAACTTTGTATGATTGCGATTCAAATATAGATCACCAAGAATCGTCATCAATACAAAAAATAGATGAAAAACAACTCATTGACATTAAAGTGAGATTATTAATGGATGCAGTTGTTAACGGTCAACATTATTATGCTGGAAAAATGTTGAGAAGTAAATATAACAGTCATCCGTTTTGGAGAAATAAACTGCTAGAAATTAAGGATGATATCGAAACTGCTATTGATGAAACTACTGACACATCGACTATAGCAGAATTATATAATTACCTTGGTGTTATTGAATGTTTCATTCATGCTAGTCAAACTGACGATGATAATTCTGATGAAGAAAACATCGATGAGGATAACTTGACCACTGATAAAATTACCTCTGTTGACAAAACAACACGTTATGCTTACGACTGCTTTCAAAAAGCAGCTAAATTAGGTGATGGCCAGGGCTATTTTAATTATGCCTTCAGGAAAATGTTATCGCCACAATTTTTAACCGATTCCAGTTCTATTAACACAAAGGAAGCAAATCTTTACCCTATGAGTTGTTTCATACAATCAGCTATCAAAGATCACCCACTAGGCTGGTTTAGTCTGCATTTAGCTTTAAATTTACAACGTCCAGATAACGTTGATAGTAATCGAATATCACAAGGGCTATTGATAAAAGCTGCTAAAGCTGGCGGATTCTCTGATATCTTGAGAGAATTGGCTTATACCTACTTAGAGCCACGCCAAGGATGGCAATACGATCATCAATTGGCTCGGGAATATTTAGAGAGAGCATTAACAGCCAATCCTAGTTGTCTTTATCCCACAGATACTCGACATAATTGCTATTTAGGCTATCTTTACCAACTAGGTGTCGGTACTGGGATTGATAAAGTACAAGCTGCTCATTATTATGCAGCTACCTTATTAAAATCGAGTAAATGCCCTATAACTATGGTCCTATTAGCTAAATTAATTGAAAAAGAAACTGTACCTCGATCAACACTCCTTGATTCAGTTAGACTCTATCAAAGTGCTTGCCTAAAATTAGAACCGCTAGCATCGGCATATGCTTGCTATCGATTGGGTAGGATGTGTAGCAAAGGATTAATTAGTCAAGAAATGGGATTTGATACAACTAAAGCTAGCTTTTACTACCAGATGGCCAATAAACTACTTCAAGCTGTTTCACCATGCCCAATAAGTTATTACATAAAAGGCAATATTTATTCAATAGATACAAATCAAGAAAATGAAACAAATCCAACTGCCTGTTATTATGCAGCAAGCGAATATTATAATAGATCATTAGATTATCGATACTATGCTATTAAAGCTAAATTAAAATACGAAGGGATGAAACCTACACAACGGCAAGAAATTATCCAGAATATTACATCAATGAATGATGAAATTCAAAATTTATGGAGAAGTAAACCAAAAGAGATTATGTGGTCATCATACCGCATTGCATTACGCTACCTTTCTAGTGATTTTATGACTAAACTATATGATTATTCCTACCGTAAATATCGTCAGAAATTGCAAGAATCTGATGATATGAATGCCCATTATCAGCTAGGTTATTACTTTCGCAATGGTTTAGGCTCTGTCAAGAAAGATCCTGCTATAGCTATGAATCATTACTATAAAGCTGTTGCATTAGGTCATTCATTAGCCTATCATGGGCTTGCATTGTTGATTGGATGCGAAGAAGAAGGTGATGATCCTACAAATTACTGCCAAGTGTATTCTAGCACTAAGCAATGTGCAGAATATCGTCTGGACTTATTATTACAATCCGCTTATATGGGTAACATCAATTCTTTGCATTATATCGATCAACAAGTTCGAGATAAACCAGCTTGGAGTAAGTTAATTGATGCCAGTATTAAGACACGAGAAAAGAGCTATCGCCACGGTAAAAGTAGAAAATTAAGTCATGATGAATTGACAAAATTGCAGGTCGAATTAGGGATATTACTCATGATTCGAGAAGCTATTTTCGATCAACCAAACTCATTATCTGTTTATGAAATTATCAATCACTTCAATAAAGCAGCAAAATTACATGATCCAGCAGCTTATTATTATCTTGGCTATCTTAAATTAAAATTGGACAAAAAATATTTTAAAGGCTCAAATAAAAAGAATGATGCCCAAGCTTATCTTATGAAAGCAGCCAAATTGGATTATATTGCCGCTAAATTGCAGTTAGTTCAACTAATATTCGCAGGTGAAAAATTAACCATGGACGATCGTAAAGTACGCCAATTGCTAATTGATGGTAGTAAGTATGGTGATGCATTATCGACTTTAGTGATAGCATTAGGGCGGATTGACGGACGATTTGGTATTGAAATCAATTTAGATAAGGCTATCTCAACACTTGAAAGAGCTATGGTAGAAGATCATCATCAAGTTATCCCAACTATTTTACCAGATTATCTTCTTGGAATTATATATGAATGTGAAAGTACTTGTACCAATAAATATATTAAAGCAAGGCATTGGTATTCAACTCAAATTGTACACCAGTTAAACGATTGCCAAGGGCGTATTCTATTAGGCCAGTTGATCGAGAAGAAGAAGATTCCAGCAGCAAGTATTTTAGATGCGATTAAACTATATCAATCGGCAATTTATATCAATGATCAACATGTCGGAGTTGCTCATTACCGATTAGGTAAAATTTATTCCAATAAACAGAATAATAAATTTTACGATCTTGATCGAGCAAAGTCGCACTTTCGGATGGCTTATCGACAATTTCAATATAATGTGTTAATATCCAGTAAAAATGCTAGTCGCGATTGTTATATTTTAGCCAAAATGTACAAATGTGGCTATGGTACAAATCCTAATTCTAGTAAGGCTATGCTATTCTATCAGAAAACGATAGACATGTCCAAAGCTGATTACGATTTCGTAAGATTACGATATCGAAATAAGGCTGCAAAAGCCCTCCAGCAGTCTATGTAATTCTATTTAAATTAAGATAAGCAGATATGCTACAATATTTCATTTTCTTATTTCAATTGTGATATCAAGTTATGAAAACTGCTAAACATTTGTATTGATCATGTTGAAGTAGCGATAACCTGCATAAAATTATATAAATTTATAATCCATTGAATAGTAAAGATATATCTCTTAGGAACTCAGCATTACTGATGATGTCGTCTCATGTATGCAATAAAGTACCCATAATCGCACACCGTTATATGATTCTAGATTGGTTAACAGTAAACAAATCTCGATTTTATGTCTGTATTTAAACTTTCTATGCTATAAAATAAAATATTGATATTCGAAAGGAATCTTTTCATTAAGCAACACTAAATTCTTGTTGTTCAGTTGGCTTATACTTTCTTTTCTCCTAGTATATTGACCGGTATCTATGAATGAAGGTCTAATCATCTCGTCAATAGATACTGTAATCTTTCACTCGATTTATAGGCGGTAGAAATTAGTTTGATAGTATTACAAGTACTATATAAATATTTAATGCTGAAGAGGCAAAAATCTTAGCATTATCGATAAATACCGGTACTAATATCACCGAATCTTTCATATATTTATTAGTAATGCACCATAGTTTCGAGATGATAAGGTATGTCGGTTGTTGCTTAGCTTGCCATATATATTAATTTTAGAACTATCCGGCTTATATACCAGTCTTTAAGTACAACAATCATCTCACTTATTAGTCCAAGCTATACTGATCTTTACTAGCATAGCCAAATCTTTTATACGTTTAGTGGGTGATCTATGGCTACATATAGTAGGCGTATACTATCGAATAAAATAGTTAAAAAATTACATGATCATTGCAATATATACGATTTCATCCAGTCAATGAGATAATTGTGAGACTATACAGTATTTAGTAGTAGGAATGATCAATTGTGATCTTGCAATCGATGAATCATTAGTGAATATAACGAGATCATGGTCTAATCCAAATGAGAATTTGACTTTTACTACGGTTTCCAGCAATTTACTCAAAAATAGTAATGTGAGATATAAGACATAGCTTCATCATTCTCATTTGCTACGGTAATTTACCAACATGATCAAAGTGAGAAAGGATATCATCTTCTTTTAACTGCATTTAGATTAAATTATACTGACAACTTATAAAATTTAACTGTAGCAGATTGTACCTAACTATAAATTAGCATTAGATTCAAGTATTATCTATTCCTTTTCATTGGTTTATAAATTAAGTCATGCTAGAAATATAAAAGCGATGTTTGCAATAAATTGTACTTAGCTATGAACTACTACTTATTAGATCTATATGATGATACCCTTTAAGGGTTAGAAAGTTTCTCAAGGCGAAGAATATCTTATGTCCTTTCAAGTTCAAAATTTATATTAATCTAATAATATGGATGTCATAATGTTTCTATTGACTATTTATTTATTGTAAAATTATAAAAGTCTCAGGAGTTAAAATTTCAACTACATTTAATAGTTTTATAGCTTCATAGGCTATATGCTGTTCTAATTAAGCTTTGGTATGAATTGAGGATTTTTCTCGTGATAATTCCCGTCTAAATAACTCGTAGGGCAAGCAGACCTTTCATGAAAATCACGTACAACATTCTTATACAGACTAGGGAATACACATTTCTCAATATCATTCTTGATCAATTTCTTCAGAGTAGTGCATATATTTATGTCAGCCAGGATAATTTAGATGGCTTCATTTTATCACTATATTTTCTTAACTTATTCGACATCTATTAAGTTGTAATGCTATTTCAATATCATGCTTTTAAAGTAAGAAGTTGCTCAGTTTATTAGTATTTGTATGTCAGTATTAAATGATAATCACTAATAGTAATCCAATTTTCAATTTTCATTTAGTAAAGCCTCAGTTAAATTTATGTAATAGGATTTTTATGCCACTCATTAACTATGAATTAGCTTTTACTCATTTCGTTTACGATATGATCTATTTTTGCTTTTATTTCAAGTTAAAAGTGACTCTCGAGTATATTGGATAGACGAATACAATCGTTTCTAAACATTTTAAAATATTTTAATTAGGCTTAATAAACTACACATAATCCGATATTCTATTCAGTTTCATTAAGAATTTGACATCGAAATCATGCCGTCATTATTTCTAGGCTAGTTGAACTTTTCACAAATATTAATGCTAGTCGTGTTTATAAACTATCAAGAAAGAAATTAATGGGACAAAATAGCGGTAGCAATTGATATGTAAACGCTTATTTAGTGACGAAAAATAGAACTCATTAAGCGCATTCTAACTATCCTTGGCATAGCTATATCCTATTACACTATCTAAATAGAAGATGGCTGTGTAAAATAACCGGCTATAATGTCTAGCTTGGGAGGTCCAATATTTTAGCTATTATTTTTTTTTCTTCTTATTTTAAAAAGGCTCTTTTATTCTGAATTAAATTATTGTTTAACAATGCATAAATTATCTTCCTTATTCAAGACTAAAATCAGTGAATCAATAAGGAATTTAATTTTATTGGTCTAGATAAAACAAAACAAGATCAATGCCTACCAAAGTAACGTTTCTACTCCATCAAGATAGTATAGTAGACGGTTTTGTTTATGACCCATTGATGTACATTTCGAATTGTTTTTGAGTTAGATACTTCTCTATCCATATAGTTAGACCGAAAGAAAAAAGAGAAAAAGACAGAGGTAGAACTGGACCAAGAGCAGATGAAAAAAAGTTAAAATTAAGATCAAAGTGAGTAATAAATTTGATTAGGGAAATCCAACAGAAAATGTTAATTTAATTTATTACTTTGATAAGCAATAAGCCTATAGGCACAATACGTAATTTCTTTTCTAATAGTGTGAATAGAAATTAACTTAACGATTGAAGTATAGTAAAAAAAGATCATTAGTGCTAGTACTAAATATTTCTCAATGCCGTCAATATTCGTTTGATTTGTTAGATTTCTAAAGACGGAAGATATTTTTCTATTCATTATTCTATTTGTCCTCTTCCAAATTGAAATATGGCTGGCAATAATAGATTGACGAAATAGTTATAACCGTCAAAGTTAAAAGAGGATTCAAAATGAAATTGATGATTAAAAATACTTTGTAATTGATACTAAAGAATTGATTATCATCTTCACCCATGTTGCATTAGTTTCGTTTAAGCCAGATAGTTGATGATGAATTATTCATCATCATCATCATCTTTTGATGATGACGAGGTTGCACCTGATCCTGCTTTGCTAATTCAACGGCAAGTATCAACGCAATGGGATTTTACTTTTCAACAATTTGGAGATAAAATCAACAAAATTGCAACTAAATGCATTCAAAAACATCTAACAACTGAAATATACGACCAGGCTATGAGAGATTGTCATGTTAAATTACAGCATGGCGATGATTCCCATAGCCATTATTTACTCGGTTACTACTTTCATCATGGTTATTCTTCCATTGGAATCGATAAAAAACAAAGTGAATACCATTATAATCAGGCTGCCCAACGAAATCATCTTTTAGCTTATTACGGCTTATTTCAATTAGATAGGGACAAAATAATTCAATCTGATGATCAGCATCTCGATCAACAACAATTAGCTAAGAAACACGCTAATAATTTAATTAAAGCGGCAGCTTTTGGGCTCCATTCTGATGCTATTCAAGCATTAAGATCGTTGTATCGATCAAGTCAAGATTGGCGCCAAGAAATCAATCAATTTAGAGAGCAAAATTACGAAACTATTAAGCAATTAAAGCAGAATACAATTATATTGATTGATTCGTATAACTGTTTGGGCTTCCTTGAATACTTGATCCATAAGTGCAATACATTAGATCAACTTCGTGATCAAGCTAGTGATGAAGACATTCGCGTACCTGCCAAATCATTCGATTATTTCAAGAAAGCAAGCCAACTAGGGGATCCACGTGGTGATATGAATTATGCATTTTATACTGAGCTGGATACTCCATTATGTCATGGCAATGAAGTTAGTTTACAAGAATTAGATCAAATTAAACATTACCATCGAGCTGTTTTGCGTGGCTGTCCATTAGCTGCTATAAAATTGAAAGCAAGTATGAGAGAAAGTCGAAATGAAGTACGGAATATCTTAAAACATCGATATTACGTAGAAAATTATATAAAAGCATTACCCTATTCAGATGTCTATAATCAACTTGGTTCTATGCACTTTAATGCTGGCCAACCATTTTATATTGATATTGATCAAGGTAAAGATTACTTTTTTCAAGCTATTGTCAATCCTCCAAGTATGGCTGGTCCAGTTGATCGAACAGAATATTTTTACCTTGGCCTAATGTATGAATTTGGTATTGGGGTTCAAGCCAATATTACTACAGCGGCACATTTTTACGCTTCCTCGATTTATCCACATCATGATATTAGCTTGGCTTTATGTCGTTTAGCTAAATTAATCGAAAAAGGTAAATTATCTCAGTGCAATATTAATGATGCTGTCCAATTATATCAGTATGGCGCTTACTCACATGCAACACAAGTTGCTCCATATTGTCATTACAGGCTTGGTAGAATTATTGGCCAGCAACAATATCAACATTTATCATTTTATCAGCCTGTATCTGTTCATTTGCATATGGATATTGCATTCAGTTGCTTTAATGAAGAAGCTTTATTAGTTAAACCAGCGGCTATGGATCGCTATGTTGTCTCTAAATTGATGGAAGATGGATCATGCACTAATACAAGTAGCCATATTCCTGTGTTAGCACCTCAGCGCAATTTCTATATTACTCGAGCTCATTTTACTGACAATTATTTAAATCGATTTTACTCTATAAAAGCTTGGCTACGAGGTAAAATTCTAGTTGCAGCAGATGCTGATAATGCTAAATTATATGATCAACTGAACTGGTTAAATAAAGAAATTAAAACATTATGGGGATACTCACCTATTCAATTAATGATGGAAGCTTATCAAATAAGCCAAAGATATTACAGTAAACAGTTAACAGTTGAACATTTTCGATTCGATTTCCAATGTGCTAAAAGCCAATTGCAAGATAAACCCAATGCTGCTACATATTATAAGTTAGGTTTGTTGCATCAATATGGTCTTGGTGGCGCTGTTAAAGATTTCAAATTATCAGCCGAATATTATAGTCAAGCTGCTGAATTATATTGTCCTATGGCAAGTATTAATTTATCATTTTTATATGGTTGTGAAGAAGACGGCGACTGTCCACAACTCTATTATCAAGTATTTACTACTGCTAGAGAATTGGCAACAGTACAATTACAAAATTTGGTAACAGCAGCGTTAAATGGATCAATTCGTGCTATTGATATTATGCAAGATCGTTTGAAAGCTTATTCATGCTGGCGCGATATCATCGATGAAAGGATCAAAGATTTAACTAAATGCTTTAATAAAAAAATATTAGGCTTTATCAATAAAAGGTTAAGTAATACGACATCTAGTAAATATCATGCAGAAATGGGTATTTTACTAATGGTTAAAGAATTAAATTATAAAATGCCTGATCAGAAAGCTGTCAAGGAAATATTGAAACATCTTGAAGAATCAATGAAATTGGGAAATCCAGCAGGAACATTTTTATATGCATTTACTAAACTTAAACTAAAATTGGCTGACAATAAAATGAAATATATCAATTTATATCACAAAGCTGCTGAATTAAATCACCCTGGAGCTAATCGAATGTTCTTTATCCACTGCAACACCAATAATAGTAAATGCGATCGTAGTGACGAAAATACTAAGGACGATGAAAAGAAAGCAAGCTGTGTCACCAATGCAGCCAATTTTGGTTTCCCTGATGCAATGGCTGATTTAGCAATAACATTAAAATATCAAGGTCCAAAAAATGTCGAACTGGCTCGTCAACTATTGCATCAATCCATATCGGATAAACTATTAGGATGTTACAGAGTGGATTTACCCATTGCTGAATTAGGCTTGATCTATCAATATTATTGGTCATCTAGTAATCATTACGAATTAGCTGCTCATTATTATGCTATTGATGCCTTTTATCAAATGGAGGATGCAAAAAGTCGATGCTATTTAGCTAAATTAATCATCCATGATCACATTAAAGCAAAAAATAAATTAGATGATGCGATAAAGCTATGTCAATCAGCTATCTACATTCAGGATAACTGTTATTCAGCCTACGCACATTATTTATTAGGAAAAATTTATAGTCGATGCGAACAGTACTCAAATATCAATAGCCAAAATATGGCAAACGAACATTATAACAGCGCATTTCAGTTATTTTATCGTAATCATTCACATTATTCATCAACTTCATGTATGTCCAATTATTATTTGGGTGTAATGTGTCAATTTGGTTGCGGTCGAAGGAAAGATTTAAATAAGGCAAAACAGTTTTATTCGTGTGGATTACGATGTAAATGTAAGAACAACGTTTATTTTATTAAGCATTACCTGAAGAAATGTCAAAATAAGCTGGATATGCTAAAAGATTCTATGCAGCGCCAATGATTCATTATATTGTATAACTTATTTAGATTTTGTAATAGTTGATTCCTTTATTAAATTTCAGTCAATTATAGCAAGTATCAAAATGAATTAAGCTTGATTTAAGTGAAAAATGATTTCTTACTACCATCATCATGAAATAATAAATTTTAAAGTTGGCAATAATGGATGATTATAGACCAGCAATGCATGTCTTACAATATGAAAATTTTTGCTATCTACTGGATACTTCTTGAGCGTATCTGTGTACAACTACTAAAGCTATCGGCCTATTTTTAAGTACTGTCAATTTGTTGTCTAATCCGATTTCAGATTTGGGGTATTCTATTCTAACTTAAACTAATAACACAACTACAAAATCGCTTGCAATAACCAGAAAATTAATTTATTGTCATTATTAGCGTGGTATAATAAGGACAAAGACAAATTTTAAAATCGATCACTTTTCTCTCAGAGAAATTGAATTGTACTATATTATGTTGTAAGTAAAGATAGCAAATCCACAATTGCTTTCAAGACAATGGTCTTATATGGTCACTAATTACTGCTCTGTTCTTTCTGCTATACTGTATGCTAATTACACAAAATATACGCTGTCAGATAACTGACATTATCAATTATGAAAACTGAACAAACTCTTCTTCTTATTATTATTCTATTTAAATGTAACATTAAAAGTGGGCGGCCAAAAACATGCTTGCGGTAGTCACGCAACATTAGTCATTGTATGAAAAAGAATAAATATATAATATGCTTCTTAAGACGCCGATGCTCATAATTATTAATTCAGATTGCCATATTTCAGTAATGCTACTTCGCTTGTAAAGGATTAAGAATGCTAGAAATGCGGCAATGATTATATATCTTGGTAGTATATTGTATTTTTATGCAACAAAACCGCGCTACAGTATAGATGAAAATTCTGCTATATTGTCTAAATTATCATATTTAAATTTAAATGCAAAGAAGATAGAAAAATTAAATTTATGTAAGCATGATTAATGAAATTCTTGCTATACACTTTGTAAGAGTAACAAATGATCAAGTATATCCTCTGGATAAGTTGTGATAAGGCTGATATCGTCCTATGTACAATATAACCATTATTTATTCTATTGGCTCGATTTTTAATTACCCTACTGCTGATTTATTATTTATGATCAGAGCAATAGTTCTGTTCATGAAGAGCCAATTCATTTGTAGGACTTTACAGAAAGAAATAAATTCAAGAAGATAATTGTTTATTAGTGTTTAATTAATTGACTTAATCTGCGCTCTGCTTTAGATTGTAGATAGGATTTATAGGGATCGCCAAAATGTCGCATACGGTTACAAATAGTACTTAAAATTTCGATAGCTTTGCTTCTGTCTCTCACAACGCCGAGCCCTTGCAGAAGCATATTAGCATAATGGTATTGGCCGCTAATTGAATCTTTAACCTTTTTAAAATGACAGAGTGCATTGGCAAAGTGCTCGTTAGCCTTTGACGGATTATAATAGGTACCACTGGATTGATTGGAATAAGTTTTACCTAAACGATAACATGCATATCCTTTGACAGCGATATCATCGTCACAGATGGCCAGATTATATAATTCTATAATATATTCAATAGCATACGGATAGATGCGGCGCTTTTCTATTAACTTGGCTAAATAGCAACACGGCAAGTAAAAATTGAGGTGATTTTTAATAGCATAAGCGTAAAAATGAGCAGCAAGTCTATATCGATCAAAGTATAATAGACTATCATGTACGTCGTCTAAGTATAAGCTGTGATGATATGCAAATCCAAGTTGAAAACATTCCCTTTTAGAATACTTTGCACTAGGAATTTCAAGACTAAAAATAGCCAATTTAAACATAGTTTTTGCCAGGTATACATTTTTCTTATCAAATATACGGCAATCGTCTCTCAAATAGCTCATGCCAACTAGGTATAAATTGTCAGAATAGCCCAATTTTGATGATAGCATCAAGTATAGCCAACCTTGAACCTGCTCTTGTTCGGACATAGAATTAAGATAATGGTAGCCAAGTTCATATTGTGCAAGTGCATGGCCACGAGCGGAAGCTTCCATCATTACTTGCAGTTTTGTTACAGTCATATTGTGACGATAGTGAATAAATTCATCATAATAAATTGCAATGTTAAAGTAAGCCGCAGCACAATTTAATTTAGCTGCACATTGAAAATACTTTAATGCATCTGCTAATAATTCTCCCTTGTGATGAATTTCCGTCGGTTGAAGGCTTTTAATATAGCGCAAGATGCCTAATTGATTGCAGATGTCAGCGATAATTTCTTCAGAGAAATTTTTAGCGTCTTGAAAGAGCTCATTTTCTGTTGTTAATACAGTGTCCCTGTAGATACGATCAATCATATCATCGGAGTTTGAGTGAGTTTGTAACAATTTAGAGTTACGCATGGCAATTTGTTGAAGATCAACTAAGTGGCGTTCATCTCCATCGAAATAACGATCGATTAAATTGGTATAAATACAATCTAAATGGCAAATCATATCTTGCCAAAAAATGAATTGCGATAAATTGGAAAGATCTTGAAGTGATTGATTATAACTGCCTAGCGATGCCGACATTAATAATGATGTAATTTTGAGTCGTTTATAATTGTAATCGCTGACTGTATAGGTTCTGAAAGTTTGAGTATGATGGAGAGTCGATGGGCAGCTAAATAATAAGCTTAAATCGCGTAATGCATCCGGATGGCGCAGTTGAGCTGCTGATACCATAAATTCATAAGCGTCTTCAAGATTTCTCTCTATACCGTAACCAAAGAGATAGCAACGTGCTAGATAATAATACGTTGTAGGCCCAGGCGAATCGTCTACTTTATCCAAGTAATATTGAAAAGCTTTAGCATTAAGCTCATATTGGATATGGCGATTGATAAATCGGGAGGTAAATTTCAGGAGGCACTCGTGATCATCAGCATCATATTCAAGATTGTCTCTCAGTTCAATGGATTCTAGGCTGTATCCGTGGCTAATACTACTACTACTTGGACAATCTTCTTCATTCAACGAAATAGTGTCCATGTTTCTACGTATCTTGACTTTCTCAATATGACTGGGGATATTAGCTTGAAATGAAAGTAGTCCTTGCGATACTGTAGGATCGATGATGCAACGAAGCCTCCTATGCGCATATGGATTCTATTTATGAATTCTCAAGGTTATCGGAAGTATTTTGATGGCCGATTTTTCTGATCGAAAAAGATTAATATTCTAGTGCATCGTTTGAGCGCATTGCAGTATTTGGGCCCGTCAATTGGCTTGATGGGGAAAAATTGTTGTTTACAGCCTGGTCAATAATAAATATAATTAAGAAATGGATTAGATTGATTTTCATAATAAGTCTAAAATAGGATGAAAGAATCGAACCGAGCTGCGATATCAAAACAGTGCACCGTTGATACAGCTACAGTAAATCGAAAGTAGGATGCCAGTCAGCAAGTGTTATAAGTCAATAGCTAGACTACCAAGTGCGTTGCACATTCACAGCTATGCTCTATGCTGTAAGTAACTGTAGTCTATCGCTAGGGCTTTCATTTCTCCACTGGAATGCTATCAAAAAATAACTATCCCTACAGTGTTTGCACATTTACAAGTACTGAAAGTACTGTACAAGAGTGTTACTAAGCGTAAAGTCTGTACAGGATGATTTTGTATTACGTTTTAATCGCCTTTACTGTATACTCGTACGGTATATCGAAATCGAATGCATCCATATTGGTACAAGCCTTTATCTTTAATCTCCATTTGCACATTGCGAGGACTGCAAGTACCTTGCGAGAGTGCTACTGTAGAGGGTCAATTTGCATTGCTTTTGGTCGCGTATCGGCACAAGGCTTGAATCTACCTACAGTCTTCATATTGACGAGTATTGGAAACACATTACTTTTAAAAGCACTACTACAGAGTGTCATTTTGCGTTGCTTTTGATTGCATATTGGCACAAGACTTGAATCTACCTACAGTCTGCATATTGACGAGTATTGGAAATACATTACTTTTAAAAGTGCTACTATAGAGGGTCATTTTTGCATTGCTTTTTGATCGCACACTGGCAATTGCCTTTAATTTACAGTTTGCACATTTACGAGTACTGAAAGTACAGTATAAAAGTGCTACTGTAGAGGGTCATATTGCATTTCTTTTTGATCACGTATGATTTAATGATAGAGACGATATAAATATGACGGCTAGGCCTTGCTGATGGTCATTGGCACAAGCCTTTAGTCTACAACATGACTCGACTTGTTTATGAAATTGTTAATGCAGTACGCATATGACCCTAAAGCGGCATCTTGTATCGGTAAAAGAGTTATACTCTAAAAATATATACCCTTTGAGTTCAGTCTTATTTATTGACGGAATAAACTTTATCGAAAATGAATGTCTTTATAAAGTCTGTAGTCAGTGTAGTGTACAGTTTATCTTTGATGTCGCCAATGAGTTAAAGTAGAGTTGTGCTAAAATACAGAATTATCAAGTTGCACATTTATCCCGTTTTGAAAGCTATCGTATGGGTACAGCTGGATGTTGTAAATGACAGTATCCCTGGCAGTATGGACTAGAATTACTGGCATTATGAAATCCACCATGATAGCCTATGGTGGACATTGTCTGTCAATTGCTAGCCATCACCAATTTTAAGGATAGGAATTGATCAACAAATTAAAATAAAAATATCTACTGTACGATGTTACGGAACTCATTTCATGTTTTCCGCTCTCTCTCTCCGTCTGTCGTCGAGCAGACGCATGGACGTACAGACTATAACTCTGTACACTGTACACTCAGTGTGACAAACAGAGGGTTGAGCGGAAAGGATTTTAACTTGAAGTTAACAAAGTTGAAATCAATTGACAGCAGTAATTTAAAGAGCAACTTTGTACGATCCATTTCACCTTGACTTGAGTAATATACGCTATTAATATTCTTTCGAGCCATGCTGAGTGGGCAAGTTGAAAGTGGATTTAAATGTGGATTTCAAGAGAATTGATGAGTCACGACCGGTATCATAATCGCCGAGTAGAGTCATCCTAATACAAAACAAGGGGTGATGACTCAAGAATGAGTCAGCTTCCATTTACGGACGTGCAGTATTTTACAGTGTACAGTACAATCATTACAGGGGCGTGGCAAGCCCTCTACTGTAAAATGGTTGAAAGATGTTCAGCGTTGCCCTCAATGCATGCCATTCAATTTTGAATAAATGTACTTTCAATTTGGCTCCAATTCCATGCAGACAAATTAGTACAACCTTGAGCCATTGGCTCTTGATATTTTGATTCCTTTTCGTGGCAGTATTGAATAATTCTATTTTTTTCTAGTTTGTAACACAAACCATTTTACAAGTCGCACCGTCATACCAGTCTTGTACAGTGTAGTACAATGTGTTGGATTAAAGGGCAAAATCGGTCCTGGCTTTGAAGGCTTTTAACTTGGTCAAAATCGCTTTCTTTGCTAGAGACTCTGTTTGTACAGTACGTATCGTAGTGCACTGTAGGATCACGTGAATCATTGTTGGAAGGTCGCAATCAATGGTGATTGATTTCATAAGAATGATATTGATCATCACGTACTGACTGAGCGAGTGACTGATGGCCGGCTACAGTCAAGGGAGGAGACTAGTCAACAATGCCAACGACTGTACACTGTACAGTACAGTAGTGTACAGTGTACAGTGTACAGTACGTCCATTGGTACTGTACGATAGGGTTGATTCTATCGCATACAGTACTTGTGACAGCAGTCAATCAGTGTACACAAGATAACCGATACCGGTTACAGATTGTCAAAAGAAACTCCAACGACGCCTTGACTGTGAACTGAACCGGCAACGCCCTGAGGGGCTACTCGTTACCCCCTTCGTCACCCTTGGTGGCTCCAGTATCTTACTACTGGACAAGCCCCCAAAATCATCTTACTACCAGTGCCTATTGCCTATCCGACAGTATGAGTACTTACCCTCTTAGGCTTCCACCGTGTCCATGTCAAAAGGGTGAAAACAAAAGAGACCGAGCCTTGCTTTTTTAACGGGTAAAACGATGGTTACAGTCTAAATCATTAATTACAATCGAGTCAAGTCTGTGCGTTTCCGCGTGCTAGCTTGACTTGGGTCAGATTGATTTTCCAAGCGGCTGAAGACTGTCAAGCTATCGTCAAGAGCAGGATCAAGAGCAGGATTGATCAACCTAGAGCTAGAATTCATTAGTCCTATTGCAATCCACCATTCTAGGTAAGATCGATCGATAGGATAATTACCCATGGATCCAGTGATCGCATGATTTATACTGATGGAATAGTGTATGTCATCAGTTGTACCATTTTGTCTACTGTATCGGTCGATGTTGCGCGCTGATTGTTGCTAACCAACGTCATGGTTGGAGTTTGCCATTGCCGTCTCTAGCCATAATAGGGCTGCAATCAATATACAAACGCATTTAGTATTACAACAGCGTAGACGTTGATAGAAGTTGTATCAGACAGGTTCCATGCAGTGGATCAAGACGATCGCTTATAATAGATCGATCGTCCATTGCGTTAAATCGTAGAAAAGACAATGGTGAAATGCAATTTAGTAGTCTATGGATGGATGATGGACGTGTCTAGCCTTGATTGATTTAAATTGACGCCGCTATCATGTTAAACTAAAAGTTGTTATACAGTACTTACTACCAATCAGCTCAATTATAAGTTAGAATCATTGCAAGTCGTCGGCATAATGATGAATTGAATTAATGCAATAAATTTTTTTTTTTATATAACCTCCATTCATGCTATGCCCCTGATACGATCCAATCTCGCCATGATGGATTTCCGGTAAGTAGTGATATTATTTCTAAATTAGAGAATTGATCTTGGATTGAATAAAAGAAAAGATAACAACAACAATATGCGGGATATCAAGTGCGTAGTGGTTGGTGATGGTGCTGTCGGTAAAACATGCTTATTGATCTCATACACTACCAACGCCTTTCCTGGCGAGTACATCCCTACCGTCTTTGATAATTATTCGGCCAATGTGATGGTCGATGGCCAGTATGTAACGCTAGGTCTATGGGATACTGCTGGCCAGGAAGATTATGATCGCTTAAGACCACTGTCTTACCCTCAAACCGATGTATTTTTGATTTGCTTTTCCTTGGTCAGTCCGACATCGTTCGAGAATGTACGTGCTAAATGGCACGGAGAAGTATCCCATTACTGCCCGGATACGCCACTCATTTTGGTTGGCACCAAGTTAGATCTTCGCGATGATCGAGAAACGATCAATAAATTAAAAGAGAAAAATATGGCTCCTATACCCTTTGCAGACGGTCTTAAAATGAGCAAAGATATCAATGCGGTTAAATATTTAGAATGTTCAGCTTTATCGCAGAAAGGGTTAAAAGCTGTATTCGATGAAGCCATTCGTGTTGTACTGTGTCCGCCTGCCGTGTCAAAGCCCAAAAAAGATAGAAATAAGAAACCTTGCCTACTTCTATAACCAATATGTATAACATCCACCTTAATTCAATGTCGTCGAAACAAGCATGGATTCGATATTCACACTGGCTACCACACTCTACTGAGATAGTGCTAGCTAACAAACTATTATTTCTCCTATTGTAGTGCGTATGATCATGATCGCTCGGTCGCGTAGAATCGACCTTGTTTCATTTTTACACGTCCAATTTTATATTTACATTAATGCTTCAAATGTACAGACACAGTATAACCACATTTGTTTTAAAAACGCGATGGCAATATTGGCAGGTATCACCATATTATAGACCGTTTTACTGTAAATTAGATCTATTGAATACTGTAATTGTGAAGTTGCTATTGGTAAAAGCTAAACCTTACTGTATTTATACATTTGACCTTGATCATGTATAACGTAGTTATCATAACCGTTGTGAGTTTTCCACTGGGTTTGCATTCATTCGACAGTAACTGCATCCTTACGATTGTCAAACGGAAGGATATTGTAGCTAATTAGCACTATGTTTTTGTTGTAGACTAATAACTATATCTTCATTCAGTAATTTGTAACTACATTAAGCCAGTGATTGTCATAGCTAGGTTGTGATCTTAACGCACTCTTAACAGCTCATCTTTGAATAATAATAATACTATAATATACATACATTACAAGATTGAGAGGATTTCACCTTAAATCGGATACTAAACCTTTTTGGTCTTTTGAAGACGGCTACCAAAGTATATATCGATTTTCTTGTTATCACTCTCTTAACAGTGGCATCGCCGACGGTGTGACATAGTAAAAGTGCAATACGCCTGATAACTGTTTCCAATCTGGTTGTCCTTATCCTGTCTAGTTCAAACTAAAGTCATTGTGTGAGTTGATAGAGATGGCGAGCTTTCTATTCGGCGAATCTGTCGTAGGCTTGCTCGGAACTGAGAATAATATTTTATAACGTCATTAATTAATACTTTACTACCTGTTTAGAGGATCAACTGTTTACAGCGACAAGACTACTTATCGCAGCGTGATATATAAGCTAAACTTAGCTGATGTTGTATCATTAGTTCAACTGGTAAAAATAAAAAAATGTTTATTTCCGTTGCAATATGATACCATTGTAGTCTATGTTGGCTTAGTTCACTTTCACCCATGGTCTTAGGCTCGAAAGCATTGCAATTTGTAAACAATGATGCTAGTATTTCATGAATGTTAATCCATTGGCTAAGAATTAGGCCATGATGAATTACATCGATTTGGAAGAGATTACAAGATTTAAAATACTCTCGATCCAATATGAATGTCAGTGTTATTAGTAGAAGCACTGACAGAAATGAAATTATTTTAATCTCATAGAAGAATGAATTTTAGATTGAGAGTATACTGTATAGTAGTAGGATGCACACAGCGTACTCGCATCCCGTTGCAGCATCTTTGCAAAAGAGATTATTCTGTAGATGCATATGCATATCAATCTACGGTATAATGTACTAATATTCTTTCAAAACGTTTAGCATGTTACTAGTTGTATGGTCCGAAACTGTAGCCATTGCAGAATCGAAAATCAACGGATGTACGCCAAGCAAAGTACGCTCAGATTTGCTGCAACGTTGTCCACCATCTTCTTGATTAATGCACTTATCCACTGACTACAGGTCCTTTTAAATTATCAACTTGCGCTAGTTTCTTTTTTCTCAGATGTAAATACGACGTATACATTGTGCATTAACACTGTTACCACGTATTTTAAAGCATCATTTCATATGCCATTTGATAACTCATATTTACATTTATTGTAAATAATCTGTTCAAGAGGAGTAAACGATAGATTATAAACAATATACACTACTCTCATCTAGAACAGTGATTATTCTAGTCCAAAAATGTAGTCATCATCAGTTTACTCGTGTAGTATATAGTCGTCTTACTGTAGTAGTACACACTTTCCTTGCAACAACCGACCATCCTACCTACACCTATGAAAATTTGTCAACCTCGTAGGCGTCGTGTAGAATTAATGATAGGCTTACTGAAGTTGATTTTATGATGGCTTAACTATGATTACGGCTATTAGGGTATTTAATACAAAGTAAATGTACACTAGAGACCCTTGTCTAAGGGTCTCTAATGTACACTACCAGTATTCACTTGGAAAGTTGAAATGAAAGTATTTGTTTGCCAATGAATCATAGAGCATGACTCTTTTTCTTTATGAAATGATATCAATGTTTTATTTAATAATTAATCAGCATGGTTGTATACAGTAGTTTATCAGTCAACAAACTGAATAGAAGCCAGCTGAGATTGAGTAAGAAAAAGTTAAGCTAGAGTCAATCTAGCGCTGCGCAATGCTTCGTCCTCCAACTGTTTGTTTCGTTTTCAGTGCTTACAGTACTTTAATGACAGGATGGTGGCGATACACTAATACAATTTGTGCAGCAGCTTGAATTTTAATTCTACCACCAGTAACGGATTGTGCTGTAAGGATTAACTGACCTATACAGTATACAGTATCAGTTATTCCTGTAAACGACCTGGGCACAGTCCACTAAAAGGATTGATTCAAAACTTGAAGATGCAAAGCAAAAGAACCCGGAAGCGACATTTTCGGATTGCCATACTCCGTCTCCTGCTCCAGTAGTATACAACAAAGCTGTCGTCTACACTACCATATACTAGGCCAGCAGCTACTGTATGCTACAGTAGAGTCAAAGTAGCACGATGGCACTAGACGTATTATATGTTTCATACAGTACTACGCAGTATACAGTACTGTATCGCTCATGCTACAATCCAACGTCAATGACCTTTAAGAGTTCAAAAACTCCAGACATTAATGGACAAAAAACGATCAAAATATGACAGACGGAAAACGAGAAATTGATTTCTTCTCTCGTCCATTTTTTACATTGAGTCCTAATTTCAGTTAAGAATATCCATCTTTCTTAGGGGTACTTACAGTATGTTTTATCTAGAGTTTTTTAATGAACGGAAACGATCAAGATATGACAGACGGAAAACGAGAAGTTGATTTCCTCTCTCTTTCATTTTTTACATAGAGTCCTAATTTCAGTTAAGAATATCCATCTTTCCTAGGGGTGCTTACAGTATGTTTTGTCTGGAGTTTTTAAAAGGTTAACATAATTATAATTTACTGTCGATAGCTTCAATTTAGTCAATAGCATATAATCTGCTGGAGAGAGATCTCGATTTGGCGGTTGTTATACTATAGTATACCGGTACTCATTAACATAATTATAACTTACTATCGATAACTTCAATTTAGTCATTAGCCTTTTAAAAATAGATAAACAGCGCTGCCGATAAAAAAATTATTAGTTAATGTTTGTTCAATGAATTTTAGCAGAGCCTACTGCAAGGATAGAATGGCAAAGAATTAGCATAAAATGGTATAGACAAGCTACTTTTCTTACATGGATCCAGCTATTACAAGCCAGCTGAAAGCAAAGTATTGACTACTACACGTTAACGAATTATTTCCAGTGAAAGACACCTTGGAGTGTGTAATCGGCATCAACATCAAATAATGGATAACGTAAGCAGTTTACGTAATTTCTATCCAGTGTGTATACATAGTAAACATGTTCACTTGGATCTCAAGCCTTTCATCATTTTTATTCTATTATTTTTAAGATACTGTACATACAAGTATAATAAATTGGACGGCAGAGCCTAGCGATATACTGCAGGATGAATATGACTAACAACATGGGCAAGTTGGCTAATGGCAGCTACATCTAAAGTTGCTCTGGATATACGCAGATGGCATGACTATCCATAAGTGCTTTAGACTAGAAGACGGCAAAGAATATTGACGAGCTAGCTGATAATAGTAATACGTAAGGCTACTGTGAATTGGCGCATAAACATTTAGCCTGATCATTCATAAGTATAATAGACTATCGGATAATTTAGTAATTAAGTTTTGAACCTTAGAACTCGAATAATGCGATACTCTCGCTAATAGGCATAATAGTAAATCGGAAAGGGCTGAGCATCAAATCAAAAATGATTATCATGGTATTACATAATCGTTTGAACCATTTGATTGAATAGCGGGAGATATCAATCATCACTAATAATAATAATTTTAATTTTTAAGAGTTCATCAATAATTAATCGACTAAATCTACAATGAGAGCTCAATCTATATTAGAGAAGCATTACGCTGAGCTAAAAGGATTAGAAACCGCAATGGGATAGTTGGATGTACAAACTAAAATATCGATGCAAATAATAACAGTAATAAAGATTGTTTATTTTCTTTAAATTTTCCTCAAAAATCGTATCCTATCTTTGTGTAAGCAGCAACAAATACCGTAGTTTATCCACTTTATGGTATTATAAAAGTATATAGAGAATCAGTTATGTTGGAAAGGTGACAAACTATTCTATGTCTTTCATTCGTTACTTGCAAATACACTGGACTATTATAATATCTGCCATGATTTATTATTGTGAAATATTGAAATAAGATATCTAGGTCTAGAATGGAACATCACGTATAGGTAGATACTAAATTAGATTCACTTTGTTTTGAATAGTGCTGCAATCGCTTTCAGTATCCGCCACCTACGAGGTAAAATAATTTCAATATAGGGAGATATGCGAGTATTAGAACTTGGATAGCTGCTTTTTATTTAATCGGATACGGTATTTGATGCTTACATGATTCAGTTCTTCGTGTTCGTTATGGACGAGGTAACTATATTTGTTTTAGGCAATAATCATTACACAGCTGATCTCTTATAATTAATATTCGATATGGCAAAACTGAGAGATATGGCATAAACTAATTACAATTACCGTGCTTAATAGCCCAATACGGAATTCTTTGTTACATTTACATCCAATCGATTAGATGTAAATAGATTCATATCATTCACTGCTGACATTAACAACACATTGGTACTCATTAAGAGTATATCAAGAATTAAAAATTGTTGAATAGGAGGTTGATCCTAATTTACTTATTATTCTATAAGGAATCCTATCAAATGATACCCCTCGAAAAGCGTAAAGTTTAATTTATCCTGAAAGTTCTATAGTTAAATGATTATGGTCAGGCCACTGTTGGACTATCTGATAATTAATATCCTTGATATCATTAAGAAACCTTTGTTGTAATCTGATATGACAGATGTGTTTAACAGTGCTGCTTAAGACCGACTTTCGTAATCAAGCTATAGAATTAAATGCCTTAGGGTATTGATGGCTAGAAAGGAGCTTTTATTCATAACTAGTTGCATTCATACACCATTCCAGGTAGAGTAAATCAGCTGCTATAGCCATAATAGTTCACTCACTATATCGTGAATAGGTACACTTAAAGTATTGTAAATTGCACATTTTCGGATCGTAGGCAAATCTATCGGCTATACCTAGAACATGCTGTAGCTTCAGTTATTTCATATTTACAAGTTATAATGACAGTCCGTCATAGTTCTGAGTTAAAAAGGCTTTGTGAATTGACCGTTTCAAATCAAAGCTACGCTTAACGGTGTATCTCTATTAATTTGCAATTGTGCCTGTTTAACAGCATAATGGGCATACGAGTATACTATAGCTAGCTACGGTCTTGTATGCAAGAAATAGGAATATTTTATTATTTCGCAATTTAAAATCAAATATAGTAAAGGTATTTCATTTCCTGTAACACTTATAAAGTCGTAACGTAAAACAATTCTACTTTCCGCCATAAACATCCTTTTTCCGGTTAATTTCTGCTGTGAGGCTTTAATAAAATTTTTCTATCATTTCTTAAGATCAAATTGATTCAACAAGATTATTTCTTTAATTATTTCATTTTGAAAGGAGAGCAGAGAGGAAAATGAAAGAGGAAATCTTTCTTCTAGCTTTGAAATAAAAATAACGTTAATATTGAAGGTATACGACAAAATAATGGAGAACTACTGTAATTAATCTATAGGAAATCAATCGCCAGTTGGTAACTACTATTATCTCTTATAATTATTTTATACGCATAAGAAAGTAGTAGTAGTATTAGTAGTATAAAATTAGGTCTTCGACTAATCTTACATGTAGATGATGAATATCCTGCACTTTCTGGTTCAAGATAGCTAACAAAATTGCTATGGTGACAATGATAATTAAGAGAAGATGGATCAAATAAAATGTCATCACAAGTACTCTAGCTTAATCTAACAAGATCCTATTACGGAATAACGGTTCCATATAAAAGTTGCATTAATAAATGAAAATATCCTTTAAATGACTGCTATGCTAGATCATACCACATTCGATCAATATAGTTTGTACAGTATATCAGAAAGTCTTATACAGTACAGAGATCGTGCTTTGCTTATAGAGTTCCTATATTAAAAAAATTCATGGCCATAATAGAAAGAATAATGACATACAGTATATATAATCCCGCCTAGGAAATATACTGTGTTTAGATAAGTATCCTAGTTGGGAATAATTGATTTAAATAGTCAGGTATTAGCTCTATCCTTTTATAGAGATCCGTAATACTGTACTCTTGGTATTATTACTGTTTAATAACAGCAATAGAAAATGAATCATTATTATCCTGGCTATATATTGTACAGCTGTCTCGCATTGATTTTGTCATTGCCATTTTTGAAAATTACTCTACTTTATTTAGCGACAATGCTTATACATTAAGGACAATTATAAATTTTCATGGACGTTATCTACCGTTACATCATTTATACACGTATTTACAGAGTTGCAAAGGGTCTGGTGTTTCTTACGGGAACTCTATCGACGTAGATGTGATTGATCGATATTTATGACCTACTGTTAGTTAAAAGGCAACGCTCATCCAATTTACTCTATTACATAGCGGGGAGTATTATATTCAAACGACTGAAAATTACACAGGAAATTCTTGCGTTTAGTAAAAAGGATCAAAAGGATCATTCGAAACATTTTGTTATTTATCCAGGCAAGTATAGTATAGGTTACTATAAGTTTAGATCATTTAGAAATCAGGATAGAACGTCATCATATTACAAAGGATGAGTTAATCACAGTTTAATTCATTTTTCTATAGTAATATAACTCTAAGCACACAGATTAATTGAAAAAAATTTATTTTGCCATAATTTAATTTGTTTAAAGCATGATCTCGAAGTGATAAAATTCTAGTGAAATTAATTCCAAAATTCCTCAGCTTTTATCTACACTTTCAGAATTTATTATTAGTTTCAACTTTCAATAATTAAAAGCATATTCACTACTGAATAGAATAAATTTACTTTATGGTGAAATGTCTCCTGTAAATAGTATGTTTGATTATCTTATAGTAGAGTTTGCAGTAACCTTGATTTATTTGAAGTTAGATATAACATATTGCAAGACTTGCTTGACATGTATTTTATTCTATAGCACCGTCATATAATTTGTCACCAAAATTTGACTATAATTGTATTCTATAGTAAAATGAATATATAATTTAGTAGTAGTGTAAATAATTTTTCGCCAGTAGAACAGTTTTCAGTTTGTGAAAGTGAGTAATTCCTTGTACGACTTTTACAACAAAGTAGTAAATTCAATTTTTTCTTTATCAAGGGCAATTTACCAATCCATTTTAAAAACTTTCTTATTTTATTGCAAGATGTTTTTTATATACTTCAATGCGAGAGATTAATCCTTATAGACATACAGCTACAAATTTTATCAAGATAATATTAATTATAAATAATTTGGACTTTAATATTAGATATTACTGTAGTAAATTAATATTTTTTAAATTTATTTTGAGCTATTTTCTCATTATACCTTGTATATTCATACTCTACTTTATGGTACTATTTATTCTTTAGGCAATTAAAAAAAAATCGTTGATAATTTATGCAGTCAATTAAATGTGTAATAGTGGGCGATGGTGCCGTTGGCAAGACCTCTTTATTAATATCATATACATCCAATAAATTTCCCGAAGAATATATTCCTACTGTATTTGATAATTATACTGCAAATTTGCTGGTTGATGATAAGCAAATTACATTAGGATTATGGGATACAGCTGGACAAGAAGATTACGATCAACTTCGGCCATTATCCTATCCTCAGACCAATATTTTCTTGATTTGCTTCTCGGTTACTAATCCAATATCGTTACATAATGCCTCGGAAAAATGGCTACGAGAAATTACTCAGCATTGCCCTTCAGTACCATTTATATTAGTGGGTACTAAGACGGATGTACGGGATGAAATCAATGAAGAGAGAAAGACGGAAAAGGATTCAGTTGTAATGACTCACAAAGGTCGTCGAATAGCTAGCCAGATCGGCGCAGTAGCGTATTGTGAATGTTCTGCAAAGACACGAAAAGGGCTAAGAGAGGTCTTTGATGAAGCTATTAATGCCGTTTTGTATCCACCCGATCAAGAGACAAAGTTAAATCGTAAAAGGATTTGTACAATATTATAATGGTAAATGCTGATGGAAGCTAGTAGCGAAATGGCTTGTGTTAAGAAAATGAATGACTGTGATATAGAGCAATTAGCTAGTAAATGAATAAAATAAAATTTATTTTATACTGGTGCAGCGCTTTAATTCTGCTTATTTGGCTGCTTGTTAATATTAAGTTATTTTTAGCAATATTATTTTATTAAAAATCCTAAGCCTGATCTAATTACAAAATTGATACCTTTGATGGATATAATATTTACAAAATCAACCAAAAAAAGATTTTAAAGCGGTATTCGCGCTACTTGTGATCAATTATCATGAATTTCGGTTATTAATTATCAACATTCTTGATTACTATCGCAAATTTGATGCACTTTCTAATCGCTGTATTGAATGTACTGTATTACTATTTGAGCGTATTCAATACTTAGGAAAGCCTATTCAGGTTTCGAATAAAAATTAGCTCTTCGCTCATTCGGTAATAGAGCGCTGGTCGTGTATCGAAATTCACTGGAATTTATCCTTTGCTTCATCAGCGACTTCTATCATTTAATAAAAAGAGGAAACAATTTTATAACCATTTTAAAAATCTGTTAACCAATTAAAGTTGTGAAAGCTTATGATTCGATCTAGGTAATCATAAGCTTCTACTTATTTGTATATCCTTTAGAGCGTTAAAAACACGGTATTTACTAAGTAAATAGATTGTTTTAACACTTAGCAAGAGATTTCCTTTTGATTTGTCAGATGTAGTCATTTTTTGTGTTGATAATTACTCATAAAGTAAATAGATATGTTTGGCTATGAAAATTTAAGTCATGGTTTCTGCCCTACTAGGATACGCAAGAGTGTCACACCGCTAAACTCAATCATAAATATCTATTTAAATGCAATACGAAATAGATTGATTTGTATTCGAAATTTGGGGATTTCAAACTTTATTAGTAGTTAGATCAAATATATGGCACGCTTAAAAAGATCAATACCTGACTGTTCAGAGTAGATAACAGCATATAACTAGTATAAGATGATTAATGCATTTATTTAGATCATTTATTGCCTAGGGATGATGTAAGCATTAGTAAATAGATTCTCATATATATGTGATTTAACACATAAATAGGTATTTAATTAATTTTACTTTGATGCAATCTTAATATCAAATAGCAACAGCACATTCCAATTTTGAAAAAACTATAGTCAGATCTTCATCTTGCTTAGACATGTCATTACACTATGAATCAGCTTCAGTAAATAATATATTTATATTAAATCATATTAGATAGAATAATTACCAATTGATATGGATTAGGCATTTAGTATTGGCTAATACAAGGTATGGCCGTGATATATTAACACAATGTAATTTTTTTAGCTTGCAATGTCGATTAATTCACTGGACTGTTTAATAACCTTGTTGATTTTAATTAGTAGTTAATTAATAATTAATTGAAAAGCGAATACAACAATCAAATTAAAAATTTTCTTTACTATGTTGCCATAAATTATATAATTATTCGTGACATCATAGCATACAGTGGGCTTATGAACAGCTATGACATCATCTATTCTAGCTAATAAACCTTAGGGCTACTTGAATACTGCACGGATTCAGAAAATTTTTAATAATTAGTGAAAGAAAAGGTATTCTCGAGAGAGCAAAAATAGTCTAGTATGATCATTGACTTTTAATACGATATGTTGCCTAGTAGTAGGTAATAAATTTTTTTAATCAATTACGTATATGTAATAAAGATCTATAGCTACTTGATACGGCTTCAGTAATATCATTATTTTTAGGGCACTTACAAATATATACGTGTAAAGGATTAAAACTGGCAGTAAATGCGATTGAAGATCATAAATATCAACAATATTGTAATATTGCATATCTTATCCTACCCAAAATATTAAATTTGGATTAATTCAGGTTCTTTACATTACTTTTTATCTTGCTTGGAGGTCTCTAATTATATTCGAAAATGTTATGTTAAGAACCAGGTAATAATAGACTAATTGCAGTACAATAATTATGGTCTTTATTTCCCTTAACCATGGATTGTTAAGTACTTCACAAGGTTTGGTGGACTATGCCTTAACTTAATCTTCCTTAATTGTAGACGCAGATTTCATGCATTAATCTACAGGAACTGTGATTTATTGTATTCCTTAACTATATTAGGATAATGATTATCCGATATATTTTCCGTTAATTCTTGTATAGGCATGATCTTGATTAGAAATATTGGATATAGAGTCAGATTTTAATGGAGTAATCATGATAAAATCAAGAAAAGACTATCTGTAGAAAGCTTTAATTTAATAAATTTTACCTTCGAAATTTTGCAATATACTTTTGATAACGGACGATTAAATAGTATAAATTGTATAAATATTATCAACTTTTGGCTTCTTCATAATTTCATTGTGTAATACAATTAATTTATATTTAACTAATTTATAGTTACAGAGATCTTATAGAAATGTAACAGCTCTTGTGCTTCGTTAACTCTTAAGCTATTCTCTTTCCTAATCTATGACCAATAGTTAAGAAATTAATTTTATCAATACGATATAGCAATTTTCCAAGCATTATTATTTCTTTAGTTATTGCTTTCGTATTCAACCAGCTATTGAACAAAAGTTAGGAAAAGCAACCTATTGTAGTATCTAGTATTATACAAACATTACTTGGATATCTACAGTTTCTATTCATGTGACATATTAATCGCTATCGTAGCTCCTTACACTAAATTATGAAAGGCTATCTGCATTTTATCCCTGGGAACCAGAATCATTCTGTTTATAGGAGTATTTTCGGATGAATTCATTGTTTCTATTTCGCATTCTAGAATTAACTACGTATTTTAAATCGATTTGATTAGAATAAACTTCAGCTAGAATAATGTCTTGTCAAAGATTATTTAGACTAACTTTAGTATAGATGATAGGAACTAACCTTTGACATTAAGGTATATATTTCCATTTCTGCTATACGTTTTCCAATACACATTCGAGGACCATAGCCAAATGGTAAATATTGAAATCGACTCTCACTTTTATTTCCTTGGCGATCACTGCCTCTTAGCCATCGCTCTGGCATGTATTGACTTGGATTAGTGAAAGCTGATTCATCTCTAGCCATAAAGTAATGTCCGATCCAGACGAAACTCTATTTGAAAATAACAAATTTATTTAATTTACTAAGTATAATTATTGCTATACTCGTAAAAAAGGACACACTATTAATTTATAATATTATAATTTAGAATACTTTGCTCTATTTGCCTAATTATATACTCAACTAATGAATATACCGATATACCTTAGCTGGCACTTTATATCCACTAAGTACAAGATCTTCATTAATGATTCGTGGTAAGGCAACGGAAATTGGATGAATTCTATAATGATTAAAATTGTTCTTAACTTATAGCAAAGAATCTCAGATTTTGCTACCATCTTCATTAAAAGAAATAAAAATTTATCTTGTCATCTCCACTCGAAGATAAAAATTTATAAATTTTAATATTAGAAGATGTAAATACTTTACTATCGTTATTCATGAAGGATATTAATGTTTTCTAGTTGATTATACACTAACCTTAATGTTTCTTGCAGGCATGCACGTAAGTATGGCATCTTTTGAAATAAATCTAGATTGGGTTCTTTGGAATCTTTCATAACGCGTCTAATTTCATCGCGTAATCTATTTTGCACACGTGGATTTTTACCGATATCATACAGCATCCATAAAAGAGTATTGGCTCCCTAGAGAAAATGTAAGGATATGAATTTTCCAATAAATACAGCTAGGTTCTGTTGAATAGAATAACAAATCAACGACTATCAGGGGAATACAAAGACAATTAATTATGGCTATAGATCCCGATTTATTCATCTATTCGATGTTGAACTGCTTGTAGGTTAGCAAATAAATTAGCTATATTATGCTATGTTGGTATTTCGTTGAAATACGCGTATATGCCATAAGCAATGTCCTGTTTCTGGAACAGGTTACTAGTATCGTTGTATTTGAGTTCCATTCAATTTTATTCTAAAGTCAAAATCAATCTAAACTCGAAATTAGGGAGCATTTAGAATACCTTATCGTCCATTAAGGTACATTACAATAGAAAGTATTTAACAATATTATTGTACTTTAGCAAGTTAAAGTGATTCATTATTTTGATTTCATTTCGTTTTACCGTGTCTATTCCAGTAAGGAGTAACTCTATCATGACCACATTGGCTTCACTTCGATTTAGTTTGCCTGTTGCGATCACATAGCTAAGAAAATCAACTCCACTGCCTGATCGGGCTATGTCATCCGCTGCTGGTTATCTTCTTTTCAAGTTGCTCTCGTTTCTCTTCTATAATATCGTCAGCAAATTGGAAAGCCAAATCGGACCATTTAACCAGTTTTTTCCAATTTTTATTGAAGATATACTTGAAAACGAAGACGGGAACTGTCAATAAATCGCTGGTAGCTTCTAATATTTTGGTAACAGACTGATAGAATTCTTCGACTTTGGGCTCAATTGGCTCTTTAAACATTCCCAGACGTTTTTCAAGCAAAATACCTGCAACGGCTGTAATTATGGAAATAGAAATAAAAATAAATTCTGCATAATAGTGTTTAGCTCTATTGATAGTTTTTTTATGTGTAGTATTTATATATAAGATACTAGATAAGATCATTTTTATAATGATTAATTATATATATGGAATGGAAGAACTAATCATCTCACATTCTGCCGTATACTTGTTAATTTCTTTCTCGATATCGAGTACGATGCCATTATTTCCGCGGAGTCGTTTAAGGCGTTAAATGAAATCATTGGAAAGATCATTAATTCTGTCAGAATAGTATGCTATTTCTCTTGGTCTCATCATCTTCTTATCCATAACACTACGAAATTTTTTCCATTCTTCATCTTTGCTAAATTAAGATAGAAAGTAAAGTGGCAATATTACTTGCATTCAACATTGTTCATGAATCTATCTCATAAATAAATGTAGATTCAGTTATGATGTCATATTCTGCAATATGTCATCGTTGCAATTTTGACACTTGATGCATATGTATTAATAAAACAGAAAATGATAAGATCAAAGAATCATAATATTATTTTTATCCTGTTAGCAATGCATAGACGGTAGATGTTGAGGCTACTATTGGCCACTATTCTTTCTTATACAGTAGTAACAGGCATTTTATCACCAATGAGCTTATGATGTACAGAATAAAAATGCCAACTACAGCAATGGAGTGATCTAAAATGATTCTCGAATAAAATAATATTTGTATCCAAAACACTTAAACTGGTTCGCATAACTATTTAAAATATCATTCAAAAACAACTTACGAAAGTATAACCCCCATGGACAGGTTGCGCTTCTTCCTGTACTCCACTAGTGGTATAATAGGATTTCTATCTGGATATTTGCCTTCCGCACGTAGTACCTTCTCTGCATCTTCCACTGTGGAAACATAGACAATAGAATAATGTCCCATTTTCTCTTTATAAATTGGTCCATACTGCTGTCTTCTTTCTTCGGTTATAGCAAATAAATTCTTGAATCCCCAGCCATCATTTCTGACATAATCTAGCAGTGTACCAATGATTGGTAATCCTTTCGGCCCTGGGATCTGATCCATAGGCTTTGCATTAGCCATTTCTAAGTCATTTCCAACAGGATTTACATTCGTTGATGAATATCTCAGTGATAGGATAGGTAAGGAGATTCTCGGAATACATGCAGCAACCACTTGATGATGCTTCCAAATTGTTGTAGCATAGGACATCATTTGGATTGATGATTTCAATTTAGGCTCGACGGAAACTGTAATCAATTCAGACAAATCATTTATATCATCGTTAGAAACGCTTAAGACAGGTCTTGGTAATGATCATTTATCAATAGTACATAGTAGAATAGAAAATTAAAGATTACTAGAAGCTAACGATTGATCATGCCTTTCAAAAATTGCTCTGACGAAAGTGTATCAAGATATATAGCGCACAAATTTCTCCAGTAATGTCTAATTTCAACAGTTTTTCTGGCTAAAGTATACAAAGATGTATAGCATACAGACTTCTTTAGTAATGTCTAATTTCAGCAAATTGTTCTAGACGGACATGCACAGGACGGAACAGCTATAGTACAAAGCTATGGTGCAAATGTCTAATTTTAAGTTTTCAACAATTGCATTGGCTAAAGTACGTAAATAAAGATGAATATGTAGATCATATAAACCTCTTTCGTAGTTTAATAATTACATCGGTTAAAGTATATAAAATGTATAGCATACAAGCTTCTTCAGCGAAATCGAATTTCAGCAATTGCTTTGGCTAAAATACGGCATATAAAGATGAACATGGCATACAAATTTCTTCAGCAATTTCAACAATCGCATTGGCTAAAGTATATAAAGATGCATATAGCAAACAAATTTCTTCAGTAATTTTAACAATTGCCTTGGCTAAAGTATATAAAGGGGTATATAGCATGCAAATTTCTTCGGTAATTTCAATAATTGCTTGGCGAAAGTATATAAAATGTATAGCAAACAAATTTCTACCGCGAAGTCTAATTTCGACTATGGCTTGTAAATGTATAGCTTATAAATTTCTTAAGTAATGTTTAATCTTAGAAGTTGCTTTCTACCTTGTTTATTGTGCCCACTAACTAGTTTGATCGAGAAAAGTAGAAGTCGTTCTATCGATTATTTTTGCGAAGTAATGAAAAATTTTGAAAATTTATCAATGTTGCTACTGAAAAATTCTATTTGACCCTGAGTTTGTGTCAAATCTGACCTCAATTTCATGGTACAACAGATAAATAAGCTCCATATGATTCAATACTGTAACAATGTAAACTGCAATAAAGACTGGTTGTATAGTATATGATAGATATATCTTGATTTAATTACGGGACTAAGCTAAGTAAATATGCTTAGCGTAGTACGTCGTCGCTACGAGACATCCTTTAGGCTAAGGAACCTTTAGAAGCTTGTATCATTCGATTCATTAATGTAGTTGTGCAATAGGATTTATTACCTCATTCTGTCCAAACGGGAGACATAACAGTCTCCAGCTAGCTGTAGACAAACAATGTTCAAGGTACTTAAAGTAATACAAAACTAGCCACGTATACCTTTTAACTCATATCAGGCTATCGAAGTAGTATAAATTTATGAGTAATTTCAGAAGTTTTGTTAACATCTTAAGTACTCTTTTGCAATAGCTGAATTATTTCATTCGCTTTCATTTTACCGCTTATGATGATAGAAATGAATGTAAACATGCTTGAGATTGAAATATTTATCCAAGCATTGCTAACGTTCAGGACTGAGTTTAACGAATGATCGCGGTAAATTTAGAAGACTGAAATATTTATTGGGCATTAGCCAAGTTTGAGGTTGACGATAACGAGAAATTTTTCATAAAAATTGAAATATATATTTGGGTAGTAGTCCAGCTCAGGATTGATCACTATGGAAAGTTATAGAAAATTCGTATAAATGAATCATTTATTCGGGCATTGATCGCAGCGGAAATACAGTGATCCACAAATTGCAAAATTAATATTTATTTATTTACATAGTGCAAATGAGTGAGAATAAGGTGAGAGTCTTCTGTTGTGACAGTAGTTGAAAGTCTAAAGCTTTTATCTAGGTAATATATACTTGAAGGATAAGTATGTGACTACCGGTTTACGGTTTTTATACCGTACGCTTTTCATGCAATATCAAATCGTAGGATCAGCTTAATCTAAGTTATCATTTACTCTTACGCTTGTCGTTCTAGTGGAAAATAGGATCTAAGTTAGGGTTTGAAAGATCTTGAATCGAATAATATAGTTCAAATATAAATACCTATGAAATTGTTCAATCACGATTTGGAACTCTGAAATTTTGTAATAGACTTCCGGCACAGGAAGACAATAAATTAATATAGATTAAACCAAATGCAGATATTAATTATTTTCATCATTTTATTTGCTATCCTAATTTAAAATATAAATGCACTTTAGAATATAATTTTGATAGTTTATTAGCTTATTTTTAAATTCTCTATCTAATAGAACCAATCTATAACCAGTACAGTAGAACCAGCTGCTTTTGCACTTTTGGAAATTATCAACTTTTGAGCATTAATATTTTGAAGATATTTTTCTCTCCAATTTATCTGAGCGCTAATTGTATATGAAAGAAGGAAAAGGATATTATTTTTTACTATATCAGATATTCAAAGCATTTCTTACATGTCTAATACTATAATCGAATTCGTAGGATAGACTAATTAGCTTATACTAAATCATGTAAAGCTATTTGCATCTTATCCTTGGGAGCCATGAGCAACCTATTAACAGGAGTGTTTTCGGTGGGATTCATCGTTTTTATTTCATAGTCTAAAATTAACTGAGTTATTTTAAAATTGGTCAGATTAGGATTACCTCAAGTAAAGTGGAAATTTTCTAGTTGAAGTACTGTACTTTATAACTGATCTCGAAACATAAGCACTAACCTTTGCCATTAAACTTTGTATTTCCATTTCTGCTACACGTTTTCCAAGACACATTCGCGGACCAAAGCCAAATGGTAAATATTGAAACCGACTCTCGCTTTGATATCCTTGGCGATCGCTGCCTCTTAGCCATCGCTCTGGCATGTACTGCTGCGGATTAGTGAAAACTGATTCATCTCTGCCCATAATATAGCTTCCAATCAAGACAAAACTCTATTTGAAGTAAACAAATTGAGGTAAATCCACAAGTACCGGTATCACACGAAAACTATTGCGTAGCTAAGATTTCGAAGGCTGGACACATGTACAGTATTCGAATATAGGATACTTTGCCTATTTTTCTAATCCTATCAAAAATCAGTTAATGAATATCGATTTAGGATCAATTATACCTGGGCAGGTACTTTATATCCGCTTAGTACAAGATCTCTATCAGTAATTCTTGGTAAAGCGAAAACGATTGGCTGAAGTCTGTAATAATTTAATAATAATTCTTATTAAGTTCATTTTAAAAAATTTTAATTTACCATATCAAAATTTAGATCACTGTAATTTAAATGTGTTCTATCGCTGATTTAAATCTAGCATCAAATTCAGCAATTGTGGTAGTCTATTACATCTGTAAGATACTGAATTACATTTGCTCTGTTTAGTAAATACTAACCTCAAAGTTTCCCTCACGCATGAACGCAAGTATGGCATCTTCTCTAATAAGTTTGCATCTGGTTCTCTACAATCTTTCATAACGCTACGAACTTCATTCCTTAATTTATCTTGGACTTGAGGGTTTTTACCGAGATTGTACAGGGTCCACAAAATCGTTGAGGTTGCCTAAAGGATAAACACGTTTCAGTCATAATTATAACTAGGGTCTATTAGAATGGAGATTGATTGATTTAACATCGATTTAATAGTTTTCTTGGTAAAAGAATGTTCTATGAGTCATAAAAAATTTCAATACTGACAAGGTGTCTTATAAGAATATATAAGCCAGATATTGTGTGACTGATATAACATACTACTTATGTAGGTGCTTTTTGGGTTGATTTTTTTTCGATTTATTAGCTTATATGCTTTATAATTATCGTAAACTCTACATATTGTGGCATTAAAAAGTACCTTCGTTTAATTACTGTTTAAAACATTTAACACATATGCGTATATCATTTATTTTACTATGCCTTACCGTGTCCATTCCAGCAAAGAGTAACTCTATCATGGCCACGTTTGCCTCACTTCGATTTAATTTACCCGTAGCTATAACATAACTAAGGAAATCAATTCTATCGCCTGATCGAGTTATGTCATCAGCACTTGCTATCTTCTTTTCAAGTCCTTTCCTTTTCTCCTCTACGATATCATCAGCAAATTGAAAAGCTTTATCTGACCATTTAACAAGTTTTTTCCAATTCTTAGTAAAGATATACTTGAAGATAAAAGGGGGAACGGCCGTTAATTCGTTGGTAGCTAGCAAAAGTTTAGTGATAGACTCGTAGAAATCTTCAACTTTAGGATCGATTGGTTCGTTGAACATTCCCAGACGTTTTTCGAATAAGACCGTTGCAATGGCTGTTTGCATAGTTACAATTAAAATTAGTACAGGAGGTTAAAATTCTTCTATTAATTTACATCTACTATTTCTTTTCCTATCATTTTATATAACGGTTGCTTGATAAGATTAGATAATGATAGTTATCGCTGTTGTCATTCGCAATTAATATTACTTACACTCTGCTGCATATTTAGTAACTTCTTTCTCGATATCAGGTATAATTCCATCATCTCTGCGGCAACGCTTAAGACGTTGTAGGAGATCATCACCGACATCGTTGATTCTATCAGCATAGCATGAGACTTCGTGTGGTCTCATCATTTTCTTATCCATCACAGTGCGAAATTTTTTCCACTCTTCATCTTTGCTAAATTGTATATTATAGGTAAAGTGGTGTTATTCAAGTTGGCTAGCTATGAAGACGCAGATGTTGATATTGATTAAAAATAGATGATTGGAGCTACATTTAGCAAAGGTAACTATTCTGATGTAACCTTAGATGGTTGTGCAAAATGGTGGCGATTTCAAGCCTATACACTACGATTAACATAAAATTAAAGCTGAATTCTATGTGGCAATGCATAGATGTTAAACCGTTTCTATTTACATTACTGTATTGGGTGTTAGCAGCAAATGTGAAGAACTGGTAAGCATTTTGTCATCATTGAGTTACTTTAATAGAGTAATACTGATCATTAAAGTAAAGTGTTGAGGCTCTTAAAATCTTCTTAGTAGTATCGCAGTGAAGAATATTGGTTAAGACTACTTACGAAAGCATGACGCCCATGGGTAAGTTGCGTTTCTTTCTGTACTCGATCAATGGCACGATTGGACTCCTATTTGGATATTTACCTTCTGCACGTAGGACTTTTTGTGCATCATCAGCGTCGGAGACAACGATAATTGTAAAATTTCCCATTTTTTCTTTATAGATTGGGCCATATTTCTGCTTTCTCCTCTCGGTCATGGTAAATAAATTTTTGAATCCCCAACCATCATTTTTAGCGTACTCTAGCAGTGTACCAATGATTGGTAATCCTTTGGGTCCAGGAATCTGATCCATAGGCTTTGCATTGGCCATTTCTACGTGATCTTCTACTGGATTAGCATTGGTGGTGGAATATCTCAGCGACAAAAATGGTAATGAGCTACTTGGGTTGCATGCTGCAATCACTCGATGATGCTTCAAAACGGTGATAGCGTATGCCATGATTTATGCAGGTAGTTTCCAATTTCAAAGGGCAGCCAAAGCTCGACAATCAATTCAGTCGTCAATTGATAAACTAGTAGAAAATATTTTTAAAGCTCTTTTATCAATTACTCTTGATACTAGACAATACTAATTTGTATAGTATAAACGATTAATTTAAGATTAGTGGGAGGCCATGATTTATGCTTTCTTTTAAAATGACGTTCATCAAGTATCTAAAAGACCTACAGGATATCCGTTAGCACCGCAAGATTGATAGATGAGAGGTGTAATAATTTTGTGTTTGGGTAATGCAGTATCTTGAGCTGCACTCGACTCGATCAGCTAGCCACTCCTCAGTAACAATAATTTGCACACCTTTATATAGGATCGCTTACGTCGATGATGCAATCTTGATAGGAAAGCAATCATCCACATCTCTTGTTTTTTACATTCTGAAATCCATTTTATAATAAGACTGCGATTGCGTAAATCAACAAGAATTACTGGGAAACAAGGCAAGGCTAAATCATAATTTGGAGAAATTAGAATAAACAAACGGCTAAACAAGCGCCTTTTAGTTGAGGATATTGTGGATAAGAAATGCCTATCGTATGCAAGTAGAATGCAACTCGATAGGGATAATATTGGCAGCTTTTCAAGTTGGCCTAACGATCGATCGATGCATTTTTAATCGATTGCATTAATAGGCTAATGGATGGCAAAGTTCTTTGTGCTTATTAACATGGATCAGCCCACATACAATACTGTGCTGTAGATCGAGGATGGTAGCCGTTGGCTTACTCGTATGTCTATCTTTATTCTAAAATAAACAATCGCGATAGATTGGTACATGTTGTTAACTAGAATGATGTGAGTGATCTATTGCCTTGCTGAAATAATCGATAGATAAATAGTAGTAATCTATGTTTGATCTTTCTACTGCTTCCTTTCCAACAAAGATACGTGTCTATGTCAGTAGGCTGGCAGTTATAATATGGTTTACTCTCGGTAATCTAGAGTAACCTAAACAGTAGTTAAGAAATATCTATAAAATTCTCATGTATTAGTTATCCACGAATTTGTTAAGATAATCAAACTTGTACATTTATGTAAACACAACATTGCAGAACCTCCAGCTATTGTTGACATAAGCTCTACCTCGAGTATTCTTTCTTATTCATGGAACAGTAATTGCTACAATGATGATCATTAATAAATAAATAAAATACGAATATAAAAACGGAAGGCTTTTCTATACCGGTAGAATACAGTAGGCAGTACAGCTCTGAACAAATACTATCCCCTAAACCGGTAAGTGATTGAATTAGTCAGCTGAAAATACGTAGATCGACTATTTCGCTGGTGACTTCAGTATGGCTGCAATGGTATACCATGCTATCGTAGGTTTTCCAATTTCTCAGGTTCTCGTCCACTCCCAATTCCGTAATCGATATTTTCAAAAGTAGTCCATTGAAATCCTTAGTATACAATGTTTTACTATGATTACTCTACCAGCGATTTCTTAAGGGAAATTTCTCTTGCAAGTCTTGCTTCAAATCTGATGTTAAAAGTTCTAGCTCTAGTTCTATCGCGACTATAGTTACTCTAGTATGTTTCACTCGACTATAACCCATATTTATTACAGTTATCATATTCATAGAATGTCAAGATAATCTTTTACAGTAGATTCTCTTTCCTCATGTTACTCTGAATTCATATTCCAAACCAGACAACAAATGACAAATTGCAGATCTCTGCTCCAAATATGGTGTATTCTATATCTGCTCTTGTACAATATACGGGTATTTATACTGTAGATTCTGGAATGCATGTCAATATCGGCATTAGAAATACTCTAAGTCGATAGCTGGAAATATCGGTATCATTTTATTCATTTTGATAAACAATTTAAATTGGAAAGGCCTCAGGTCTGGCATTAGCCGAATTTAATAAATGTAAGCTGCAGTTGATAACATTTGCTCTTTGAAAGGCACTACAACATTTAAGCATTAATCTACTCGCTAGTTTATTTTTACGTTTATCTTAGCCTTCCAAAAATATTCATTGAAATGTAGTAGTATTGTATTAAATTTTTCTATTAAAATATCCGAGAAGATGAAATCTTGTCAAGTAGTGAGTACGAGTATTTAACATATATCATAAAAACAAGCGTAGCATAATATCTACTTTAAATCATTAAGTGCTATTATCATCTTATCCTTGGCGGCCATGACGAGCCTGTTAACTAGAGTATTTTCGGTAGGATTCATGGTTTTTATTTCATATTCCAAAATTAGCTGCGTTTTAGAAAGTTAATAATGTTCTTTAGTCATTACCAAATTATTATGAATTACTATGCTATATGTATATTATCTGTATACTTAAGAGAATAGATCAAGTATGAAGAAACTGACCTTTGATAACAAAGTATGTATTTCCATCTCTGCTACGCGTTTTCCAATACACATACGTGGACCAAAACCGAATGGTAAATATTGAAATCGGCTATCGCTATGAT